AGTCAACCACCGCTCCTCATTGCACTGCCACCCGCACTTCGGATTAGCACGGTTGGCCACGTACGGTGCGAAAGAAGTTCACCGCGGGCACGTGCACACTCGGCACGCGCAGGCAGGAGCACCAGCGAACGTGGCTCCAAGCGTCCCAAGAATCGCAACCGTGAACGAGCGTGGGAGGCCCTGCCGGGCTTGCCCACCTCGCGGCGGCGAATATGGAAGCGAGCCCTGTAGAGAGAGGCCATCGTGGCAGGCGGGAAGGTACTGAAAGCCAGCGATGGTTTTAATGGCATTTAAAGCAGCGATGATTCAGAGACAGGATGCCACGCAGCCACACGTTTAGGGAAGCGGTGGCGAGATGCTTTCTACCTCGCCTGGTGTACAGGAGGTCGTGGGTTCCATCCCGACCCTGAAGCATGATGTATATTTGGAGGTTGCGTGTCTCTCTCCCCGTGTTGGCGTGGGGTTTTTTTCTCCGGGTCCTCCGGATTTTCCCTCCACAGTTAGAATCAACGTGGCGTTTAGAGTATTTGGCTGCTGTACATTTCCACGTGCTGACAAGCCACTTTGTTGAGCTATCATTTGTGGCCAGGTCGCTTCTGGAAAAGAGCTACATAGCTCAGTGGAACTTATCTGGTGAAAAAAATCCAATATAATAGTGTAGTTCATAGTTCATGTACACTTATTTGCCCAGAGTATTCCCTGTTCCACTAACAACCAGATCACACTGAATGAGGACATTGCCACCTCACGTGGTTTCCCGAGGGTCGTCCTCTCTTGCAGGTGGCTGTCCTGAGAAGTCTGCCAGCCCTCCTGGTATTTACATCTCCCCACGTATTTATGTCCGAGTTTGTTTAATGTCTCAGAGGTAACAACTCTACGCATGAATGTGGCTCATTTTTTTTTTTTAATCAGATCTCTGAAGCTAAGCAGAGATGAGCTTAGTTAGATGGATGCCTGGGAAAACTAGGTGCTATAGGTTTGGACTGCGAGGTGACCAGAAGATGGAAGTGGAGCAATGGATTGTTGAATCTATCTGTGCAGAGCTTTGAGTGTTACTCCCCTTGTATGCGTTTGTTGTCTCCAGGAACTGTAGTTTCCTCCCACACGTCATTCACAAATACAATTGGCCAAACATCCGAAAGCAGGACCCTCCTGAATAGGTGAGGCTTTTGTGGGTAATTAATTCCCATTAATATTATTGTTTTCTATATATCTTGGGCGATCATGCAAAGTTGTGAACCCAATGCAGTCTCTCATCGGTATAGAGTGGAACCAAACCCTGGTTTGTGGGTTGGGAGTGCAGCCCTGTCCACTATAACAATGTGCTGTGCACACGCAAACAGGCATATAAGTGCGTATGTGTTTTTGTTTTCTGTCAGTCAAAGCAGCCAGCCATGCTATATCATCAAGGGACAAAGTGAGCCACTCAATTCGGCTCCCAGCCCAGCGGAGCGAAACGTCAGACATCGTGTCAAATGATAGGCGGCAAGAACGAAAAACTACGCCGGAGAGCTGTCGAGTGCAACGGCGAAAACCCACGGAGTAGGAATATTACAACACGAGAGATTGTACCAACATGGTTCTTAATTACTCTAATGTATTTCATTCATATTTTATAGCTGTTGCTGGGATTCATCATACGAATTTGCTGCTTAATCACTTTAATGAGGCATCACGAGCGGACGTGTAGCAGCCGATTCGTCAGTGCATTGCTGTTGCAGGCGCTGTAAATAGCTACACACTCATTTACATTTTTAATAAATGCATTTCTATTGCACACTTGTGAGAGAAAAAAAACACATCCATTCTTATTACTCTCAGTAATAATGCCTATTTAGCAGGATACGGAATGAGTAATGCGGCTTTAATTACGGCGATAATTCACGGTCCACGACGGCGGGACGATGGTCGAGAGTAATAACGGAGTGGCAGCCACGGGATGGAACGCGTCCGAGAACGCGTAGACCGAGGAGATGGGAGCGATCAAATCCGTGAATGTGAAGGTGCAGGCGTGGAATGAGTCGTTGGATCGCAGAATCATGAGAGGTTGCTGCAGCTTTGGAAGGGTCATCCAGCAGTGGATTGACCATGGCTGAAGCCATTAAGAATTGAAATACTCTTAATGCGTACAAACCCCACCGTGCCATCGGGGCATGTTATGCAAGGGCACGCCGTTACAATGGGCGATAAGCATCTATTCAGCCACTGTGAGCTATTCCTACCACAACACGGGCGTAGTAAAACGCGGAGCCCAATCACTCCCACACTTCGGCCTCCGTGTAAACTTGGCAGCAAGTCAGTCAGGGCAATCAGTCCTAACTCGCAGGACCCCTGAGAGAGAAAGAAGAGTCTTTCTCTCCGGCTTGGACGCACCGGGAGGCAGTGGAATGAAATGCCACCAGATGCCCGGTTTATACCATCTCCTCGCAAGCGTCGTTTAAACATTACTCAATTACCCAAAACATATTTGCGTGTCGTAAATAATCATATTTGTTGAGAAAAAAAAACAGTAGTGGGTGGCGCGTTGTCGAGGTTGTTAGGAGCCTTCAGAAGCTCGGTGGGCGGTGAGAGTTTTTATGTGCAAGTGTCGGCGTGCCAATTCTAATTTCCCTGTCGCCACTGTGGATACGCGTTGCTGCCAGCCATTAAGAAATACAACCCAAGAGCTGTCCTCTGCGGGAGTGGGGGGTTTACCACTCGTCTGTGTGTTGCATGTAACGTTGTCTGTGAGTTGCATGTAACGTTGTCTGTGAGTTGCATGTAACGTTGTCTGTGTGTTGCATGTAACGTTGTCTGTGAGTTGCATGTAACGTTGTCTGTGTGTTGCATGTAACGTTGTCTGTGAGTTGCATGTAACGTTGTCTGTGTGTTGCATGTAACGTTGTCTGTGAGTTGCATGTAACGTTGTCTGTGTGTTGCATGTAACGTTGTTTGTGTGTTGAACTTTTGGCACCGTACATAGCCAACCGTGCTAATCGGAGGTGCGGGACAAGGACAACACTAAACACAAAAAAGCAGCTCTACATAAATTAGTTTTCAATCTAGATTATTTAAAAGTTGCATAGCTTCCGAATATCGGAAGGGCGTTCCAGACGGCCGCAAGTGGCGCACCTGGAAAAGCGCGCGGTGCAAGTGGCCACCGTCTTTGTTCCATGTCCAGCCAAAAGCCGACGCTGCGCGGATGAAGGAAACTCCACATTCCCCTCCTGCCGCCCCCCGTCACCACAGGACCACGTGTGCACGAGAAGAACCAAATCAAAGTCCTGCTTTAAAACGGGGCACGGAATCCATAGCTGTCAACCCCTTATCAGTGCTGCCCTACCTTTATTACAGACCAATTCAGACCTCATTGGTCACCCCGTGGCCCCTTATACATCTCAACGTTCATCCTACGAAGTCCCTTCACAAGGGAGAAACACAAATAGACCAAAAATGTTTTTACTCAATTTCCCAATAATACGGGTGAACCGTATGGGTCGACACGGTACGAGACTCGGTGCGGCGGGCGCGCTTGCAACCGCACGAGGGGGTCACCTGCAGGTGCCACCACGAGAGCGACCACAGGGATTCGACGATGTCCGTTTGCTGGCCACGGTCGCGATGATGCAACACGGGGAGCGAACTGCTGCTTCGGCAGGAGGCTGCCTCTGGGCAGAACGACCTCTTTGGCGAGGTTGTGGTACGCGGCACGGACTTCGCGCGGTGCGCTTTGTGGGAAGCGACGGCCTACGCCGACGTTCGCTTCTGCGACAAGCGGCCAGTAACAAGCGGGCACCACTGAAGGTGTGAGATGGGGGGGGGGGGGTAAACACGTTCCTTGAATCGAGCGAGGTTCAGGGGAACGTGGCAATGGGAGCCGCTTGGCAGGGAATTACAAACTTGGGCTGTGCGAGGAAAGAGGCAGAGCGCTTTGACCTGCAACGTGTGCGTAGCATAACAACAATAAGAGTACCAGCAACACCAACAACATAAACACCAACAACAAAAACGTCAACACCAACAACAACACCAACGTGTTCATACTGTTAACCACAGCAATTCCGGGCACCTGTGAGTGAATGGGTTGACTTTGAGACTGTGTCGAGCTTGACCTACACTGAATTCCCACAGCGGTCTACTGTTAAGCCCCAGCGCAATGGGCATGCCTTGAATTAATGACGCCGCTGCCGCATATTACACCAGTGACTACGCTGCCTTGTGCGCGCATTTGCATGGACGTCACCACTTCAGATACTTTGTAAACAGACACGAGCAAAATCGTGTATTGCAAAGATAACCTTTGCAGTTGCAACATTTAATCGGTCCCGTGTGCCCCATAACAGCAAAAGTAAACCGCCATGCAATGCGAGGCATGAGAGGGAGTTAAGAGGGGAGATTGGTTGCACTGCTGCTGCTAAGACGATGAAATCACGCCAACGCGTCGGTGGGCAAAGGTGCAGCCCTGCAAACGCTCGCTCACGCCACTGCTGGCGGAAGAAGCCTCCACGAGAAAAAAAAAACTCTACAAGAGCCCCCCCTCCCTCCTCTGGAGGACAGCTCGCCTACATTAGCACGCTTGCCAGACGTACGCCCACCTCGATCACGACTTACACTTTACCCCACCGCACTCAACCTGCGCGTCAACACGTCTGCACAAAATGCAGGCGATTTAATGTTGAGCACCAAGTAAATTCGCCCAACAGCAATGTGTACGGACGTATTAATCCATCGAGAGCAATTACGATTTGTATACGCCACCCTGCTCTACCGAGCTACGCGATACCCTTGCACGGATTATGGTAAATGCTGATGGCGTTTCTCGTTTTTATAACGCTGAAGAAATTACAGCATTCCCACTGGCATCTTATTGCGGGTTGGAGCGTATTGTGCACGAGTGTTAAATCACTACTTAAATCAATTACCTGTATAAATAACAGCAACGCTAAATCAGGTGTTCGGTGTATCGCCCGGTTCGGTACAACATTTTGATAAACCCATCGTAACAAACGGATTTTGTTAAAAATTTATTACAAAGAATCTGTAAAAAAAAAACAAAGACAACATGCTTTTACAAAGTATTAGAACATGGTATATTGGCATCATTAATATGTGAACATTAAACTAAAGCACAAAACCCAAGTGTGCCAATACACACTTAGTTCACCGACCCATGCATGGAGGGATGGCGCAGTGGCTTACACGCTGCGCTACGCAGCCAACGGCGCGAGTTCGAGGTCAGACCGCAGCGGAGTGATCAGCGACGATCTGAGCAGGTCCTTGCGCGCCCCATTCACAAGCCCATGACCAACGTGGCATGGAGAGGCCTTCAATGATCGATTGAAAAAAAATTAACCTGTAAAAACAAAATTTTTCACTATAAATCCTTTATATGCGTGGCGGCTAGAGTTCTCTCGTCCTCTGGCTTGAGATGGCTGCCACCTATGGGTCAGATGATTGCCTGCCACCATTAAGCAATTGGTAATTAAATATAAAAAAAAATTCCTAAAAAGTGTAAAGTTATGGAAAGAAATTTTCACGAAAATAAATTGTCACGCACAACGAGTCTGTGTGGAAAATGTCAGCTCGATTGGATCACGGGAAGTGGGTTAAAAAACGACCGAAAGATTTGCACGGTCGTAAGCGCGCAAGCAAGCAAGCAAATTAACTTAATAAAGGATTAAAAAACGTTTTTACAAGACCATAGAAGTGACAGCTGTTAAGATTGAGTCAAGGATACTGATTGCATTACCATGGCATCTCACTGTTTAAGATGCTGAAATTGTTGACGAAGCAAGCGAGCTTTGCATCGCCATTATCCATTTCGTTGACTTAAAAGAGTATTTTTAAATCCTCAATGCACATCTGGATGAGTCTCCCCCCATGCTATCGATTATGGTGTTTGTAAGACCATATTTCACCATGCTGATGAGTGTGGATTAGCGAAGAGAAGTGGGTAGGGGCGAGGTGGGGGCCACCAGCCGGCTCTAGATATCACTCGCCACCGATGTCAACCGTGACCGGGTATCGAACCGAGCTCACCGGGTTCATGTTGCACAGCGCTAAACACTGGGCCATCTCTCCACCCCAATTATTTAGTGGTTCCGAAAATGTGCTCCACTGTGCATTCACTGACAAGTCAGACTAAAGCTGAACCTTCCCTTTGGAGGAAGAAGTAATTCACGTATTAATCCAATTAAATTAAATTAACACCGAATATATCTAATCCATCAAAAACTTGCTTTACTGTACATGACTATTTGAAACAATGCACCGCTGATGTATTCATCAAAGCGAGAGCACTTTATTGGCGCCGACTGCACCGAACTGCACTTCTGCCAGCTTCGCGCCCGTGTAAAAATATCCAATCCCCTGGCACTCCCCAATAAAGTGCAGGGGCGTTGCCGTCGGCTTCGCTTCAAATTCCACGAAAGGCCAATAAAGTATCTCGCCCTGGAAGAAGGCCCCCTTCTTGGCTTCATCTCAAAATGTGTTTTTTTATTATATCAAAAACGTAAACCTCGAGATCACCGTGAAGTGTATATATATAAGAGGCTTTATCAATCCACCAGTGTTGTCAGTCATGCGGGTTAGCTTGACCATACTTCACCACACTGGTCAGTGTGGGTTGGTGAAAGGGAGCCCAGGACCGGTTCGGATTTCACTCACCAATGACGTTAGCCATGGCCAGGAGACAAATTCAAGTCGCCAGGTTCACTGCGCGCAGCGTACGACCCACACCACGAGACCACTTCGCCCACCAAACAAGACCTATGCATAGCGTACACGTCGATCGACATGCCATGTTTAGTGGGGAAAATCGTGGGGACTCCCACCTCTTGCAAAACATCTATTCAGCCTGGAGAGGAGGCCAAACTACCCTCTCCGAGTGGCTCTCTGGAGCGCTGCCAAGTGGAGGCCTCACCGCCAGCAGTGGCTCGAGCAAGCAAGAGCATGCCTGCACCTTTACATTCTATGTCTTTTATATAATTGCTCTCTCTGGGAATTAAAATTCTCAATTTCGTGGCAAGCTCACGTTAATTTACAGCTCAAAAGAGGATGTGGTACTTGGGATTATCTTGTATTTTTCTTTCCTCTCCAGGTAACCACTCGGCTTAACGAAGTCGCACCAAATTTATTATGAACCACCCAAGAGAAGCACTGTAGATTTTAATTTTTTTAAACACCCAACAATCCTAGGAATGTTTAAAATCGGCTGAACTGCTGACGAGTTCAATCACGCCTGGCGCTACCACAGCCCCATCTCTCAGCCACGCGGAGTCGCCTTCCCGCGCGTTCCCGGCGGCAGGGCGTGAAGCAAGCGTGCACTCGGCACGGCAGCGCCGACCACCGCACACTTTCACCAAAAGCTCCGCCGGGCTCTTTCGGGTGTGGGCGGCCAACTTTCCCGCAACGTTTCCATCGCTTAGTCTAGCCACGTTGCCAGAAACATTGCAGAAGGAACGTTGAGAAAGCCTAGCGACCAGCAGACTTGGAATGGGGGCAGTTTGTACAGGAAGGACAGACCGGTGGTCATTTCCACAGCTGCCAAAAGTCGTTTTTGAAAGGCATCTGCAAAGAGGTATTTATTTCGTATCAACGTCAAAGCTAGAGGTGCAGCCCTGAAATTATTTGCTTACGCCACCTGCTGCCAGAGGAACTTCCACTACAAGGAGCTCTAGGCCCTTTTAAAGAGGTTAACGGGCCTTCTCTTCCATGTTCACCAGACTACTTGGAGGTGAGAGTACCCATTCGCTCTAACCCACCACACACGACCTGCAGATTCCCCTGTGGCGGTGTACCCAATTCTTACCGACGAGTGGACAGGATTTGAAGAAACGATCCGGCGAGCTCCGGATGCTGCCGTGGCCGAATGTTCAGCACAACGCGTGTTCTAAAGTTGAGCTTAAACAACTCGCAAAAAATCTATTTATTTCCAGCGTCATAGCCCGAATAGATTAAAACTAATTTGGGGAGGGGGAACACTTCACGGCTAAAGTTATTTTTCTTAAAATTCGCAACTTTCTCGACAACAGTTTGTGCAAGTACGCAGGCCAGCGAATCGTAATGGGATAAAAAGAGCTACCGCACCCTTTGACCGCTCCCTGTGTCTTTTCGCACGAGGCGGCAAGAGAAGGCGAGCGAGGCACAGGTGCGGCGCCGCCCCCCCCCCCCCCCGTTCGGCGTCCTACGGCAGCGCTCCTGGCCCTTGGCGGCGCTTCCCCCATCGCCGCGACTTCACGGCGCGATGAAAGAAAGGGCTGCGCCCGCTCGCGGCTGGCAACGCTCGCACTCGCTCAGCAGCCGCTCGAGACGCCGGCAGAGAGAGTGCTCCTTGCCGTGCGTCATGCACATCATTTGAAAGGCCTGGCGGGGGCGGTGGTAAGGGAACAAAACAGGGGGGGGGGGCAGGGAGAGAGGGAGAGGAAGTCTGTGAACAGGAAGGCAAGGACTGAGCACACTGGCCTTTCAAAGAAGTGTGTATCAAAAAATAAAAGAATCCATCCCACCACGAACCGATATGACCTAAGCACTATGCGCGCGCTTTCTGCGGGAAAATGTCATCGCGCACAAGAAAGCCTCGGCACGAGTAAGAACTGCTCGGCCACCTTGACGTTGTCACCGATTTGTAGGGCTTTTGATGCCGACGGCCAGCGCGCTCGACTATTGCCAATCCAAGCCAGAGGTTCGATCTCCCGGCGTGGCGCTTGCAACACAGGCGGCAAGTTTCTTAACCCCCCCCACCCGCCTCCCCTCCCACCGCCCGCAGCTGTGTACCCAGCGGTATAAAGGCGGTGCAGCAACACAGCGTATCGGCAGGTGGTGGGGTCAAATGTGGGCAGCTCCCGACAACTTTCCGAGATGAGTGGCCGGTGTTGAATGCTAGGTCAGCATATCCCCTTAGAGGGGGCCTCTCTCAAGTGCCCTCCAGTGGAGGAGCTTCTGCCAACAGCGGCATGAGCGCAGCAACTTACAGGGCTGCCCCTTTACCTTGTTTTGCCCTTTCACCCTCGGCGATGCCTGTGTACTTCCAGGCAACAAGCAGCGACTGTGAGAATAATCATTAACATTTGCACAAGGCAGATTGGTTGTTCTACGTTGAGATGAAGCACATTAGGAAAGGTGAAACCCTTTTGTTGCTGTAATTACTGGACTTAGACATTTTTCTTCCCACATAAAATAAGAATTGCAAACCTTTAGTGTTAATGTCAAATAATTTGATTAGGGAGGTAAACAGCACTTGCGCTGCTGCATCACCGTGCTTGTGGATTTTCTAATTTGACCGTTAAGGGTGAGGTAACTTTGGCAGCTGGGACAATAACAATGCACTCCGCCACCTGCTTTAGAAATGCAAATCAATAGGGTATGCACAGTTCAGGTTTGCAATGTCTGATTTTTCTTATTTAACGTTCAATCAGATACAAAATTGACTTGTACCTATATTTACTTTTATCAAAAATGGTCCACGCCAATGCACCGAGTTTGAATACGAACATTGCTTTTTCTGACAATCAGGACCCCAATCTTTTTAGATAACAATGCTTTTGCCAATAACATTTGGCAACCAGGCGACATTTTTTTTATAAGCGTGACTGCTGATGAGACCAAGAAGGTCGAAACTGGTCCAGAGTTTGCCTCACTTAAACAAATGCCGCTGGATATTATTATTATTATAAGACAGTTGCGTTGAGGAACTAAAATATATCATTATTAATGTGGAGAAGCAGAACGGAGTTTTGATCGTGCATGCTCTCTTGGAGCATTATGGGTAAAAAAATAAAAAGCAGACCAGACACAAATACTGATGATGCTCTGCTTGAGCACCATGGTGGCGAGATGTTAACTACCTCGCCTAGTATACAGGAGATCGTCGGTTCGATCACGACTATGACGCCTGCTGTATATTTGGAGTTTGCATGTCCCCCCATGGTTGTGTGTATTTTTCTCCGGGTCATCCGGTTTTTCCCTCCGCAGTTAGAATCAACGTGCGTTTAGAGTATTTGGCTGCTATAAATTCCCACGTGATAAGCCACTTCGTTGGGTTATCACTTGTGGCCAGGTCTCTTCTGAAAATGAGCTACTGTAATTACACCAAGTAGCTCGGTGGGCCTTACCTGGTAAAATAAGTAGTTTAGTTTTTCGTTTGCTACAGCTCGTTTGGCAATTCGGCATGAACACTGAAGGGTGTTTACAATGCAAGGCAGAGAGAAAACGGGCTGCAACACTGTTTGTACCTCCTTGAACGTGACGAATGCTTTCTGCGACTGATGGAGATAATTTTCCAGTTTCCCTATCTTCATCAGCTGCACAGCTAACTGCGGATGTGCCTGCCGGTAATATTGCCTGCATTTCCACACACACACACGCGCACGCACACACGTAGCCACATTGTTGCGCAAACTTCGGCAGAAAAAGTGCTGCGGAATGTCACATTTTCATGAAAATTAATGTTGTATTCTAGTACAGAAAACTATGTCGGATCCCACATTACCATTGCAATTTACATAATATATACCGTGAATACACGCACATTTATAAATAGGACTTGACACAAAACAGTTGTATGAATACGTACCACTGTGAATATTTTAAATGTTAATATAAGGTAAACGTTCACGTGGTGATACTGGTTAACTGTTGTCAGATTGCTCTCCAACACACCGGTATGCTGAAGCGGTAATAAACTGGCACGTTTAGTTCATGTGACAATTTTTTTTTATCAGCTGCGTCAGGCAGAGGTGGAACGACGACACATTACGTGATCCGACCCAAACAAAACGACGACGAAATCAAAATATTGGTCGCAAAATCCTACGCCGTGAGAAAATCCCCGACTGAACAGCACACCTGATGTAACAAAAGCACACCCCCCCCATTCTCACAACATTTTTACTGTTGTCGAATTTTTTTTCGATTCCACGATGGACCTCTGGCGGCATTACATCGTGCCACAGCAGCATCTCGTTACAAACAGCATCTTGTCGCAACAGCATCTCATCGCAACAGCATCTCACGTGCTCTCACACCACTGCAGACCGATGGCTTCAAGCGATGCTTTTGCCACAGTTGACTCGGGAAATCGCTCATGTCATTTCCGAAAATGACAAGCAGGCGATCATCTCATCATCATTTTGCGTTGTTAAAAGAGGTACAAATTGCCGCTGTAGACAAATGCACTGTTCCTAGCGAGGAGACGGGAGCGATGAAATCGGCGCTAGGGTCAAATCATTGATGGCATCCTCAGGAGCGTGAACGATGGCAGCCGGCCACGTAGGCCTTCACGCGGCAGTGGCTCGACCGTGGCCAACGGCGACGACGGCGACGTGGCCATTCGCGCGAATTAGAATGTTCTATTTTGTTGCACGAGAATAGAAAAGCAGTGTATTTTGGGTTTAAACATTGGATTGTCACAAAGCGATATTTTAACTGAATCGCACAACTCCTCAATCGTGTGATCACCTGTCGTTACACTGGTGTGGGGGAAGGTGACGGTTCTGGACTCACTCTCCCAAAGGCACGTGTGTGCGCATATCCAACATAAAACCCAAACCTAAAACCTAAACCATGTACAGCAGTACCATTACATTCAATCTCATGAGCAAAGCAGGGTTGGGCCTAGTTAGTGCTTGAATTGGTAACCAGCAATTACATTCCATTAGGAAGCCACTGGAGCTATACACTGTTAAATATAAATTGAAAACTAGAACTGCTTTTGGCATTTAGTTATACTTCCCCCACACCTCCGATTAACACGGTTGGCTACGTACTGTGCGAAAGAAGTGCAACATACATATATACATACGACAGAAATCAGTCACAATTTAAATATATTCTTCTTCGAAAACAAATCGGCAACTTTATCAACGGGCACACGACGGACGACCAAAACATATTTTGCAACAACAACCAAACAAATACTTACACCAACGGTAATAACCAAAACCAAAATCACCTGTAGAAGGGCACGGCCTCCCGTGCAGAACTCAGTGCCTTGCTCCACTGATGGGTGTCAATGTAGGCGCTGCACATGTAGTCGAGCAACTTGAGGTACTGCACGTTGCTGCTGGGGACTTGCGCTGCCGCGGCCTTCTGCAGCATGGCCTCGCACAGCGCCAGAGCCTCCTGCTGACCTGCGGCCACCACCACCACAAGCAGAATCTTGATTGACACTGCAGGAGGAACCCGACGCGCTATACAGCTCTTTTTACACAGATGTCCAGGAGAGGCGGGTCATAAAGTTACAACAAATAATAGGAAAACACTACAGGAATACAAAGTTTAGCAAATGTAAACAAACCTCTAAACAACTAAAACTCGTTCTATTTTACCGGGAAAAGCTTACCGAGCTTTTACCTTCTTTTTCAGAAGTGACTCCACTACAAATGATAGCTCAAAGAAGTGGCTAACCAAGCACGACGCACCACGAGCACACGCAGAGAGCCGTGCGTCCGTGTAACCCCCCAAAAGAATCACGCCCACAGACAAAGGGACTTAAAAATATGTTTTCTTACGTGCCGCGAAAGATCAGAATGATGGTTGTATTCTTTTACACAATGCGCTACGGCAACACAAAACGAGTGTGTATGGCATTGCTTACCGTGCTAAACGGCGGCCCATTTTATGCACAGTGATCTTGCAAATAAAGAATGGCAATCTGGCAGCATTGGTTTAACAAGAACGGCTCGGCCTATGAGACCCAGAAGATCAGAATCAGTAGAGGGCTTGCTTGCTTGCTTAAACAAATGTCGCTGGATAACATTGGTCTGCAAAGGTTGATGGATTATAACGTTTTAATTTACACGTGGAAGCAGAGGAGCTCTGTGTACAGATGTGTTTACCGATGCTGCTGTAAGCTCGGCAGAGAGCGTGGCTGGCGTTTGTTTCGAAATGGAAAAATGAAGACAACGTACTGACATCCGCGTTTGCTTTATCGATTTTCAACATGAGGCTTCGAATGGCTTCAACTACTTCCTTGTCGCCATTCTCCATGTCTGTATCCTGCAATGAAATAAACAGATGTAGGGAATTTAATACAATTAATCACAACATACTCTTTGGTTCTTTCGGTAAAGTCACATAGGTATAAAATAAAATAAATTAAATCACGACGTTTCGGGCGCAACACAAGCATCTGTCATCAGGTGGGACAACCACAGCAAGAAACAATTGCTGAAGTGGGGATTCAAACTTCAAATCTAGATTTAATCTCAACAAATGACGATTATGGGGGACAGCGGGGAGCAGTGGTTCACGCACCGCACTATGAACCCAACGACCAGAGGTTTCACTCCTGGCAATGGCTAACATCGGTGGCAAGTGACATCTGAACTGCTCTCTTGGACAATCCTTGCCGCCCCCCGCACTCCCAGCAAACCAACTTCACCTCAACTCACACCGACCACACGCGGTGAAGTATGGTCAAATAACCCCCACGGGATGGGGGGAGGCCTTCATCCAGCAATGGATTCAAAAGGGGCTCAAAACTACCACTGTTCATTTATATTGCATCTCAAGGTCTGCTTTACGATGTTGACCAGGCATAAGAAAGGCTTCATAATGCACTTGTGCAATGAAAATGGGAGGTACACGACAGTTTACTGCAAATCCTGCAAGTATGGTATGTGAACAAAAATTATCTTCATTGGTAATGACAGTATGTTGTTATTAAAATTCACAAACTCAGTACATTTGGTATTGCCACCTTTCACATAGCGCAACAGCGATCACGGAGGAAGGCGCCACACGTCTCACAGTGTGCAGCAGCTTCACAGTTGGGGGAAGTGTTGCCATGTGTAGTCCCAACACGTCTGTGCCCCTGCGCCCACGGTCGGAGCCGAGAAGCCACGCAACTCCCCGACGTCAAACCGCACCGCAGAGAGCTTGCGGCACCACGCGCCAGCGGACGCCAGCGCGCGGCCACGGAGATCGCCCGGTGAAAGCGACGTCGCGTGCGTAAACTCACCCCCAGGCCTTGCTCGCAGAGGCTGCACTGGCAGGTGAAATAGTAGCGCCGCAGCAGCTCCTGCCTGCGCGTGCGGCTCGGAGACAGCGTGTCGATGTAGCTGATGCAGAGCTGTGGGCGCGCAGTGGGAGACCATGGGGAGACGATCGCAGGGAGCACAGCAAGTCAACAAGACCTGCTTTTATCCGAGGTGGTTGTATGTTGAACTTCTTTTGCACCGTGCATAGCCAAGCGTGCTAATCGGAGGTGCGCCGGGGAAGGACAACTAAACACAAACAAGTGCGTCGATTCAGTAGCTTCAGTAGCTTCAGTAGCTTCACAATAAAATGAAATTGGTGGTTACCATTTCAAGCACTCAACTAGGCTAAGCCCTGCTTAGCTAACGAGATCAAATGAGATAAGGACGGACCTCTGGAAGATTTTACCATAGGCGATGTTGCTACATTCTATCACAGCAAAACTTTAGGCCCTGTAACTGCTTCCTCAAGCCACGACCTGGCAAAAGGGTCTCACCCGTCAGAGGTTTGTTTAACCTATGGTTTCCCAAGATGGGCAGACGTCTTGGAAATTGTGGGAAAACCCACTCTACCCCACCCACACGCAGCTGCCGATCTACGAAATGTCCATGGCACTCATTTATACCGCTAAGTGGACAGAGGGCGAGAGGATTTTAATAAAAGTGGCCATTTTTGTTCAACCATCTCACCGCGAGAACAAACCACGGGAGCAAGTGCGGTATTTGTGAATCTTTCCACAATGGCAGCATGCCATTCGCTACATTGCATAATAAAATACGACTTAAAAATCCCAAACACATGGCCCATATCCATCCACGTACCTCTTCTCCTGCCGGAATGTCCCGCATTGCTCGCAGAAGCATCGTCGAGCCCTCGAAGACGACCACGCAGCTCGGGTCGCAGCTGTGGTTCAGCAAAGACAAACTGCCAGCCGCACAGACACGCGCACACACACACACACACGCACGCGCGGAGAAAACACATGCCACGACTGATACAGGGCTTCCATCCCAGGGATGACGACGCACTCAGATCTTGCTGTTTCCTCCGCTCAAGAGAAACGGCGCACTTCACATTAAGCTAGTCTTGGCCAGCGCTGCCTCCCCCTCCCGCCCCCCACACAAAGTGCCGTTTTCGATTCATTTTAATCTATCGGATAAATCAACGGACCATTTTTTTTGTCGAGTCGCCACTATATTTCGCACCGATAAGGACACTAAGGGCATTCTGTTTTGTCTCTTTCTGATATATGGCCTTTCTCTTTATTGTACGACGCACAACATCGCTTCATTTCTCTCCCCACCCGCACCTCACACTGCCCCTTTCCACCGCAATCCCTCATCAGAAAAAACCACCGTGCCACCGTTTATCGACACGCTTCTTCGAAACTATATGTGAATTCGAGTTCGCAAAAAAAATAGCAAAATACTATAAACTATAAAAAATATATGTGTTTATTATTATTATTACGAGGACAATGAGTGGAGAATCCATTGCTCTGCATCGGGAAATATGAGGCAGCTGTCATTGTCACTCCTCTCACAATCCTCCTGTACTCAGAGCACTAAAAGTAACCAGATTTTTTACGTAATGAAATGCCAAGAAAATGTTAGTTTTTTTTTGTATATTCTACATTCTTTACATATTCTGGTGACAGAATTACATTGATAGGAACACAAATTGAAATTAGTAATTTTAATTAACCGTCGTTAGTCTTCAGTATTCGTGTCCCGCCCCCTTCGGTGTTGCTATCCATCGTCTTCCAAACTTGTTCTCTCCGCGGTTTCTAGTCAATGTTTATTTGTTACACGGTAAATCTCGTTTAGCCAGTTACCTGGCTAGCTTGTGTGGCAACCACCCATAGTCATTAACAATAGTTACTGTTGAGGGTGGAGAAGCAGCCAGCCAGGAACCAGCCAGGAAATTATAGGCGAGGACTATTTTGAAATGGTAGTAATTTCCCCAAATATGAAAAGCCAGCGCGTGTGATATTCACTGCTGAAACAAACCTCGGGTAAATTGCGACACCGAGATCTTGAAATTCGCCGTCGCACACCGAAAAACTGTTGCAGGTGATCTGGGAAGGTGAAACAATGTGCAAGGAGCAATGAACACAACAAGCCACTCTACGTGCGGAACCACCACCCGGGGACGCCGCAAGACGATGCAGGCGGCCACCGACAATGTTGGCGGGACATAACGAGCATCGCGAGGAGAACCGCGGCTCATCGCGATGGCGCCAAACAACACACGCGCTGCCGAGGGAAGGTGCTATCCTATTAATTCTGTGCCTTTCAATGACCTTCTGATGCGCCCCTATTGGGTTTTCCATTAGCACCTTCCCGTCATGTACGCGTTTTCCAGATGGCCACATTTCCATTTGGATTAGGCTGCGAATGACGTGTCCCAAGAATTAAAATTTCAAATAAAACAAAGCACGTTTGCATATTCAATTATCATCATCTGACCAATTTTTTTTATCGTCTTTCCTTAACATTTAACGTTTATTTATTTGTTTCTTTTCTCGCTACCTTTAATGTCATTTTATTGTATTGACAGAACGCCTCGCTTGAAATGGAACATCTATAATTGCATGGGACGGATGTCTCTAAGGATTAGTGTTCGCTTTGCTGGCGGGAGGTCCCGAGTTCGAACCCAACCGCATAACTCAGGTTTTCCCTTGCAACACAACAGAATGCCTCTCATTCTGCCACAGCATTATTAATAAATCATCATCACTCTCATAATCCATATGCCAAGCAGCATTTGCATACAACATACAAAATTCATATTTATGGCCTCACAAAGTATTTAGCACACAACAATTCCACCCCAGGTTAGCCATGGCTTTAAATATGCAAGCGGCAAAGGTGCATCCCTGCAATTGGTTGCTCACGCCCCTGCTGGAAGAAGGGGCCTCCGCTAGAGGCAGCTCTATAGTATTTCTATCTCGGATTTATTTGGCCTACTCTTCCACAAAAGTCAGACGTTCTGGAAGAGGCGGGATTACCCATCCTTTACCCCACCACACATGACCAGCCGATATACTCTGCTGGGTGGTGGGACGTGGCCATGTAGTAGTGAAGTAGTGCGTTCGCCACCTTCTGCAGAGGTTCGGGGTTGAAATCCACCTGTCATCCTAATTAACATGGCAGGTATAATAATAAGCATAACACTACGATGCACCATGTGCTTCACAATGGATGTTAAAGATCCCCCCGACAAAGTTCGCAAGAGCAGGCATTTGTTTGGCAGCGTTAGGGGGGGCAACTTCTAAAATGACACTGCCAATTTACGAAATCGAGATAACACATGGCAATCATCGCCCACAAGTGGCAGACGAATTCCTGCTTTCAGGCAGGTGCCGCATAATCTTGTGCCAAGTCATCTTGTGCCCGCAAAGGCAGTTGCCACTGTGGGTGCCCTTTGAAATGTTTCATTTGAGACGAGAGGTAAAGCACTCCTGGCATCCTGGGAGATTCAAGCCAGATTGCAAATCAAGCATACTACCCCCCACCTTAACACCGTGGCGGCAAGCCACATTTTATTTAAGTAACGTAAAGACACATTTTGGCGTGGAGTTTGCCCACTGGTAAAGGGTGCTGTGGGATAGCGGGCGTGGGTGTGCGTGTCTGCTGCACCTTGCCGAGCAGCTGCATGACGTTGTCGGCAGGAAGCAGGCTGCTCCAGTCCAGGTCTTCCCCCTCCAGGTACATTCGCAGTGTGTTGGCAAGCAGTTCCAGGCCGCTCCGCATCTGTTCACTCATCTGGTCAGTATCTGCATGGCACACGCACGGCAAAGTATGCTTCACTTCAGCAAGTAAAAGTTCAACGCCGCATATCCGACCTCGCTGAGCACTTATATGTTGACAAAAATAATAAGTTAGCGCATTTGGTATTTGGGCCATGAAGGAAGGTGCTATGTTTCACAGAGTCTGTAGTAGTTTTACAGTAGGGTGGGGGGGGGGGGCAATATTGATGTGCATAAACCCAATTGTCCAGTGCGAGCAATCACCACCAACCACTCCATACTCTATTCAAGGTTTTTGTCCGCTGTCAGGGTCAGGTCATGGTCTCAAAAAAAAATCAAACTTGCATTTTAGAAAGGGTAAAATGTTCTGCTCGTATTTGTTGTATTGATTAGCCCCATTCTGGAGTTAGAAGTGGAATGACAAACTTATTTCCATCAATCAATAGTTGTGTGCTACGTTCACGGTTGAGTAGTTACGTAGGCGGGGAGGTATGCATGTAGGCAGACAGCCAGGTACGGAGATAATTAGAAATGTAACAGCCAAGGAGACATAAGTCAAATAAAGACATTAGTCAAATCTTGACTTAAAGCTTTCGTGATTGCAGGAATTCATATTTTTGGGGTCTTTCGGTAAAGCCAAGTAGATAGAAAAATTATAAAAAAATTATAATAATAATCACAATATCACTATCTACGTGGCTTTACCGAAAGACCCAAAGAATACACATTAGTTAAACAAACAAAGGCGATGAAGGAAGAGAAATAGGGTGCAGTGCACCACTTACGAGATTGCAGTTGCTGTAGTGAGTAGAACTCCTCTGATGGGCATGGCTTTGAATTCAGCCGAGCCTGAATAAAAAAAAACTAATTAAGTTTTCACATTTTAATTACTTGTACTGATTCAAATGTTGGCATAAAGATTAGTTGCTCGTATGCAAAAGTACACCAGCACGTAACCAGTGAATTTAGTAATTTTTGAAAAACCCCAAACTACATTTACATATTTTGGGAGGAATTTAATTATTGGGTGTATAATAAAATAAATTTCCCCCCCGATGGATAATGGTTGTAGTGTGTGAATTAGTCAATTGCCTTGAGTCTATATCTGTTCACAACCTGAAGGCAGGATCACAATAATGCTTGACTTCGCATTAGACGAGAGAAAAATAATGATCCAGCAAACTGATACTTAACATTACCAGCTTAATGCAAAGTGCAATTTCATCATCATCATCAGCAGCGATGATCAATCCACTGCTGAATGAAGGTCTTCCCATCCCACTGGCAGCCCTCATGACCCTTATGATATAATAATTCACTGATCACATGCACACAAGCCGATTTCATCACTCCATCTCCTCGTGGTCGGTTTCTCAGCCGCATTACATTCCGTTCCTTGACTGCCACTCCGTTATCATTCATGTCTATTGGTCACCATTCTTCTCTGTGATGTGTTCTGCCCATGCCCGTGTACTTTGATTTACAGTTTCAATATCGTATTAACCCGTGTATGTTCTCCCAAAGCGTGCGTTCACCCTTCTGTCTTTCAAAGTAATTCCAAAGTGCAATGTCGTAATAAAACATTCAGCTTGTTACCAAATGCATGCTCACTAAATTGCCAATGTATATTTTTTTCACTCTCACACCCCACTACTGCCCAGCTTGCTATGGCTCTGTAGCATGGAAAAAGAACACAATCAATACTCATTTTCAGTACTAAAAGAACAAGCAGGTTGATCATTACGTCACCAGAAATTGCAGACTTAATTCGTCTGCTTACATATCAGTACTGTTGTCATCCGATATCTCTTTCATGTTTTTGCAACACTTAATTTTGTAATTGTACTTTGATCAGCCTAAAAATAACCTGCCCAAGCCAACTTTGTGCTGCATAAATATTAATATTTAACATTTATTTCACCTAAATTTGTTTGTGCAATATATTAGATGTTTTCATATTACACGGTTATTTTAGCTTCTGTTCCGATGTCTATATGCTTCAATGCTGTACTGTATTTTATTTGTTTTTCTATTTGTGAATTTGGTGACCCAGGTAACTTGCCAGTGCAACTATCCTGGTGGCCCCTCTCTAAAATTCTCCCTTCTGGTTAAACAAAATAAAATGGAAACTTGAAACAAGAACTGCAGTTGGCACCCCATTCGTACTCCACCACCTTCCGACAAGAAGCATTAACCACAATGCTCTGCGGCGCCACTCGCAATTCGTAGATCACCACAAATTAGGGTTGCAATTCAAGTCGATGACAGGCCATATCAGTGGCGTCATGGCGGATGTAGCGGCCTCCAGTCACCGCAAGCGGTCACCACGTGAACTCGTTGCGTGCAACAGATTCAAATCGAACGTCAATTCTTGCACGCGCCATTTGCTGCCAAACGTCGGGAAGTAATCCGATAATTTTAACAAGCAATAAAAACCGGACTAAATACCGTAACCCCTTCCGCACAACCCACATCACAGAGACGTGTTTTGTGCGATCCGTGTTGTTGTTGTTTTCTCGGGGCCATCCCCGCACGACCGCGAACGCGCCGGTGCCCGGCACTCACCAGCTTGAAGAGAATCCGTGCCACCAGGCGCACCATGTCCGTGGGGATGTTTGGAGCGACTTTCTTGAGGCAGCGGCATTCAGATTTGTGCTCCGTCCAAGCGCCTTTCTGAAACCACCAGCAAACAAAACATCAACACGTGGCGATCCTGGCCAGCTGGTTTTAAAAAAAACGTAATCAACTCTAAAATTACCACAGACGCGACGGAATGCCTTTTTGATTGAATTACGCAGTGCGACGTTAAGCCATTGTAGTCGTCGACACAACAGGGAAAGGTGCAGCCCTGCAGTTGCTTGGTGGTGGAAAGGCTTCGATTAGAGGGAGCTCGAGAGAACCACTGGAGCACTTTGACAGACTTCCACGCTGGCCAGATGCCTTGCAGAGGCCGGGAGGACCCACACTCTACACTGGTATTCGGTGGGGTAAAGTGTGCATGGTATTTAATAATGGACAAGTGGCCAAACAACACAATCTATTAATCATATAGAATCGCAAAACTACACGAACTCGCAAATGAAGGTCCCGTGATTAGCAGACCTCAACAGTGGTATGTGGCTCCTGGATACTTGCCATACATAAGAGGTACTTTAATTGCAAATTACTTGGGATATTTTTGTTTAGAAAAGCGCAACCCAAAAACCAATGGACATTACATATTCCAGGCTACAAAGTACCACAAAGTTGTAATAACAATCTACAATACTTTAATTGTCAATTAGATGCATGAAATATGCCAATTAAATATGAAACTAGCATAAGTAATGATTTCACAAAATGAAATGTGGTAAACTTTTTTTTTATTACAAGGCCAACTGAAAATAACCAATTTTATTATTATTTTATCCCAAAATTACAAATTAAGTTACAATCTGGCAAAGTGAATTCAGCAGACATTGGGACCTTATATAGTTCCGACATTAAAAATGCCAAATGGTATATCGTATTTTGCGGGAACGCTGAATGTGTGTGTGATTCATGTGCGACTGCCAAAAAAATGTGAGTCTCAACAATTTCTAAACCATTTGTACCTTTACAGCACAAATGCCCAAGATTGATATATAATATATGCCCTTTATACTGACCAAGGCCATCACATAATGGTGAAAAATACAGCCTTCATCATTTTAATAAACTTGTCGTTTTCCTTTTTACAAAGCGTATTGGTCACTGGGTGCATAAAGAAAAGTACTTTCCTCATTCCAAATCTCGTAACGCCGAGCATTCTACCCTGGCCGAGTTTTCACCCAAATAGCTGAAAAACGCAGGTGATTGTCAATGGCAACAGAGAGGCGGCCTCATCACGCCCACTGTGTTATTTTCCATGCTATCCCCTTGATGGCTGGAATTTTTTGTTTAGTTTGCGTAATCTTTGCGTTGACCGTTTCTTGAGCCATTGCCACAATCAGAGGGGGGGGGGGGCAAAGACGTTTGGACGAGGACAGCTGTGCATCCTGCTGAAAAAATTGGCTTACATGACCACCCCCGATGTGCAGCAATGTAACTGAATGCGTTTTACACTGTGAAAAAACATAATCTGCAAGGACAAAGCACACCCATCACATTGCACAGCAGTCGGTGTAAAATAGCTTCTTCCGTTCAAGTCAGCCTACATGGCAGTGATGGGCAAATTGCAGCACGTGGGCCGCATGCGGCCTGTTGTAAGCGTATTTGCGGTGATGCGTAGGGTCATGATTAGTGCACAAGCACGATTTCAAGCTTGCGGCCCACTATCTGCTACACAGCAGCAGGGGTGTAAAGCTTCACCGCCCTCACAACTCAATGAATTGTCGCGCCTCCGGGTTGCGAGTAGATTTATTGTAACACTGTGATGAATGTAACGGCCTCTCGTGGCTGGAGGTCACGTAAACCTATCGCATTAAGCATGTCGTCATATGTCACCATCAATCCACTGCTGGATAAAATCCTCCAAGCCATTGCCATCTCTCAGTTCTGCGATGTAACAATCCATCTAACACCTCCACACGATCTGATTTCAACGCTCCCCTCTCTGGATCTACATACACCGAGACGATTTTTCTCCCATGGCTGCCATTCTGTCGTTGAGTCCATTTGGCCACCAACCCTCCTAGCGATGTGTCCTTCCCATGCCCAATTACTGGGATTAATAAAACATCTACGAATCAAGAAACACCAGCTCCTTACACTCGTGATTCGATGCATGCAATGTGAGCTTTTGAATCCTTTTTTATTGATGCAGCACTACGGCTCTAATACATACCAACGTGGGCATGTTGTGTGTAGGTCAGTCTTAGATTCATGGCTGGGACCCACGAGGCCGACAGCCCCCAATGCCCAGACCAAGGCTGGGATTTAGCTTGAGGCCAGTGTCAAGGCCGGGTGCTTTTTCCACTGGCACATCCGTGCCGTACGTGGGCCGTGCCGGAGCAGGCCGGAGCCGGTAACGAGGGTTGTTTTTCCACTGTAGAAGCCAAGCTGTTCCGCCGACATCGTCACATGTAACGTTGTGACAATGTGCCGCACGTAGATGACGCCACGATATTTTATCTTCCTCACAGGGTTCTGACGTCACACTCAATGAAACACATCATTAGCCCCACCGCCCCTGGCTCTGCTGAGGCCCGAGCCAGATTCAGGTCTTCCCAGGCCGGCGTGCATCACGGTTTTGCCACGGCTCAGGTTGCATGTGCCACTGGAAAAGCTGATATAAGCGAAGTCTTCTGGACTGTGGTCACACACCCAAACGAGACTTGAAGCTGAGGACTAGTCCCAAGGATCCAAGACTGGTGTAGGTGGACTTGGAATTGTTAGTTTGGGTTGTGATACCTGGCAGGATGCATTGCAGTAGTAGGCAAACTTGCAGTGCGAGCATCGCAGCAAGCGACTGTCTTTCCTGCAGAAGAGAATCGCAGAATGTTCAGCCAAATACCATTGTACAACAGCATCCGCATCGCTGGATCATTAATACATTTACAATTGTTCAAATTAATGTATTGTATTTAGAGACCATTGAATTTTATTTAGAGCATTGTTATGCACAATTTCAGATGTTGTTGTTGGCATATCATTTTACCACGTGAAAGAAGTAGAAAAAAAATGCGGTCATGTCATTGAAGATACCGTGTGTGGAATAATGTATTGCCTTTTACCCGTCCACTTCTGTATGAAGTAGTAACAATGTTTGAAACGTTTAGAAACATGTTAGAGCAGCAGGCATCTGGTGTTCGCTCGATACATCGCGAATCTCATTAACATACAACACGTTCGCCAAAACTACTTTAAGAGAACATTTAGGGAATAAGTGACGTTTCAGTCAACGCCCCTTCTTCACAGCACATAAATCACGGCACAAATAATGTGTGCCATGACAAAGGGGCAGTGCCCAAAACGTCGCCGATATATTTTTTCAAGTAAGCCAGTGCCAATGGCCATTGTGTCAAGTTATTACAGCGCCACTGCCAAACGCAGCATCACCAAATAATGAGTTGTCAGCATTCGTGGTGCCTCTTGTTCAACGTTCTGCAGTGTTGGGAAGGGACCCAACACGTGTGCCAGCGTTTCATAGGCCGTCTGCGAGGCTGTGCTACGTTGTGAAGCAACAGGGCAGCCAAGGAAAATACAATGTTGGACTGTGCTTCCATGCTCCTAGATATATGCTCCCCGCCTGCACCAAACACCACTGACGAAGCGTGGTGGAGTGGCCCTTCTCCCCAGGAGTTCACTTGACGCGTCATGTTACTTTAATTCAGATGTTTGTTTAATAAATAATAATACAATTTTATATAGCGTCATTCATGCTAATTGTACATTATTCATAAACAAAATCGCATTAAGGGCTAAATTCTACTCTGAACAATTACTGTATTAAGTAAATGAAACCTCAGAAAAATAATAACAAATTAAGAAATAACATTAAATGATTCAACAACAAATAAGTTGTCACAACAAAGCATTCAGTCCACGGATATCCTCGGCTCTTTCAGGATGGCCCTGCGATTGAGCCTTGGGAGACCTCGGACCTACAAAGGTGGAGAGTGGAAGTATCGGGAGGGCACACGAGGGGGGGGGGGTGTGACACCAGCTCCACGCACGGCCGCCTTTGTCTTTCCAGTGCCAAATCTGTTTGTAGCACAGTGCGCTAACCACTAAGCTACGGGGTCTCGCACAAGACGGGACACAGAGACAAGCATCCCTTGTATAGAGCCAACACAAGTTGTGCATAGAGCCTACACAAGTTGTGTGTAGCAACACAAGTTATGTATAGAGCCAACACAAGTTATGTATAGAGCCAACACACGTTGTGTATAGCAACACAAGCTGTGTATAGCAACACAAGTTATGTATAGAGCCAACACACGTTGTGTATAGAGCCAACACACGTTGTGTATAACCAAACACAAGTTATGTATAGAGCCAACACAAGTTGTGTATAACCAACACAAGTTATGTATAGAGCCAACACACGTTGTGTGTAGAGCCAACACAAGTTATGTATAGAGCCAACACAAGTTGTGTGTAGCCAACACACGTTGTATATAGCAACACAAGTTATGTATAGAGCCAACACACGTTGTGTGTAGAGCCAACACAAGTTGTATAGATCCCCCGTATAGCCTTGACAGACTGCTGGGGCAAGTGCTGTTAGCGAGCACCTATTAAGGCCGGCACTGTGGCACACGAGGGGGTGGGTGGCCAGCACCACGCCCGGCCACCTTTGTCTCCCCAGTGGCGATGTTTACACACCGCACCGGCTACTCATTGAGGCCGAGTCGACCTAGGGGAGGCGCACGATCGGTCCAGATAATACTCGTCACCGGCGTTGGCCGTGAGCGGCAATCGAACTCCGCTCGCCGTGGCCGAAGCGCTGCGGTTGGGCACCGCACTCACGCACCTCGCCAGGCAGTGGTCGCACACCGTGTCGTGGCTGCCTTTCACCACCACGCAGGCGTAGGGCTTCGAGGAGTAGATCAGTGCCCCGGGGTGCACCGCTCTCGTCGCCTGCAGCCCCTGGCCCTTGCCGCCTAGGCACGAGCACCGCTCCATGCTGCACATGCTCGCCCACTGTAGCCCACTGTAGCGCACTGTCCGTCAGCTGTGCCCGGGCGCCACGTGGGTAGCACGTGGAGCCTGATGAGGACGAGACGCGTGGGGTGGTGGGCGTGGCGTGCGTGGGGGGGTGGGCGTGGCGTGCGTGACGTCATCACGCTCGGCGACGTCCCCTGAAGCGGCGTGTGGCCGAAGAGGTCGTGACGTCATCACGCTCATCCAGTCCCTGCGTCAGCGCGTTGCTGAGTGCCGGCGTCGTGAAGCTCAATCGCTCCTTCAGCGCGTTGCTGTTTGGAGCGTGACGTCATCACGTTGAGCAGTCCCATGAGCGTGTTGCTGTTTGGGGCGTGACGTCATCACGTTGAGCTGTCCCCTGAGCGTGTTGCTGTTTGGGGCGTGACGTCTTCACGTTGAGCAGTCCCCTGAGCGTGTTGCTGTTTGGGGCGTGACGTCATCACGTTGAGCTGTCCCCTGAGCGTGTTGCTGTTTGGGGCGTGACGTCATAACGTTGAGCAGTCCCATGAGCGTGTTGCTGTTTGGGACGTGACGTCATCACGTTGAGCTGTCCCCTGAGCGTGTTGCTGTTTGGGGCGTGACGTCATCACGTTGAGCAGTCCCCTGAGCGTGTTGCTGTTTGGGACGTGACGTCATCACGTTGAGCTATCCCCTGAGCGTGTTGCTGTTTGGGGCGTGACGTCATCACGTTGAGCTGTCCCCTGAGCGTGTTGCTGTTTGGGGCGTGACGTCATCACGTTGAGCTGTCCCCTGAGCGTGTTGCTGTTTGGGACGTGACGTCATCACGTTGAGCTGTCCCCTGAGCGTGTTGCTGTTTGGGGCGTGACGTCATCACGTTGAGCAGTCCCCTGAGCGTGTTGCTGTTTGGGACGTGACGTCATCACGTTGAGCTGTCCCCTGAGCGTGTTGCTGTTTGGGACGTGACGTCATCACGTTGAGCTGTCCCCTGAGCGTGTTGCTGTTTGGGACGTGACGTCATCACGTTGAGCTGTCCCTTGAGCGTGTTGCTATAAGGGACGTGACGTCATCACGTCGAGCTGTTCCTTGAGCGTGTTGCTGTTTGAGACGTGACGTCATCACGTTGAGTTGTCCCTTGAGCGTGTTGCTATAAGGGGCGTGACGTCATCACGTCGAGCTGTTCCTTGAGCGTGCTGTTTGGACGTGACGTCATCACGTCGAGCCGGTCCTTGACAGCGTTTGCTCTGAGTGACGTCATCTCGTCGAGCCGTTCTTTGAAAGCGTGTTGCTCAAGGGACGTGACGTCATCACGTCGAGCTGTTCCTTGACAGTGTTTGCTGAGTGACGTCATCACGTGGAGTCACGCTGGCTGCTTTCCCGCGCGCTGCGGGCCAGAGGCCACTTGTCAGCATCTCCAGAGGCAGCTCTGCCGCCGTGACTACCACGTGACGCCGTCACTACCACGTGGCGCCGTGACTACCACGTGACGCCGTCACTACCACGTGGCGCCGTGACTACCACGTGACGTCGTGACTACCACGTGGCGCCGTGACTACCACGTGGCGCCGTGACTACCACGTGACGCCGTCACTACCACGTGACCGCCACGTCACTGGTTGCACAGTTCTGCGAGAGATGCGAATTTGTGACTTCATGCCGACAGCGCAATCGGGATAGATAATACTCCGTATAAGAACAAAAACCCACTCACGAGCAGTTAAAATTTCACAAAGCACGTGCCAAATATATCACCTTAACCCCCCACCCCTTCCGAGCTAATCATTACCCAGCAGGAGGGTAGCCAAGCAGCTCGTACAATAACCTACAATTTAGGAACATTTTATTTTAGTGCGATTCACAAACCTGACGTTTTTATTTACTAAAGGAATGCACAGCCAGCTTTGTTTAAAAAAAAATCTGGTTTGTATATCAATCTTGATTTGAGTTGTATATCAAGTTGAATTCCAATCCAGTCAATTGCTATGCCGAGCAAATAGGCACAAACCAAGACGTATGGTCTCAATGTGCTCTTACCTGCCTTCAAGGCAATCAATCACACACAATGTGCAGGGAAAAAACAAATTAAGCTGCACGCCCAAAGTGACCTTTCGACATTTCGTGGCAGCAAAGCAACATGGCATACACACCCATTTCACCTTCAATAAGGAACATCAGAACATAAATGAGCATTTGGCATGTGAGTGGAAACTAAGCACCACAAGAACTACCCATGAATGTGAAGGGATAATACTAAAAATGTCTGCATAGATTTCAGAATCCATTGCTGTGCTGCCATGTGTCTTGCCCACGTGACAGCACCTGGCATTCCAGCAGATTCCCATCCAAGCACGAACCAGGCTCTGACCTGCTTAGCATCCAGGATCTTGCTACCCATCTTTGAACCAATTTCCAGAGTTTACGGCACAGTAATGAGAAAAAAACAACATTAGTGTAGAAACACGATTGTTTTGGGGCTTTTATTTAAGCTTCATAAAAACAAGTTGTGAAAAACAATACAGTTCAACAGGCTACGCCCTCGCCTTTATAATGTAATGTACAGTCTTACTTTGGTACTCTTAAAGTATGACACTAGATTTTTGCAGTCATTAGACCAAGATAGGGGTATGCCACTCTTCCATTAATGGAAAACTCTTCCAAGTTTTTGTAAGCATATCCGACATTAATTCTCGCACAATTCATGTGTGCATTACTGAAGCGGGCAGTATAAACATAATTTCCCATTAGGTAAAGTTGATACGTTTACATACCACATTCTGGAAATGCACATCTCTGTACTATAAACTAAAACGCAGTCATGTTATTACAATACTAAAATTAATTCATCCAACTCGTATACGAGGGAAATGAGTCACTTAATCACGATCATTGTTACATAAAATGCGTATATCGTTCAGTGTAAAAATTCCCAAAACTGACAAAAATGCACTTTTTGTGCAATTTTTTGTCATTAAATGACAAAGACTAAGAAAGTTTCACCCTCCAATAAAATGTAAAACCGGCTCTATTAAACAAACGTAATACAATCAAATACTATGCATAGAGCAGGTATTGATGAAACATTCTGTCCAGTAGAAAAATGTAAATGGGCAGGCCAAAATACCATTTTGTTGATATTAATGCAGACATGAACCAGTACCAGACTGCATAATCCTAGTGGCCACATTTGTCAACATCTAGTCCATCGGCAAACAAGATTTAGTGAAACACCAAACGGGATAAGGGTGCTAGAATGCACTTCAAATTATATTATTACTAACACCTCAAGGATAAAAATTGGGGTCAGGGACCATCAATGGCCAACTACTGTATTCGGAAAATATGAAACAATGAACATAACTTACAGCCTTGTGAATCCAATGCTGGATGAGAGGCCTTCCCATATCATATCGGTCATTGGGGAGGGGGGGTGTTTAATGATTCAGCACAAATATCTGCTTATGTATCTTGAATTTAAATCATAAGAGAGGCCGCCGTTGAGATTTCCAAGTCTCTTTTAAAATGGGAGACCTGGATGACATTATTATAGGTTAGATTGTTCCTCTATTTTAAATAACAGGATATCTGCTGAACTAGGATCTCCTTTTGCAAAGAGACCCACGTAAAACACAGGACCACTTCAAACGAAGAAAGCAGAAAAGAATGTGAAACTGACAGATGTATGTCCTCAGTCTAAATTGCATTATGAACAAAACATTTGCGGAGGCAACTATTGATTAGTAAACAATGTAATCTTGACCAATGTAGGCCCTGAAGACTGGAAGCTGGGCACCGAGGAATATCAGCAACTACAGACTGTTAGAGGAATATGGCTGCTAGGTTTACGCGTATTATAGCGTTACGTTCAAAAGCTACTATTGCTCACATCACAGTACTATAACGTAGCCTTGATCTGGAAGCAATCAATTCTTCTGGGTTGGTCTTCAGCTCCAAGCCTTTGGTCTGTCTCATTGATCCTGATTAGGCTGAGAAAAGGAAAGTGGGTTATTTTACAATTTCCCTACTTACCCATTCTTACAGTTACATTTTCCTCCACCTTTATGTAAGTTATTTCACATCAGCGATCAGACGCAGTGCACAGGAAATTAAATAAAAAAAGCATTGCACAAATTCCCAAAAAACTGGATCAGTTTTCGCAATGCGAGCAACACAACTGTAAAAGGATGCTTTGGCAAAAGCATAAATTAAATAACAGCAGTCTTTGAGAATGTGCATTTCAAAATACACGGATAACCATGCTCACGACATGCATTAAATATTATTTTAGAATTATGCAATATATAGAGGGTATGCTAACAGTTTACATTTAGTTTAAATGGGGTGGATAAAACTTTACAAATGAGTCAAAATAAAATGAGAAATAATACAAATGACATTGTAAGATCAAGACAAAAAATACTTCTAGACTCAAACTGAGAGCCCAGATCATAATTCAGCAAATCGTTAGGTGAGGGGGGGGATCATTATATGAATACATACTGCAAGATTTAACAATCGTGTGGTATGTGCAATGATTAGTTATTACATTTAAAATCAAATTCTTGAATTTATATATAAATAAACATCCTTTGAGTTAGTGTTTTACAGCAGTTACATAAATAGATAAAAAAAAAATAAAGCACATTACAGCACTCTCAAACAAGGCACTGATTTGCAGCCTTGATCTAAAATGTTTCAGATGTTACCAGATAAAAAACCTGCACAAAGAGACCACAAGGTTAAAGCAAAAAGGACGATGTAGTTTTTCAATGTGGAAAACCTATACTACTGTCAACAAAGTCTAACGGTGAGTAATCCATTAGCAACAAGGCTTATTGTAAACTATTCAGAGCTGCCAGGGTCAAGGTTAAGAGAATTTAAAACTATTCTGCACTCTTGGCTGATGAAATATCCATTTGATGGGATATAACTCAAATATAGTAAATTAAAAGTTTAAACATGAATATAAATACAAATGCCTCTAGGCAGTGTTTACATATTATTTTTATTTGAATGCTTGTTACCTTTATGCATTTTTTTATTGTCACGTAAACATTTGAAGTGTAATTAAGGCTCAGCAATAAAAAATAAAATAACAAAAACATAAATCTAATTATATATAGCCATTTACCTAAAAACTACCAGAAGTGCAGACTTTCCAGAACAAGATGATGTTGTTGGATTCAGGTTTACACAGTTACTCGAAAACGATGATGAATATACAGCAGGTTGTGTCTCCTGCATCGGATCGGGCACCAGAGAGGGTTGTGGTTACCCACAGGGCGACTCACGGAGCAGGTCGGGTTTGGGTCAATGCATCGCACGGCGCTCTCAGATGCGCTTCTGCGGCCGTCTGGAACGCTCTTCCTTTACTAGATTAGGAAGCCACTGGAGAGCGATGCACTTTTAAATTTAGATTGAAAACTCATTTCTTTAGAACTGCTTTTTGTGTTTAGTTTGTTGTCCTTCCCCCACACCTCTGATTAGTGGTTGGCTATGTACGGTGCGAAAGAAGTTCAACATGCGTGCAGTGCGGGCGGAACCACGGCGCGGCACACGTGCCCGAGCATGTGGTCGCATATGAGGGGACGATGGGCTGTGGGAAGTTCGGAACTTGTACGCCACTCTTAGACAGTGTTAAGTCAGCTGAAACTTACCTACACAGCAATTTGACAAGAACAACTTTCATACAAAAATCATCTGGTTAGACTCAGCTATATTAGAAACACACACATATAAAGAAACATAAAAACACACAGAGAAACAGATATATAAACACACAAGATATGCACACATACAGACATGTAGATGGAGATACAGATACATAAATCCACAGACACATTGATGTACACACACACATACACACATAGAAACGCATAGATACACGTCATCCACTATGTACAATGAGCAGAGTGAGTGACTGTCATATGGTTAAATGTTTTCTAGAATTCATATTTAGCACAGGCCTCTAAGGTTTAATGGAAGTTTTATAACATTGCAAGAATAATAAAATTATCCTAACATAAATGTAGATCATTGAGAAAATGTGTGAGTTGCGAGTCTTATGAAAGCTGGTTTGATTGCGGGTTCGAGTTGGATCAGATAATTGCAGGTCGGATTGTGGGTCAAAAAGCGAGACCCGTGCAGAATTCTATAGCAGGTGCGATTTTCAAACATTACATACTTAATATAAAACATCCTCAGGTTATCACTTGCAATTGTTAATTCCGTTAAAATTATATAATTGCATAAGCTTTAACAGCAATGGTGTGAAAATAAAATTGGGGCCGACAGTCGTGTAGATACTTGGGAGAAAGGGGTAATGCATCTTGTAAACATCGAGCCAAAATAAAAAAAAAGGTGACTTGATAGTGATATTTCATTCCTTACTTTGTATTTGGACAAGGAAAGGCAGAGCAGCCACCACATTGTTTGACTGTTGTGAAACTAATGATTATAAATGACCTTGCTATACCCATTGCAGCAATGCCTTTTGGGGGCTACAGTGTGAAACAAAAGAACAAATCGAAAAAGTTATAGGATTGCGGCAAAAGAAACCTGCATAGACCTCTGTGTAGGGAAATACAATATGCAAGACAAGATCCCACTCAAAGCCTTAACATACTTTATCGGTGAATGATTTTAGCGAGCACCGAAGAAAGCCAGCAGAGCGCAAGGAGTGGGTGGGGGGGGCAAATTCATGCCAGGTCACAATTGTCTGCCGAGTGACGATGTTGACACATCGCACCAGGGACTCAAATCAGGCCGAGTCAACCTAGGGGAGACCCAGGATCAGTTCAGATAATCGTCACTGGTGCCGGCCGTGGGTGGGAATCAAACTCGGGTTGCCGGGTTTGTAGTGCAGCGCGTTAACCGGCACCCTGGTGTGCTGCGCCCTAACCGCTGCACTACCGCTCCCCTACACAACTTGTACATATACAAAGATACACGCACAGCTTGCATAAATATGTTCACCTAATAAACACCCAGCACACATTCCCAGCGTAACATTCCTAACCCCACAAACTGTCAAACTGTGAAAAATGCAGGATGCCACTGGGAGAACGGAGAAACATAAATTGGCACAAACTGTATAGTATAGAGCAGCACGGCACACTGGTGTGGTGCTCCTCTTAAATAGGACTATTGTGAGATATTGGGTGTTACCAAACCATAATGTCGCAATGCGTGTGTATGGTTAACGTATGACTATACTTCACAAACACTATGTGGATGCTTGAACTCTGTTAAATGGAACTGGATTTGTCTTGCTGTATATACAATTACCAAAAAATATTATTGCCGCATATTTCAATCACCAATGAGATACATCTTAATGCCTATGACCTCTCTGAATTCTGCTAGGGATTAATCTGACCGTTAAGCTGTATTGAGCAAGTTCACTGCTTTAGGTAAATTGGTAGAGGACACAGGCGCAACAGGAAGCGTTAAGGGGGAATAAGCAAACGAAGCTCTTAACATCCTCATGGAAGAGAGGAATTCATTATGGCAATAATGGACAAGTCGGGGTGCTTTGTGTGAACATGCAGATCAGCATGCAGGTTGGAATTAACTCAAGCTCACAATCAAAAGCAGATGCTTCACATCAGAACAGAAAGCAAAAGAAGACAATAAATCAAACGATTAGGGTCAAAACGATTGTATTTCGGTGTCATGTAAAATCGGAAAACAGGGATAGACAACGGACGTACGATACATGCACAATTAGTTTGGTGCAAAAAACGAGGAAAAACAAGTCGAGCATTGTGTTAGAAACAACACTTGTGCCTCCTCCATGCCAGACTGCTGTCTTCAGCCATGTTACATGCCGTCAGGATTTATGTGGAGGGAGAAATCAAATGTGATTCGCTCCAAGTGTCAACCTTTATAAATGTATTTGCAATTCAATGAAACTGAACTCGGCAGAGAAAAAGTAAATTTTGACTGGTGTAAATAATCATATTGCTGGAACAAGTGGCAATTTTTAAGTCAGCAATCTGGCAAATGACACAACATCAGAACCACAACTCCACAAAACGTGAACATAGGCCCAACGATGACACACAAGTGAAATGACGTGCTTCTAACTCGGAGTTGGAAACGAAATGCTTTGGTATTTAAAGCAGACGAAGGGAAGCAGGAGGGAGGGGTACCACAGACTAAATAAAATCACTGTGCAACTTAATAAGTCGTGCCCCATTCACGATTACAATGATTAATTTCCGTTTTCATAAACGTCAGGATGATTCTGAAATATCGGAGTGTAAATACGCTTGCTGCGATTGCTAATTTGCATTTCTCTCTTGTAAATAAAACTTGCATGAGACTAAAAGTAAAAAAAATGCTTTCTAAAAACACACATTTACACAAGCGCAGCCATGCTCCTGTTTCAAGTGATCTGCTAAAAACACGAAAAACAATGGGCCCTTTTGACACGACAATTATTTCCAGCTCATCACTCCTGCTGACAGCTCATGATAACACACACTAGTCACGCTGGTAGCAAGGTTTTATGCGTAAAAATAATCATTTAAATTTAGAATACAAATGACACACCGCGTTAATTAACGTTTAAGAAGCAATGAAACGTTATCTTCAAGCAGGACGTAATTATATTTAATGGGATGATAAGAGATTAAAAACAATCGTTGGCCCCAATGGAATGCTAATCATTTCCTTATTAATTAACATATTTCCATCATCAGCTGCTACAATTTAATTATTTACAAGTTATGAAACCTATAACCTCTAGAAATGCGTGTGAGATTTAACCACTTCCCCTTTGAAAGGAATGTGTTTAATCAAGAGGCAGATGGCAACTACGAAAATAACCAACGATAATATAAGAATTGCAGAATTGCATAATACTTCAAATCTATTCAGTACATTCCATATAAATGCATATTTTACAAATTCATAAGCACCAAGCCAAACCTTTGTTTAAGTAATCATTATTGAGGCAGCAAAAGTTAGTCAATGACCAAGATTTGTACATTTAGAGGTTCTTTTTTTTTCAATTATCCATTTGTAAAATTTTTTCTATCCAAATAAAATTACGATGCAAAAGACTTTATAATAAAAATGTAAGATGTGTGCAACGTAATTTTCTTGTATTTGGATTAAAATATCAAACTGTTCAGACTGCAACGTCCGTTCTTAAAGCAATAGGAGTCATTCTTAAATGGTCATGATAATATAAATAGATCAATCAATATAAAGTTATCTGCTTTATTTACTCGTTATGAGAAATCCAAGCAGTTGATAAGAATGTTATACATCATAAACCTTGACCAAATAGTTAATACTAATAAAAATAAATAATTTGCCACAATTGCATAAGTTGCTAGCATGGAAACTATTCAATACAGACTGATTTAGCGTTCTAGCACCCCTTTAGCATACATAGAAAAATAAGTTACATTAAATCCTTCCAATTGTTATTTTATTTGAAATTCAGAACATGGGCTACCAACTCTCTGTAATATTATCAATTTTCCAATATTATTTCAAGCAGACAGTATATTTCATTGAAAGTTACATATCTAATGAGCATGAGCTTGACGAAAAGAAATGGTGCCCCCTTGTGAATATTACGCAGAGATTATCTTCACACGATAAGAAATCGAGTGGAGGCAGTAAAGTGGAGGACTCAGCCAAGCCAGGATTGCCTATTTGGTTGTATGATCGTCCTCCAGACATTGCCTGCATTAACGATGTCACATCAAGAAATATTTATTTGTTCAACAAAGTTACTGTTTTAATAACTACCAAGCACAATTAATCCTCTATGTTGATGCATTAATAAATATAATGGTTAAATTTCGATTTAAAGCTTTCGTGACTGCAGGGATTCATCTTCTTGGTTCTTTCGGTAAAGTCTGTCGCCTCGACGGACCTGGTTTTCACCTGAGGACGGCTGCTTGCGTTGTGGCCGAAACGTCGTGAGAATTATTTTATTATGTTTTATTTTTATTATTTTATTACTTCCCTTCTACGTGACTTTACCGAAAGAACCAAGAAGAAAATATAATGGTTGTCAATACAAATATATTCACATGACGACCAATCTTTGTATCCCAAGCCATCTACTTGTGTGCGTTTTCGATGATCATCAAGTAGAAATTAGATTATGTGCCAAACAATAATCATAGTTCACAATGTGTTTGAGTTAGTTCGCGTAAATAATAATGTTTCGTTAAACCCACCACCACCCGACAGTCAATTAGTAAGGTTTGTAGCGTAAACAAAACATGCCACAACATGTTGTGGGTTTACTCTCCAACACACCGGTGTGCTGTACGAATTGCCATGTTCTGTTTACGCGTCAAACCTTACAAATTGGCTGTCGGGTAGTGACGGGTTTAACAACACATTTATTGATAATTGTTTTTTTACCCTTCTATCTGGCAACAAAACTGACACCTTTTTTACAAGGAGTCATGTTTGCATAGACCACAATATCTGCAGTCATAATGCAAACAAAAAACATAACTCTGATAATGTGCACTGTCCTTGATGTTGATTGGTCCACACCCGAGGCAGCTTTCCTTAGAGCCTAGTCTCACATGGGTTGGCACTGCTTGTAGTGTTTGATAACACTTTTTTTACATTGCTAGCTTCAGTGCTCATAGAAAACTCACGCAAGGAGGTAAAGAAAGCTCCACAAGATTATCAACTTTACCGGCACCTCTACACGACTTGCTGCCCGACAAGTGGGTGCCTCAAATACAGGACCTCAGTGCATCTCAACATACTGACCACACGTTAATTGATCTCCATTACAGCCACCACAACTGGCCGCTAATGCTTTTCATTGTGCCCCATGTACCGGTGATTTTTGATATCACGTTCCATTTATCAATGCATTTTATTTAGCAGATAATCCATGTAAACTAAATAATTCTGAGCATAATAAACACAATGACAGTAGTTGTTTTTAAATGCATACAGAGTTACGTTAATAAAATATTGCTCCATCTTTGTCCTAGATGTATAAAAAGCCATGGAATGATGGCACACACTGCACTATGAACCTGGTGACCGACTTCGACTCCTGGCCATGACTCACAACAGTGGTGAGTGATATCTGAACCGATACGGAGCTGTTAATTAAAAACAATTTATATTTTTATCGAAAAACAATAACTTTTTAGGACACGACGACAAAGCTAAACCCTAACTTTTTGGTAATTTGAGCTTCGAGTTATTGCCCACTCTAGAGGATATATTATCTGTCTGGCAGCTTGAAACCCAGGAGATTAAATTAAGCTACATTTCCCATGTCACTTTCACACACATAACTGTGAACAGATTGGGTATGGAATGAATGGTAATGTGCTCGTGTTTAGTTGGCATGCATCTCAAATGTGCATTATGTGCAGGAATACATTTACACATACAAATGCTGTTAAACGGGGACCTATGTGATGATGTCAGAACAAAGTTTACTGAAGTAAACGGTCTGGAAGCCAGTAATGTGCACCACACCTGTCGGATTTTCATCCGTCGAGTCTCTTGTCTCAGCCTCGCTCGACATCTCCGCTCTCTTTACAGGGCCTACAGACAGCGCTAATTAGGCACAGGCGATTCTACACAGCAATTATGTGAAAGACTTTTAATTACTTCATCTGGACAGATTATATGAACTAGGTAAAATTCCACCGAGACCAGCAGTTTCTTTTACAAGGGCAGACATTTAATTATGGTCGTTTTTAAATAATTATCTAAAAAAGGAAAAAAAACACGAAAAGTGTCAGACGCGAAACAATAAGGTTATGCTCCATATAAATACATCGTAATTGGGCCAAAGACACAAGTCATTATAATTCCATTTATACACTGCTTTTAGATTTGTGTTTAGTTTGTTATCCTTCCCCCACACATCTGATTAGTGCGGTTGACTATGTACAGTGTGAAAGAAGTTCAACATAAATAGGTATAAATGGCATTAGAATCACACGATTAGCTGCGTACAATGTGAAAGACGTTCAAAATGCATACGCACATTAACAAATACAAGTCACTCCACATATTTAAACATGTAAAGGACAGGTTAAGGATAGCTTTACTTAAAATCAAGATCTGTATTTTCTTCACGGCAACTAAACGTTAGTTTGTTATATATATCTTGGTGGTGCTATTAATACACATATCATGTGTCCACAAGAAATGTTCGATCATAATATAGTTCAATGGGTTTTGCTGCACTCTCCTCTGCAGACGTATCTCCGCAGCAGCAGTTTTGATGCATGCTGGACACCCATTCAAACACTGTCCAGGCTAAATCCCTTATTACATAGCTATCGAGATCGGATGAGGTCATGTGCATTCCAGGCAATATAGATTACAAGCACGTTCATGTGCTCGATCTGCCATTCACATTTATTGTAGCAACGGCCGGGGCTAACAGCAGTTTCTGTAGAATGTGTGACACATGAGCAAAGTTTATCATTGCCAACTTACGCAGCATTGCTTTGCGATATACAATTACACATACCACCTTGAGTGGAGGATAAAGTGGACTTACCCAACGCCTCCACACTTGTCTCGACTGTCACGTCAAGCTCATCCCGTGCGGACAATTCGTTTTCTTCCCCGCCGACATCATTTGGTTTTTCCACCACCTCCAACTCCGCAGGGGCTTTTGCACTTTCCGTCATCGCAGAATGTGTTTGAGAAGACACCGCAACCTGAGACTCGGAGGCTCCATCTCTGGTTGTAACGGCAGTCATTTTCTCCCCAATTGTTTCTTCCTAAATTGGGACAAAAAGTATAAATAGAGGCACTGCAGGGATGCGGGAAGTATAGGATTTGACTTTGTTCCAAATGTCATGTAAAGAACCATTTTAAAACATGCATCCAAACATGCAAAAATTATGTCAAGTAATTTATTTATGTCGGTCATTGCTTCACGAAGTAAAAAAAAGGATAAAACAGCGCTAAAGTCACCCTCTGTCATGCATCACGTCCACTGTACTGGACCTGCGAAAATATCTAACACTGGAATGAAATTACACAAAGCATTTTAAACACATTGTGAGGGTAATTGGGGGGAAGTTCCTTAAATTGGTAACATCACAATAATCCAAAACAATAGTTTGGCTACAAATAATGTATGCATCAGAGGGCTAAATTTCAAGGTTTAGAGCGATTCACTTACTGCCACTGCAGGTGCACGTGCACCCTTATCAGCAGGTGCTGTGATAATGGGCTGTCCGTCATCAGCACTCGTTTCTTTATCTGGAGTTGAATTCTGGTCACCGTGTGGCGTGGTAGAAAAGGAAAGCTCAGTGGAGACTTCGGCTCCTGCTGTGTTCGTGCTCGACGTGGCGACAAAATCACTCTCTGACGGGGCAGCGGCACCACCCGGTGCTGCTCTTGCAGAAGCGGGCTCCGCAGCGATAACGTCACCATTCTCCACCTTTTCTAAAGGATCTGTTCTCACACCATCACCGTTATTCAAGTCCTTTGTAGAGCCCTGCCCGATATCATCACTGGAAGCTTCCGCGCCGCTATCGCCCTGCGTCATTATGGCCGATTCCTGCTCACAGTCGACGTCAGCCGATGCCGTTGTCGCGGTGACATCACTCTGTTCGGGTGCGCGTTCGGTGTCATCAGCTGGCAATGCCGAGCATTCAGGCTCACTGTCCTCACTCTGCGCAGCGGAGTGGTCTGACAAGGCGACATCACTTTGTGCCATCATGGGGGATAAACTCGCGTCAACGCCTTCTACAGATGCATCCGAAAGTACTGCAGGCTCAACAACAGTTGGCACAGTTGCATTACCAGGCTGAGCAGCAGTCTGCAGTTCCACTCTTTTCACACTTTGTTCCTCCAACACCTCATTCGGTACAGAGTTTTGAAACTCTGTTCGTGAACTAGGGCTGAGGATGGCAGGATCGCTTTGTATCATAGCAGCAACACCTGGCGAGGAGGCAGCCCTGCTGCCCTGGGCCAACACGGCAAACGGTGGGCAGCGGCCATCATTCTGTGCCATCGCCCGGCCGGGTAGCGGCAGACCTCCCGTACGAGCGTCTTTGCCCCCCGGAGGCGTGCAACTTCCCTGCTCCATGCCAGCTGCCACCCCTGCCACGTCGGTCTGCTGCGCAGGCCGCGGTGGAGAGTCCGACTGTGGCGACGCTGCCTCCATGGCTTCACCCCAGTCGCCCACGGGCTGGTAGCCATCGCCAGGTGAAAATGGCGAGTACGGCGTCGGTGGCTTAGAGGCCGTGCTGGCAGAGTCGTCAGCCGGGCTCCGCTCGGCTCCTTCCAGCACAGGGTCGCGCTCTGGCAGAGTGAGCCTCGGCGCATTCCGGGTCCGCTTGGGACGCTGTTCGCACTGCTTTGCCTTTGCTTTGGGTGTGGGAGGCTTTCCCCTGACTGGCTCCTCTTTGGGCTGCGATTGATCCAAATTTACGGCAGCACGTTCCGGCGACTGAGACTCTTCAATCACATCAACCTCTTCCTCTCCATCGTCTTCATCCCCTTCGTCTGCATCTTCCCACTCGTCATCGTCATCATTTTGTCCCTCCGCCTGCTCAAGTCTGTCTGGGTCCGATGCTCTCACTTGTGCCTGAAAAGAAACCCAAGATAATGTTTCACAAAACACAAGCATGCCACCCTTTGTATTCGGTTTATTAATTTTGCCAAGTATATCTTTGAAAAATGATATACCCACTTGATCTACACCCCTTGATGGCTGTTCATCATTGCTTTCCTCCCATCGGTCATCATGCATGCTGGAAAAAAACAAAATCAGAACTGTCAAAAAGTTTAACACACATCAAAATAACTGACAAAGCACTCAGATGTAAGCGTAATGCTTCTTTTTTTGCATGCATATTTTTGTAAAGAGACACAGAGATTCCTTCCTTCCAGTTTCTAAATTACATTCGTAACGTTTGTGATATACATCCAAGTGGCCATTAACTCAACTGATAAGATCACAGAAAGCAAAGAATGGGAAAATGTCTGGAAATAAGAAAACTTCACCTTGATTTCTCAAGGATGACCACAGCACACGCTATCATGCAAATATAGAATGATACATTATATTCCATGCATTAATAGAAAAGAACAATCATACATAATCAAGGCTCAGGTAACACATTCCAACATGCGTTTGTCCTTGGACGTAATTTTTAGGATAACAAAGCTGATGAGTTGCTCTCAGGGTAGAAAACGTTTGCTGATATGAAAATAGCCGTTTTAGTGTTGTTTTTCAGCTGCAAGCTGTGGGTGAACGTTTGCACACCTTCGCTAGTTTTCTACAGGATTAATCCCTAAGAGCAAAAAAATCTTGAAAATATTTTTTTTTAGTAATCGTGGGCACTCCATGTGTCAGGCCAGATGGACAGAGATAACGCATTTACCCTTTCAACCTTCTTTTGAAATCATAAAAAAAAAATCTGACATTTAACGTACACGTAAATATACATTATGCAGACTGAAAAACAGGAGGAGGAAGGAGGGGGGAAGAGGCGACTCGAGTCACCTGTAGTTCCTGGCCCGGCCCGTGAGACGCTCGCGGCCGGGGGAGCGGGTATCGCGAGTCCTCACTGGGGACGACGCGGCTGGTGCAGAAACAAAGTCGCCCAGGTTGCGATTTTTGGGCGGCCGTCGGTGGTCATCTGAAAACAAAATCCAGCAAGGGGCAGCGTGAGCAGGAACCAGAGCAGGGTCACTGGGAAACGCGCCACAGGAAGTCCTCTTAGGGCAGGAGCCTGAATTGAGACAGCCGTCGAATCGTTTGCATTGTTTGTACTATTATAACTTAGAATTTGCCGCTATTATTGTCGGAATAAAAAACGTAACTTTAATTTTAGGAATAATTTTTTTTTTGTTATTTTAATGCGCCAATGTCGTTGTGACAACTTGGCTCATAATGGTGTATTTAGCAGACATGGCACAGTCGTCTTAATTGGCAAAAAGCAGTTTAAAATATATATCTGGTAAGCTGTTTATGAAAATTTAAAGAATGTGTTCAGTTATCGAATTGATAAAATTAATACGTGAAAACCATTAGTCCTATTAAACACAAAATGCAATCCTGTAACAGTATATGCACTATAACATCGAACGGGCAATTCAGTGTCAAACAAAACAGTAAAAGACATGGGCATCCTCAAGTGCAGCATTGTCACAAATGATGAACAGATGCGAGAGGCGATAAAAATATTAAGTTTTAAAAAAAATATATGAGGGCACAAGACAGGAAGAATAACAGGCGCAACCTACATCCCTTTTGGTAGATGTTCACAAAACAAAAATGGAAACAAAATATAAATCATGCAACAGCATGGATGGGAATGATGAGTGCTGAACATTGCAGTGACGAGTGGTATTTACTGCAGCGATGAGAGCTATTTATCGGAGTGATGAGGGCAACCCAAGCTGCGGTGAAAGCGAATACCTGGCGAGAAAATACATTTTCACAAAAAGTGTTTTTTTTAAGAGTTTTTTTTTCTACAAGTGCCACATCGCGCAGATTTTTCAAAACAAATTCTCAGCTTGGCAATGTACTGCAACACATTTTTAAAACTTAAGCCGATTGTAGTGCATACGTGTTTAAGCTGATTCACATTACTTTGTGAGCAGCGATAAATGCCAGCATTCCCTTCAAAACACTTGATTCAACTTTCAACTAAATTACAAGCAATGGGGAGCAACCTTTACATAAAACAGATGTTTTGAGAATACCTAATGTTTTAGATTTTTTACCGAAACTTATTCAATGAATCTTCTTGGTACTTTCGGTAAAGTCACGTAGAAGGGAAATAATAAAATAATAAAAATAAAACATAATAAAATACAATTCTCACGACGTTTCAGCCACAACGCAAGCAGCCGTCCTCAGGTGAAGAACAGGTCTGTCAGAAAGACAGCGTCTTAATGAGCACCACCAAGCTTGGCAGCGTATATTTAAGCTGGGTTGGAGGGGGAAGGGCGCCTTGACAAAGGAATTTGCATATCAAAAATAATTTTGACTAATCCCATATCTGCATTTATCATAAATATGCTAAATTCCTCTTGATACGCAAATTCCTTTGTCAAGGCGCCCTTCCCCCTCCAACCCAGCTTAAATATACGCTGCCAAGCTTGGTGGTGCTCATTCAGACGCTGTCTTTCCGACAGACCTGTTCTTCACCTGAGGACGGCTGCTTGCGTTGTGGCCGAAACGTCGTGAGAATTGTATTTTATTATGTTTTATTTTTATTATTTTATTATTTCCCTTCTACGTGACTTTACCGAAAGAACCAAGAAGATGAATCCCTGCAGTCATGAAAGCTTTAAATCGAAATGTATTCAATGAAGTCATTTCAGGTTTAGCAAAATTACAAACAATTATTAACCTCCATTACTATTTGCCCCTAATTATATCCCAATTGGTATACTTGTTTCACAAGTCACAAGAAAAAGAATCCATTAGGAATGCTAGCAGAGGCAGTAACAACCCTTCATGAGAACGGCCCATGAAATCAGATATCACAGAGCTATATCCAAGATCCCCGACCTCTGGATCACAAAACAGAGGGCAGCAAATTCCTTTCTTGCTTTACCACCGAGAGTAAGATTTGTCACACGGCAGTAAAAATCGATATTTTTGTCACAGCTGAAATGTAGCCAAAATTCGTGCAGAACCAAAATTAATGTGGTGGGTTTTTTTTTAGTGGAGGATTTTGGGGACCAAGCCCATCCAGTCAATAAAATGTGAGAACCACGTTTAATCACAGGCAGCTGCCTGGACTCGAACCCAGATTTTCAGCGGTGCCAGCTCAGCACTTTGAATTCTGAGCCACCATGCCACCTACTTCAACCTAATTCTAAGGATTTTCATCCAACAGGCTATTACTTGAAAGTAGGGTGACCACCCAACATTTGCACAAGATTCCTGAAAAAGGATGAGCGGGCTGGAAAGTGCATTACATTGCAAGCCTGACTCGTGAACGTTATAGCTGAAAGATCTGCATTTCCAATGAAGATGAAAACAACATTTTGCTTTACACACTCATATGAACAGACCATGGGTTTGAAAATCCTTTCTCCACCCATTCTCCAGCCTGACAAGGTTTTACAAAATGTTAATTGAGAATAAGCGGTTAATTTAACAATGAACCACAACTAAATTGAATTATTAATAATATAAGTTTCAGGTTTTTTTTGCCGATTTCCCACATTTTCTAACTGCAGATAAAGCTCTGCAATGTTTAAATACATCTCACGTCATCTTGACAGATCTTGGAAGCAAGCGGTGCTGGTCCTGGAAGGGCAACCATCATGAATAACAGGTGGTATAGGCTCCTGCAGGGCTACATTGTGGACACCAGAGAGATGTACAGCATCTGTACATCTATGCTTCCCACTTTCACCAATCTGTACTAACCAGTAGTGGATTCACAGAGGGCTGTACATGTACACCTCCGATTAGCATGGGTGGCTACGTATGGTGCGAAAGTCAAACATGCACAGACATTTAATTATCTAATTATCCAGTTCCCAACCATGGTCAAGTCTGATAGTGACGGAGTGTATGGTGACACGTGCCACATACCACGTCCAACTAAAGAGAAAGATTAAGACTTGAATCGATTTCGGTGGAAATGATGCCTTATGATGAAAACCAAGTTCGCACTGCTTAACACATTTAAAAATATATCCTGCCCTACGTATAATAGGTCGCTTTTTTCGCGTGTTTATCATTGAAATTCAACGTTTCAGTCGTGGGTGACTCGATGTCAATTTAATTCGGGATTTCAAATTAACTTACATGAAAATACACAAATTATCCTTGCAGCTTGCATTCGCTACGTCAAATGCTCACTGATCGTACACTGCATCACCAAGCAAGGCCAGAGAACAAGGTGTGTTTGCTCTGGGTTTTCAAACCCCTGGAGCAGCCAGTTACATGAGCAGACAAAGCAAGCAGTTCAGCGCTGACATGCATTGTACCACCCCACCCACCAGGCAGTTTGAACCGTACTCCAAAGAGCCTTTTTCGATTCCCTGGTAGATGAAAAGGTTTGCAGAGGTCAAGAGAGGGAAAACGAATTGAATAGTAACAGATGGGAGTGCAATATAAAATGTCATCGTTTTTGAAAGAAAATATACAACTGTGTGGGAGTATGGCACGGTCTTATTTACCTCTGAAATTAGCGTCATTTCCATCTGGCACAGGCACCTGGTTTGCTTTGAACCTAAAAACACGTAAAAATGTAGAATTGTTAATTATACAGTACAACAATAGTAATTGCCAAATTGACTACAGCATCACAATATAACTGTGCACTGTGTGTATGTCCACAATTATACAGGAAGCAAACCATTACGTGAATTAATGTAAAAATGTTTCATTAATTGTAATGTGGTGGCAGAACACCAACATATATATTCAAGATAGTCAATTTATGGGATAACAGTAAACATTTCCATTAAACATGTTGAACGAATGTGTGTTATCAGATGTTTGCACACTTGCATATATAAAAGCAGTTACTTTAAATGCACTCTTTATAAAAATAATATGAATTAGCAAATTCAATTAAAATATACAGCATTGACTCCACCTTCAACACAATGTACTTTCTATATTATTGTATCTGTTTACCTGCTTATAACAGTTATTTTTTTAAGGCCAAATGTAGAATAGCTCGTTGATTCTAGCATCACAAACTATACAAATATACATTACTCGGGATATTAATACAACCAACTAAGAAAAACAAATACGAAACCTATACACAAGCCCACTGACAAAAAGTCACCCACCATGGCTCTTTCAAATTATCGAGTCCATCAACTGCTGGCTGGGCACGGGGGTTGTTTGATCATACTTCACCACGCTGGTACATGCTAGTGAAGGTGGCACCCAGAAGCAGTTTGGATAACACTTGCCGCTGTTAGCCACTGCCAGGAATTAAACGCCGGTTGCAGCGTTCAGAGTTCAAAGTGCTAATCGCTTTGCCACCACTGGACAATCAATTCCAAGTAATCATGAAATGAAAAACATTAGCAAGTGTGGGAGGGAAGACATGTGTTGAGGAACAGGGAAAAGTCAGTCATTGGAGGGGAGCTTTCAATCGATTCGTACATTTCATCGGTCTTCTGCGCATCCCACTCCCGCCGCCACTCCCCCGACGCGTTCTTGTGTCGGTCAAGGCGTGCGCGGTCGATGGCCTCGCGCTCCTCCTTCCAGCGAGAGTACTCGGCTCGCTGCCTCCCCGTCATGGACAGCGACATGTCGCTGGCGCCCTGCTGCCATGTGCCCTGTGGTTGCGACAGCAAGTCAACTCTCAATCATCTGAGCAAAGCCAAGCGAGCACAGAAATACAGAATAAAAATGTATATTGCTGCACTACTCTTCGTATGCAATGAATGGCAGTTTAGAACACTGTTTATGTTTTGGTAAACAGGAACAAAAGAGCTTTCCCAATGTAGCCATAAACTTTGTGACCAAGACCATACCTGCCTCTCCATGTCCCTACGCTTCTCCATGCCGGTCTTCACGCGATCAAAATCAGCTCCCCCCCAATTCCGCTGGTGCCGTCGGCTGCCCTCCCGCCTCTCAGCCCCCTCCTGATCAGCGTAAGCGCCCGACCGCCTGACGTCATCGAGGAAGTGCCTCACTGGATTCTTATCCACTTTTCCATCCTGAAATCGGAATCAATTGCAAAGGATGTCCAATAGATATGAACATTATGGAATCCAGGCAGATTACATGATACGATTGTATGGACAATATACATATTTGGAACAAAGTACCTCTTGCATTCATCAATTTTACCATGACAAGTGGTACATAATGACAAAGCAAAGGAAATTGTCTAATCATGATGTCAAGTCACATAAATACCTCTTACCCTTCGTCCTCTTTCATACTCGGCAATTTGTTCCATTTCTTCATTCATTTTCTCAATATTCTGTCTCCTTCTTTCTTCCCATTCCTGACAACAATGAAAAAAACATTAGCATCGATGTCCAACAAAATATTTTATCTGCGATCAATCGTACTGTGTAACTGTTTGGCTGGCATAATATACATTTACAGTTAAAACTTCTAAGGTAAAAAGGTTAAATTGCACATTTACAATACATGTAACACAACCGCAGCATTCACAACCTTGGTGAAGCAGGGTTTCAATTAAACATCTTACTTTGCTGGATCGGTCCACCTTCTCGCCGCGACCCATGCCGTCTCGTTTCCCCCTTCCCCTGCCTCCCCTCTCGGAGCCCCCAACACCTCTGGGGGGCCCAACGATCCCTGCCCCAGGCCCTGCTGCTTGAGGGGGCCCAGGCGTTGCTCCGGGTCCAGCCCCCGGCGGTGAAGGTCTGTCCGACGGCTGCCGTGAGGGCCCCTTTGAAGGCTGGAAGCGCTCCCGGTCCCTTCCTCTGCGGCGATCTATGACCACGCGCTCCTCTCGCGCCTCCTTGGCATCACCACACACGCACCATTCGTGGTTGTCGATTGTACCGCATGAGGCAGACCGTGTTTACAGAGATAATTGTTTTAAATGTTTTTCCCAACTAAGGTTGTAAACACTTGTACATTAGCCCCATTTGACAATTAATTTGTGATGGGGGGGGGGCGTTATAAGTTATAACGCTTGTAAACATGACGTTGTGTTGCTAATAGGGACTAACCTAGTTGAAAACCAGCCAATTTGCTAAAAGGCCAAATGATCAAAGCAATGTTTCTCAAAAACTCCTATTCCTTGTGACTCTTCCATGGTGCAGCTTTTCTTGATTACCAACCATGAGGTTACATGCAATGTGTAGTGATTATAAACATTAAACCGAATGTTAAGTCTGGAAATGTGTATCGCGAGGGGCTAAAAGAATTGGCGTTTTGAGAAACACTGGTCTAATGCATAGAGAAACGACTGGCAGATGCTTGCAAAGGTTTCAACAAACTTAAGCAAAAAAAATACATTCCAACTGCCCCACAATTAACGTCTGAAAACTATTCATTGTCTGCTTTATAAAAATGTTCTCATTTAAAATATGTAAAAGTTTTCTTTCAGCTGGCAATATCAATTTTCTGACACAAAGCAAACCTTAAGTGAGTTTTCTTCCAAAAAGTGTACTTACTAAACTGTTAGTAATCTCCATATATATGAAGAGATCCTCACACGCAAATATCAGCTCACAAAACATTTGTAGCATCAGTGGATATCACCATCATAAAGTCACTTTTGACCGAAGATGTATGCAAGCCACTTGTAAAAGTCATTATCCATTCATGTATTGTGTCACTACATTTCGAAAAGTGCCATTCAAAGGCCTCATGGGATTCAAGGTAAATTAATGTATAATGTATTCATCCATTTGTTATATATAAAGAAGACAGCAAGTCCGCCTGTGTTTTGAGCAGCATGTCAGCAGCTAGTAAGCTCTCTGATGAAGTAATCCTTCAAGTAAAAAAACATTGCAAAGTTCCTCACCACAGAGGGTCCTCCTCCTCCTCCACCTCCTCCCCCTCCTCCTGACTTGCGGATGGTTACAGTCAACCCATCCGAATCCACCTGTCGCCCACCTGGGTCGTGTCGTGGGTGTTCTCTGTCATCAAAATCTGGCTTTCCGCGATCTCGGTTTTTGCCGCCACCGAACCCTCTGTGGCCTCCCCCATCTATCACGCACGCACAAAAACCATTACTCATCGATATCGTGATTAGTCTTTATAAATCCACTGCTCAACAAAAGCCTCCCCCTCCAAAGCCATCACCATCTCTCATGGTCTGATGATGTAACAACAGATATTACCACAGGGATAAGATACAGCAAGGTACATAAATTATGGAATGAGGTAACTGCTAGCAGCTTGCAACTTAACATCAGAGGAAGACGCATTATACCATACCACTCATGTCCAGCTGCAATAAAATGCTCCAATGTAACTTCACGTAAAGGGTCAACCCTACACCTTACAGAAAAAAGCTAACCATCAGCTACTGATATTCATTGATGATGAATTTGTATGGCCAGTGAAAGGCAACTATTAGAGATTTAATCTAAGTGATTTAGGCATTCATTTGCCTCGTCCTGAGAAAAAAATAACTCGGAGATACCAGCAAGAGAATAATGATATACGTCTATCTGGGAGATTGGGAGGCGATATGTTTGAATAATGATAAAGAGTGGTGTAAATGTAGCCAATACTCAGTCGCTGTAAATAAAAGTGTGGTTTTAAATCCATACCTCTAAAAATAGACACACCAATAAACATTAAACTTTTCTATTCATGTTACCAAATGATTTACATTGCTTTGCATTACCCACAATTGCCACAGCATAAGCGAAATATTATTGAAAATATTTTAACAGAATACCAAAAATGAAAGTTCAGAGTACACAAACTCCTCAGTCAGTGCTTTCATACAACCAACCAACCTACCTCCTCCACTAGGTGGACTGTTAGGGATGTGAGGCCCAGATGGTGACTTCGGGGCCTTCAGATTAATCGCCATGCCTTCTGCCTCAGCACGTTGCTTATCTTGCTTAATTTCCTACAAAAACAGCACCATTCCCCAATCCAATACAACTTTTTTTGTATGTGCACCACGAGATACACTGCAGCTGATATCAGTAATTCATCGGCTTCCAATCAATAGTTGGATTAACGACCGGCTAAAGTAATTAAATTAAGCAATGAAATATGCAATGTTGTACGGTTTAGCAGAATACTGTAATGTATAGATGAGGGCAAGTATAGATTATGTTGCATGGTTAAGGCCAGCTGTAAATTTGAGGCATATATCTTGCCAATAAGATGTGATCACTTACTTTTATAAAGCATTTATAATAATTAAATCAGCTGCTACATGAACGTATTTCGTAAAAAAAACCTGCACAGCATCTTAAACAACTTTTCCACTTTAACTTTTTTTGTGACATTGGCCACAATTAAGAGGCAAGATGCCACAAAAGCACTGACACTCATTGCAAAAAGAGTCAGTAATGGTTGTGAATTTGTACGATATCTGGCTCAGTGGTTACCGGAGCTCTGCATGCACAATGCATACAGATTTCACCACTTGCAAAGCAAGAATAGCACTCGCACCAACCTCATATCGCTTCATGATGGCTTCGTTCTTTTTGCGAATTGCTTCCATCCGTTTTTCCAGCTCTGCATCCTTGTCCTTCACCTTTGTCGCATCCGGAGTTGAAGCCTGCACCACAGGAAGCCAAAAACAAAAAACAACCGTGATGTATTTATAAGTTCTACACGGTGGTAATTTGATCTCGAACCTAATGTATTTTAATTAATGCGATTATGAAAGGAGGAAGCCCATCATGTGATGAAAATGTATAAGCAAAGCACTCTGTTATAGTGGCAAGCGAATATTACACTTTCAACTACTGTAAACCAGAATTACATCTGAAAAGAAAAGTGTTTACTGTCCTGCTTTTAAGCTTAGCAAACAATATTCCATTGTGTGTATATATAAAACACCGTCGCTATGCTGGCAAGCAGCCAATATCTCTAAAATAATAAAGGTGCCAAGTATGTCAGAAAAACATTAATATTTTTCGAAAGTATCATTTAACTCATGACTACCATAAACGCCGATGGAAAACATAGGTTATCACATTAAAAACATCATAAACTTACCATGTTTGAGTCTGTTGTTGCTTGACCCGAGTCCAGTTAAAAAGCTAAAATAAACAAATGAGACACATGCATCTTATATGGCTTTCCAATACAAATCGACATTTATAATATACTACAATTATTAAACAGTGTTAAACGGTAAGATGAGTAGTCTAAAATACATGTTGATACTATAGATACCATGATAAAGTAAAGGTTAACGACGCATTTCATGTACTATACTATCAAATGCAACCGTGTTTAATTAGCAGCGCCACCCTAGAATTAGAACTTGATGCTGCATGCATGTTTCCCCCGTGCTCATGAAATGAAACACGTTATCATGTTAAGGGTGAAACAAAATAGACCCACCAAATAAGCAGCGCAGACAAATCCAACACAAAATCACCTGGGCCATACACCATATTTCGCCATGTTTAAAACTAAGCCAGGTTAAGTATGGATAACCATAAACATAACCCTAACTCTATCCATAACTGACCTACTATGGGGTTACAATGCTTGCAGAAGACACATTGCAGCCAACTCCAATGTACGTGTGGCCAAGTAACCCCCACGACGACTCGCCATGCGTGTGGAGGCCCTCATCCTGCAGTGGGCTGACTAAATGTGCTGTACGTGTAGAAGATAACCTCAACCCACGACTTAAACAAACACGAGAGCTCACTGGCCTCAACACATGGCCACAGTATCCAACACTGGAACTTCAGCAATAGACTTAGGAGTTTGAGAGGCATTCTGTTGTGCGTGGGTGGCAGGCATGCCCTGTGCTCTGTACACACTGGACATCCCATCAGTCACCAGCTTGGAGCCAACATTGCAGACCTCTGGCTCCACTAACTCGCACTGACCAGCGTGGTGAAGTATGGTCACAACAACCCGCACGGCAAGGCGAGAGGTCCTCATCCAGCAACGGATTGGCAAACAACAAAAAATGGAGCCGTGCAAAAGTTGAACTCAACTCGCTCAATAACACAAAGCAGGGGCTGGCTCTTCCCCCCACGGCGAGGCCACAATGCCCAACACACGACCCCGCCAGCAGCACGGGGAGAGGCGCCATTGTGCGTGGTGGCCGTGAGGCCGGCGACACGAGAGGGCCACGTGGGGCCAGGGATTGAGGGCATCCACGACGACTCCCACCCTCACCACCCTCACCACCACCACCCCTCTACCCAGCCAGGCACGGCCCCGCGCCTGCCTGTGCGTGGTGCTGCTGGTGGTGGTTGGGGCCTCTTCTCTGTCCGCCTGTCACCCTCGAGTGGACCCGGCGCAGCCGCGCGACAGGCAACGTACCGCGAGACGGTGTCGGGTGTGAAGAGGCGCGCGTTATGGAAGTACGAGACGAGGCTTCATTGGCGACTGGGGGGAGGGCTACGCTTGAGGGAGACGACGCGGACAGCCTCCAGCCCTGCTGGCGACGAAAGTGGAGGCGCGCGAACGCGGCGCTAGCGCCCCCAACGCCAACGCCGCCGCCATCAACAACGACGGCGTGACGTCATCACGTTAGAAAACCGTTGACGTCATCACGTTAGAAAACCGTTGACGTCATCACGGTAGAGAATCTTTGACGTCATCACGTTGGAGAATCGTTGACGTCATCACGTTGGAGAATCGATTCAAAATTTAATAATGTATCGATTCGTACGCTCCGGATAAGTGTGATTCAAGAGAATCGATTACGTTTGCGGAACTCCGATATAATTAGATTGTGTGTCCGCGGACTTGTACGTGATTAATCGAATTTTGAGAAATATTGCAACTCACCGGATCGATTATTTCAGATGCACGTGTGCCTCGTATACAGGAAACCGCATGTGCAACCCCCCAGCCCCACTCTGTCAGTCCACTGCTGGATGAGAGCCCCCACACGCCCTGCGTGAATTGTGGGGTTTTCGTGACCATCCTTCACCACCTGGCGCAGCGCCAATTGGTGGAGCCAGGCGGTGCTTATACACGTGCAGAGGCCATGGTAGAAGTAAAGTGCTAAATTTAGATTTAAAGCTTTCGTGACTGCATGGATTCATATTCTTGGTTCTTTCGGTAAAGTCACGTAGAAGGGAAATAATAAAATAATACAAATCAAACATAAGATAGCATTTTATCTTAATAATAAAAATAAAACAATATATAATTTTATCTTGTTTTATTTTCTTATTTAATTGTTTCCCTTCTACGTGACTTTACCGAAAAAACCAAGAATATAAAGTGCAAACATTTTAATTGTCGCTGCACTGCCCTCCTGCTGCCAAACATCGTTGCCCCGAGACGTTCACGCATGTCCCATGCATGGTGGTCGCTCACCCAAGCAGCGCTTATCCAGGCTGGGTTAGCTTCCGAGGTGTAACACAGAAGGTGATGGGCTCAAGACCCTGACGCCTGTGTGTTGTGGGTTTCCGTGTGTGTTCCTTTCCCCATGGTCGCGTTTTCCCTCCACATTTAGAAACATACGTTGAGATTTGATTTTGGTGCTATAAATATACAAATGGTGGGCCGCTTTGTTGAGCTAACATTGTGTGGCCCAGGTCTCTTCTGAAAAATAAGTGAATACCTCAGTGGGCTTTGCCTGGTAGGAAGGGGATGGTTTAGTTGTTTTGTATTTTTGTATTGTTTCTTATAATGTTCTAACCCACCTTTACTGGACGTCTGTGAAAATAGCTTCATAGCTCATCGGATTCCTCCTGCAGTATAAATACAAATTCGGATTCTGAATGGCTATACGTAGAGCTCAGTTGGTCTTACCTGATCAAATAAAATATTTATTTATTTTTAAAAAAATGTATCTACGTGGTTTTACCGAAAGACCCAAAGAATAGAAATATACTCTTTGTTTTTTTTCGGTAAAGTCACGTAGGTGAAAACAAAATAAAATAAAAATAAAACAACAAAATTTTGTATTTTTATTTTATTTAGTTTTCACCTACGCGACTTTGCCGAAAAAACCAAAGACAATGGATCCTTGCAGTCACGAAAACTTAAAATCTATAGTAATAATATATAGTTCTCGGGTTCTACCGTGTGCTGTTCTGCAATGACGTCCGACGTTTCGCTCTGCGTGCTTGAAACTTCTTCTGGGACATAATGCTCAAAGAAAAACGATTTAAAAACCTCCCAGCCCCTCGCAGCGAAACGTCGGGCACATTCGGACGGGCACGCCTCCTTACAGGACCTCCTGACGTCATAATCATCGCCCCTCCCCCCTCCTCGAGCGCGAGCCGGCGGTCACGTGACCTCGCTGCCTTGCGCGCGCGGGAAATTCAAACCCCCCCCACCCACTCCCCCCCCCCGCCACTAGCGTAGCGCGTGTTTAGTTGTTACCTATTGCGTTCTTGTTTTTATTTATCACGCAATTATTTGTGTATAATTTACATTAATAATTTACGTGTGCCCATAATCGTGTTGTTTGCTGCAACATTCCAACAGGGTCGTGAGAAAATTACCGCATTAGAAAAAAGTTTTACCTCAGAATCGAATGCCAGTCGTCGAATTTGTGTGTAATAGGTCGTTGTTTTAGCACTGTTCTGTTTAATACATTAAACTAATTACCGGGTGTTCATTTCCAAAAGTTGTGAGGTTAATTAGCACCAAATCTCCACTAAACAGATATGACCACGGTGGATGTTAACGTATTAGAATTTATAGTGGAGGTGAGAAACTAAAATTTGCAGGATTTGTTTGATGTTATGATTACAGAATTCTTAAAGTGCGTCAGGCAAATTGGTTCCTATACTGTTACTTTAGATTAGTTTTAAAGATAATTTTAATGTTGACAAACTATGGGGTTAAGGTAACAAACACATTAATTACGTAACAATTTTAAACGGTGTATATAGTGTGTGTTGACAAGCAGACTATATACAATTCATGCATTATTCAATAAGTGCTCTTTATTTAGTTAAACATTTTGCAAAATAGACATGGGAGTGGAAAATGTATACATATAGTTTCTCTTGTGACCAGAATATTACTTATTTAATACATTGTTGGCCACGGTATCGTTTTTATTAAACTACACAATAATATAAATGCGATTAACACAAACACTTTGATCATCTTTTTTCTAAATAGCATCTATGAAAGACAATAAATGTAGCTCAATTTGGCTACACCATAACCAGTTTAAAACAATATGCAACATTCGTAAATATATATTTTTTTAAGTCTACACTTTAAAAATATATAAAGTCTACATTTAAAAAAATATATATTTATACACGAATCTTGACTTAAAGCTTTCGTGACTGCAAGAATTAATATGCTTTAATTGTTTTAATTTCTATTAATTTGAACCTATCTACGTGACTTTCCCGAAAGACCCAAATAATATTTATACATGAACTATGATAAAGTTTTTATTTAAAGCTTTCGTGACTGCAGGGATTCATATTCTTGGTTCTTTCGGTAAAGTCACGTAGAAGGGAAATAATAATAAAATAATAAAAATATGAAACAATACAAATTCTCACGACGTTGCAGTCGAAACGTCGTGAGAATTTTTATTGTTTTATATTTTTATTATTTTATTATTTCCCTTCTACGTGACTTTACCGAAAGAACCATGAATATATATCTTAAAGTTATATTGAAACAATTCTACGTGGTTAATGCTGGACGTTTGTTGGCCGTACACTTACAGTAGTTTCAACGTGATATTATAACACACACACACACAACAGTAACGTCGACCTGTATGTCCAGGTCCTAGGGTGCATATGGCTGCAGAAGGCTCAGGTTCATAATCAACATCTGCTGCGAGATTGTTTGAAAGTGTCCATCGGTGCTGACGAGGAGGACACACGTTCTGAAGAAGCGGTATTCAAAATTGCAGGTGTTTTCACAGACTCCCAACGCACAAGCAAGTTGTTAGGGGATAATGTAAAGTGACAATATATTCCTGCGTAAATGTTACAATTGTTCATAGAATCGTGATCGATTGAAGATAGTTAGCTGTTCCACAACATCACTGAACCTACTCTAAGACCGGTTATCATCCTCTTTCCACTTGGAGGAAGATGCATTGGGCCAAGTTTATCTTGAATGCATACACACATAATTCAGTCCGTTAGCTATCCAAAGTGTTTATTCAGGACTCAAATTATCATATCTTACACAACTCAACAACACTAAAGGACTTTGTAACAAGGATTTTTTTTAACTCATGTGGTTCTCCCCTCATTATTCATTAATGCCCCACCACCTAGAATTTCATTTCTTCAACAATGTAATTTTTTCCTCTGTCATCTAAATCATAATTGTTTTGCTTAGCTGTCGATTCGTTATCATAACTTTCAGTTGCAATTGACATATATGCTTGTCTGTTTACATATTAGTGCAATAGTCACCCTATTTTTATATAACATTTCTTCAACTTAACGGTAATTGTACTACTATCAGTCGAAACATAATCTGCCTGAGCCAACTTACACTGCAGGCATTTTATTTTCTAACATTGATTTATATTCATGCAATATTTTAAATTTCTAATATTAGAGTTGTTGCTCTGATTTATAACTTCGTCAATGCTGTACTTTATTTAATTTGTTTTGCTTTTGTTAGTTTTGTGACCCAGATCCCTCATGCAAATGAGACTATCCTAGGTCACCTGAGTTCTCATCTGATGAAACAAATGAACTAGGCTTGAGAGATACAACTGGAGAGCGCTTTGGAGTTTGTATACTAAGGGCAGTTATTGACAGTGACCAGCATGAACATTTTGAAATAAGGAGGTGGATGAGAACAGGTTGGCGTGCTTTCGTCAACTAAATTTGACCATGAAAACAAGATACCATTGTACCTAAAGTTAGAAATATTTTATCAGTTTATATTACAAGCGTATATATATAAATAGAAAGTTTGACTTTAATGAAGAGAAAGTGAGCACAATCTGAAAAGTTTGAAAACGAACATGTAGAGGTGCGCTCTTCAAATTACACTGAGAAACAGAAAGATCACATGAGAGCATGTTAAACATTGAAATGTATTGACTATTAACAAAGTAAGTGGGCTTGGTCAGGACACATCACAAGAATGGATGATGACCTGTGGTGAAGACTAACAACGCAGCCAAAGTAGATGACGTGCTCAAGAGGATCTCCATTGTGGAAATCTAGCAATGAGATCAGCTCTGGTGCAGGAGCTAGATGAAATGTGGCATCGCGTGTTCATGAGAGGTGGTGACAGCCTGGGGAGGCCTTCATCCAGCAGTGGATAGTTCATGGCTGCTGATTATAATCATAATGAAATGTCAAAATAACACTTAATGTAACATTTTCCTTTGCCGATTAGTTCAATATGCAGCATGCTGGCTAACAGATAAGCTACTGCAGGATCTCGTGGCAGGTAAATACACAGCAAGGCTTGTTTTTTCCATTTTGACAGAAAATTATGCAAAATTAAACGTGTACAACTTGCATACATTTTTGTAATGATTTTCGTAATATTTTTTTTCAGAAGTTCCAGTTATATTCTTGAAGGAGCACAAACTTACCACTTCTGATCTTCATGCAGCACCACAGACTGCCATTACCATTGCTAACAGTGGTGAAGGAATTTTTAGTTTAGAGTTTAAGGTAACGATAATGTCTAAACAGTAAATTTGTTGAAATTCAAACTGAATCAGTAAAATGCAGATTATCATTAAATATCATTTACAGGTTATCGCCATGAAGTCTAAAATGCTTACTCAGTGCCTTGGAATCAGTAAGCGCCTACATCGAATAAAAATTGTTCAGCCTCAGGTATGGTACAGTTATTCTGTGAACGACTTTCAGTTTCACTCATAACATGCCATGGTTGAATATTGTTTGTAATTAATGGTGTTAATGTTTTTTCCCCCAATAATTTAGATAATTATGACACTTACTGTCAACGTGTGTGGAAAATATGAGGACACTTTTGGGTAAGACAATACATTTGTTGTCTATTCATTACAGACAACTGGCACCTCCACACTTGCATCAGATGATTTGCATGTGTAGATTTTATTTATAAGCATTAATGTAATCCATTTTTCTGCAGGGAGACTGATGACAAATGGAAAGTGTTGAAGGAAAATAAAATGCTCATCACAAGTATTCACCATTACATTGGGTAATTACAGTAGTTGCTTTTCAACAAAAAATAATGTTTTGAATGACTTTAAAAGTTACATATTTGTGATATTTCAAGCAATAATACTATCCCAATGAAGCCCAAAATAATAATAAAAAATTACCTAGAGTGGATATATTACAGTACATTATTCTGATTAAAATATAAAAATGGCTCCATTATATTTATATTCTGTATACAGTATATATTAGTCATGGTTTTTATATAAAGTTTATTTATAAATTTTAACTCTTAATGAAGTCTATATTTTTTAACAAGCATCATTGACGATAAACTATAATTGTAGGCGATAACAAGTCACTGTAGAGACACATTTTGGCCCATGAGAGGGTGATGTTGAGCCACGAGTGATTGCTAATAGATTATCTAAAACATTTTCCATAATATGTACTTATTTATTTAATTTCTGCAGCAAAGAGTATGCTGAATTCCTCAAGTTCAAACTACAAGTTGGAAACCCAGTTGAACTAGCAGGTCTGAAGTCTAGTTCTGGTGAACCATTTCGAATTAAAATGACTCCAGCTACCGCCCTTTTGACTCCAAAAAATAATTCCTTCACTTTCTCCAAAGTTGCAATATCCTTTTGCTCGTTTTTGAATTTACTGCATGTTATAATAATCTGAGGAGAATATATCTGAAATGCTACTTCATAGTATGATGGGCATCATGCAGGGATCACAAGACTGATGCCTTGTTTTCATGCCCACTTGGAACAGGGATCTGCCAGCTCAGTGACAGCCCAGCTCTGCCTCAGGAACTGAAGAATGTGATCCATTGGTCCCCATATTTCATAAGAAATCGAGGCTCTATCGGCTTGGCCCTCCTGCACCATTCCCCCAACCATTTCCATCTACATATGCATGCAGCTAGGGGTGGTGGTCACCAAGCAATATAAAAAATATATATAAGTTTGTTTTTCACGAACATTAACATCTCGACTTAGATTACGTTTGGATATTTTGACTTCGCTATTTGTGTTAGGCCTGCATTGCATTGTATAGTATTGCTGTCACTTGTTGACCCAGATTTATTTTGCAAAAGAGACTTAAAGCATCAATGGTTGTCACCTGGTGAAATAACATCAACCAAACAATTCTAAGTTACTTATATTTTTGTAATGTCCTGCCAACAATTTTTACATGGTTGGGGAGACATGCATTAAGCGAATTATGTAATTGTGACATGGACTCTCTGGCAGCTCTCAGTTCCATTATGGTGTAAGCAGTTCCTGGTGGTTGTGGAAATGAGATATAAGGGTTAGAATGGCATTCATTTTAGGGTTTTCATGAGTCTTTTATCTCTATTTTACACAGGTCCACAATGATAAAATTGGCATGTGTTAATGGGCGACATGACATCAAAACATCTGTAAATGTAACCACTTATCTTTATTTCTTGTCTCCAAGTCTTTCGTCTCTCATTTATCAAATTTTCATTTTACCTGTGAGGATTTAGGGTTGCGTTATCAGATGGCAGAGAAATTTCCCAGTTACAGGCCATATTGTGTAAATATTCTGCAAACTAAGAATGTTTTGTGATGTATGTGTAAAGTGATGCAGAGCTTGAATGATAAACATTACTTTCATGTGTTCTCCTTCATATAAATAATACTGGTTTTGTAAATACATTTTGACAATTGTTTGCAACACTTATACAGGACGGAATGCATTATGGGGTATAAAATGCTGAACGTATATTTTCCTAAATTATAAATACGTATTTGCATATTGCCCAGGAATGTGCCCCATGTTAGAATGCCAAGATTTGACATTTTTTGAAGACCCACAAACCCTTGCAAAATGGAATGAGTTTCACCAAGAGAGCTTGTTATTAGAAAAGAACAACCTGTATGTTGAGGGTATGTATATTATTACATTCGGTGTTTATTTTTTACTTTAGTATAAAATATTTGGAACTCATTCCAAATGAATTTGATATAATACTTGCGTCACTAAATATGTACAGGATTCATAACTAGAGGTCCTTGAGTTATATAATTGGCAGTATATGTGTTGTCTCATTAGAAGTACAGCATTGTACTGTCTATGTAGTCGACTTATATTTACTGCACTATTAATTTATTGAAATGTGATTTGAATGTTTTTGTCTAGGTGTGGCACATCCTGATATTCTGTTCAATGTTGGTGAACCTTCAAATGAACAGAGTGAGGCAGGATATAAATCAGTCTTGTTAATATTTTTGTTTTTTGATTTCTTCAGTGAGCTAACTTCAAGCTTACATGGTCTAAGAGGTCAGTTATGAACATGACAGTTGCCTTTACTTTTTATTATTATTAAATAAATTATCAATCGTCAAAGTAGAATAAACTTAATAAAATAACTAAAACATTGTAATCTTCGTATTTATTTAATATACTTAGTGCGTACAGTCAGTTTGTGTAAAACATACATGTGTAAAAATAACATTGTGTATTATACCGTACTGCATATAATTGTATGCCAGTTTTGTTGAAAGACACAATGCAGAAATTACCAGAAGTTCTCAAGTCAAATCAAAGTAGCATAAAGAATGCAATTCACGATACCTTAGAGAAGGTCCTTGTTCCTCAGAAAAGACAAAATAAGGTAATAAAGTACAACTTTAACAATGTGTCGTCCATTTGTGGGTTCGTCATCTTGCGTTTTTCAATTTAAATGCATTTATAGTTTTTCACTGAAAGTAATGAAAACATTGAACGATTAATCCAGTAGTTTATTTCCACGTTATACATGAACTTGTATCAAAATATATTTGTCACTCTTGCATAAAAAATATGTCCCCACCTGAAGAAGGACGCTTGTGTTGCGCCCGAAACGTCGTGATTTGATTTAATTAAATTTTAGTTGTTTTCATTCTATTGTATTTATTTAAAAATTTCCTACGTGACTTTACCAAAAAAACCAAAGAGTATGAATCCTTGCAGTCACGAAAACTTAAAATCTAGAAATAAATAAATGTGTTTATAATAATTGAAGTGCTACATGTACATTCTGCAGATGCTACTCAAAGCTGTCGTGGCTATTCCACTTCTTGCTGAATCGCTACATGGCATAGTGACGAGGAGTACACACCAACAGTTTCGTGAAAGATACTTCAGAGAATTTAAAGTAAATTAAACATTTGTAAATTGTTAAATATACTTTCATATACATAAAGTATCCCTTTCATTAGCACCATAAATAAATTTTCACACCATTTTAGCAACATCAATAATAATAAAAACAAGTGATCTACTTTACATTGTTTCATATGATGTTGTCTGGAATAATAAGATACAAAGTAAATATAATTGTACATGGTTTTCTTTGTTCCAGTGCTCTGATTCCCAAGAGTTAAGCATTGCAATCCAAGACTGTCTAATAGATATTGCCGGATCCAGCATGGGGATTGACAAAGCGAAATTGAAAGCAGGAGTACGTAAATTCCTTATATCAACTGCCAATAAGACACTGTAACTAATGTAAAACAGGCACATAGAGCTGACTCTGTTCTAGTGATTTGTTTAGCTTTAAACAAGTGTCCTGAATCAACAAGGACATCACATCTGATAACATATTTTAAGTATGCAATTGATGCTTATCTTTACTCTATTTTGCGTATGATTGTTGACAGATCATTCCGTGTTTCGTCACCAAACCCTGCAAGACAGATGGCCTGCCTACACAAAACCCCATAGAAGAAATGCAGAGCAGCTGCAAAAATATTAGCCAGCAAGAGGAAAGCAGCACTTTTTATTCAGAAAACATTCCAAAAATGGATCAGTGTGTGCCAATAGACTTTGATACTAATGGTGCAGAAACAAGTGCTTCTGAAATTTACAGCGATCCTTCATCAAATACAAGCTGTCATAAGCTAAATTGTGAAAATGCATCAAAGTACCGCCATAGGGCAACATATAGTGACACAGAGCTGTCAACTGAAACTAAGGCTGATTTTACATACATAGATTTACACAAGGTGTCCAATAAATTATCCACAACCAAACAGGTTGAAGATATGCATGAAGTTACATCGATTGGATCAAGTTTTCAAAACATCTCTGGAAGTCTTGCTCTTAAGTGTAAAAATAAATATTTTCCAACGTCAGATATGTTTGAAGAAAAAATTGAGACAACACAGAAGACCATTTCAATGTACAATTATTCTCCAAAAACAAAGAAAATGTGCTTAGAGCAAAACAAACACAAGTCATTGGCATGTTCTGTCCATGGAGACAAATGGTGCAGTTGTGAATGGCAAGTTGAATAAAACATATCCATTTATGCTGCAATAGGATTTGTGAAGGGAGCTTAGAAGATACAGGTATGGTTTTGTACGTAACACTATTTGCGAAAATATATACTGAATTATATACTGTGCAGCCCTTTGCTAATCCATTACTGGAAGAAGGTCTTGCCACTGATATTAGTTGTGCCCAGTAATCAAACTCAGGTCACTAGAATACTTTGCACAGTATGCTAACCATTGCACTCATGCTCCTCTACCCTCCCCACCAACTCACTTCCTTTTATATTATGGTACATTTACATTATGAAAGTACTGTAAGCAATTTAACGATCGTTCATCATGGATAAGGCTGTGAATTTATTTGACATTTTCAGATATAGGCTGGAAAAGCACTTGGCTGGAAGATTCTACTTGATAAATGTAATTTTAAAGAAACAAGCCTGGTTAATTTGAATAGTCAGTCACTGATTAATTTAATCATTCATATCATAATAAATGTGTAGAGACATGTGTTCTTACAATAACATTGTTACATATTTCTGTCTACTTTTGTAAGGTCACCTGTGAAACTCCATTCGGTATGATTACATCATTAATGAATAATTTTGCAAAATACCTTGTTGAAAAAAGATGCATATTGAATTAGGGTATATAGTAGACAGATATTCTTGGATCTTTCGGTAAAGTGACGTAGAAGGGAAATAATAAAATAATACAAATAAAACAATAAAATTCTCACGACGTTTCGGCCACAACACAAGCAGCCGTCTGCATAGGGATGTGTTGTGGCGGAAACGTTGTGAGAATTTAATTGTTTTATTTTTATTATTTTATTATTTCCCTTCTACGTGGCTTTCCCGAAAGATTCAAGAATGTGAATCCCTGCAGTCACGAATGCTTTAAATCGAAATTTAGTATAGACCTATTTTAATCCCACTGCAATAACATATGGAACAATTTCATTCTTCCACTACAGGACAATGTTTGACATTACATTAGCTCGGCTATTCACTGCATAGGGATAATGAAGCACATTTCTCTTGTGGGCATTCCACATTTTGATTTCGAGCAGAATACACAATTCACATTAGATTACTATGCCTTACACGTGTTCATTGATTTAAAAAAAATACATTGATAGTCTATTGAACACTGCCTGTGTTCTAATTTATATGTTAAAAAGTTCAATGTTACTTCAATATTGTAATGTATTTAACTTATTTCGTGTTACGTTTGTTTTAAACGTGTCACTTTTTAATGACTGTTTGCTGAACGAATGAGCTCTTGACAGGTTCCTCGACATTTTCATAAGAATTTTGTCAAAATTGAAACGTTACTTTTTTGAATTGGTAATTTCTAACACTGATAATCCTGAGCCTACAAGTAGGTCACAGTCATCTCACTCATGAGGAACATATTTGGCTAAAGTTAATACAGCACTAAAGCAATGAGCAGATATCTAGAGTGACTACTGTAAATTCAATTTCGTTATCTTATGCTTGGTAATTGTTTAAAATTACGTAAAATAAAAGAAATTACAATCAACGTGTCCATATGTTCATATGTTGCGTGACGAATGACGTACTGTTTGTTTCCAGTATGTAATTGACGTGCAGCTTATAGGCGCTATTGCTCAGCATTAATGAGTTTAAGTGTGGTATCTTCATGCTTGCCTCCAGATAATATATCCAGCGTGATTTCCATTTCATGTGATGCAGCTATATGATGCCCAAAGAGATTGCAAACTTGCTCACTCGCCCATGCTGGACATCAGTGAGCTAAAGAGCTTCCTAGCTGATGGGCTTCCGCCTGCAGTCTCAATAAAGATTCTGTGTGGTGGCTCCACATACCGTGGAGAGGTGTGCATACCGTAGACAGCTGAACCTTAGGGGTTCCATAGTACCCCGGCTCTCGCATAATGTCCGTGATGCAGTCATTTTAAGTCCGTTGATGGTCGGCGATGCGGCAATCGACTCATCTCGACGAGCTGTACACGATGCACTATTCAAAGTAGAATTTTTCGATAACGGATTTTTTTATGCTAAAGTTTGGCGAGGATGTGCTTCTCCAAGCTAGTCGCGATGAAGTTGGATTCGAAAGTCTTTTTGAAGTCCTCGATCTCATCGAGAGCACCGAGAAAGGCAGATCATGGCCCGGATTCCCGATCACCAAGATCCCACCCGATCAACTTGTGCGTGCGAGCGTTCAGGGTTTCAGCGCAATCGTCCTCGCTGCGTTTCGACATCGCGGAGTGGCACTGATTTCGGATTGATTGGTACCCCAGTCGCGGAGTTAAGGGGCCGTCCATAAATGACGTCACACGACGTCACAAAAAGCCAGACCCCCCTCAAATATGACGTCACAAAGCTCTGCCCCCCCCCCCCCAAATAAAACATACTTCAAATCGTTTTAAACTATTGTCATTGTAGTGCGTATTTAAGGTGGCGATGCACTCTGATGTTGTAGGAGAAAACATTTATTTAAAAGTCTATTTATCATCAGGTGTGAAAATCACAGCAAGAAAATGTTCTTGCTGTGGTTTTCACACCTGATGATTATTTATTGTGTTGCAATCGAAACGTCGTGAAAATTGTAGAATTTGTGTTATTTTTATTATTTTATTATTTACCTTCTACGTGACTTTACCAAAGGAACCAATAATATGAATCCCTGCAGTCACGAAAGCTTTAAATCGAAACTTGCCCCATCAATCAAATCACGCGGGAGTTGAGAAGGGGGAGGGGCATCTATGGACGTCACCAAATTCCTCACTTGCTCATTGGCTCTCGTTGCCGCGACAAACCCTCAAGTTTCCGCCTTTATTTAAAGCTCTCAAGCCAATAAGCGTCGGACGGGCGATCACGTGGGAGGGAGGGAGGGAGGGGGCGGGGCGAGTTCACGCAACGTCACTAAATTTTCCCGGGAAAATTTTCGCGCCAAATTTGCCCCGTCACGACGTCACCGCCCGGCGGAGAGTTGCGAGCGAGAAGGGAAGGCGCGGCGCGAAACTTGTAACGGAGGATTTAGAAGAGAACTCGGCTCAACATGTCGGGCTTTGACGATCCCGGAGTGTTCTTCAGCGACACGTTCGGCGGGGACGACAATCAGAACGACGAGGGGCAAATTCGTCGTTCGCAGGCCAAGAAGAGGCTGCGCGAGTTCCTGCGTCAGTTTCGCATCGGCACCGACCGCACCGGCTTCACGTTCAAATACAGGTCTGGCCCTGCTGCACAACCACCTCGCCGCATTATTACGAAGCCAAAACAACCATGAACCCGTCTATAAAAGTAAACGCGAATAATGAAAATGCCGCGTTAGAAGGCGTCGCCATCGCGTGATGCCGAGAGATGGCGGGCGACTGGGGGAGATGTTCGCATCCAGCAGCGGATAGAACATGTTGATGTTGACGAACAGTCGTGTCATGGTGTGTACGTGGTTAGTGGAGCACCGAGGGATATACGTGTTGTCAATCCGCCGCTGAGTGGAAGGCCTCGCCACGCGTCGTGTCGCTCATCGGCGTTGTTTGGCCATACTTCACCACCATGGTCAATGCGGGTTTGGTGAGATGCGCGTGTCTCCACTATCGGCTCGGACACGACTGCTCTCAATGGTAGCCGCAGCTCATCCACGCTTGCAAACCTGGCGGCTTAAAAGTGTCCGCCCTGGGATGATGACAACTAAACTTCGCATTGTTTCGTGGTCGTTTCGATGTACTGCAGTGCGCGTGTTTGACCAAAGCTTGCGCCCTTCTACCCATTATCCGCAGGCAATGGGAAGTAGAAATCCAGCTGTCAATCAGATAGTTTAATGGTCTCTCCACCCCACGTGGGTTCTGGTTTTTGTTTTAACACCAAAACGTCACCAGGCTCTATAGTGCGGAATTGCCAATAGGGGGATGTGTTGCACAGGATTTCCGATTGACACCTACTATGAGCACGGTTGGCTACGTACGGTGCTAAAGAGGTTCTACATACATACGTATATACATACGATTGTTCAAATCTCCGTAGCTGTGGCCGGGGAATCAAAGTCGGGTCACTGAATATTTAGAACAGCGTGCTGACGACCACTGTGCCCACAGGGCACATGATTTCTACAATATCCACTGGACTCTTTCTGTGTGTGTGTGTGGTGACCCCAATGCTGAGCAGGGATGAGCTGAAGAGGCATTACAACCTGGGCGAGTTCTGGATCGAGGTGGAGCTGGAGGATCTGTCGAGCTTCGACGAAGACCTGGCTGACACCCTGACCAAGCAACCCGCTGAGTTCCTCCCCTTGGTACGTGCAGCTGCCGGGCATCAGCCCTCGCCCTATATGTCTTCTACTCCTCAGTCTCTTGCCATCACCATCCTGTGAGCTGGAAATAATTTATCCTTGTCCCACTCCCATACCATTTTATGTCCACCCCTTTCTGTATAGTCCTCCATTGAGGTGTAAATTTTGTTCAAATATTTAACCGAAATAATTTTCATCTGAGAAAATATTAATTAGCCACACGTGGCTATACTATGCATACACCTAATTTATCAGCTTCACAAAGGTTACATCAATAAGGCAACATTTTTGGGGCATGTAATGAGATGAGAAGGCTTGGCAAAATTGGGCATTACTGGTAATTTTGAGGGCAAGAGTTGGAGATGTGGACAAAGAAGTGATCTTATGAACAATGCATTGACGTGATTCAGTTCACAAGCAATGACAAAGTGTAGCATGTCACAAGAAAATGAGACCCAGGCAGAGATTGAGATCATGGCTGCCCCATTATGATGATTACCAAACAAGAGATTCCACAACGCTCCTCCAGGCTCTAGTATCAGTTCAGATTAGCACGGTTGGCTACGTACTTTGAAAGAACTTGAACCATACATACAGACTGGCCACTGGAGTTTATCAAACCCTCATCACTGCCACGGTTGTCGTGGGTCCTCCCCATCCTCTCCCCTCGCCGTGTCTGTCGCGCACAGTTTGAGGAGGCGGCACAGGAGCTGGCGGACGAGGTGACGCGCCCTCGCCCTGCCGGTGAGGAGCAGGTGCAGGACATCCAGGTGATGCTGCGCTCCGAGGCCAACCCGTCGTGCGTGCGCAACCTCAAGGTAAGAGCGCTGTTTGCGGTTGTCCTTGGTGGAACCGAGCCGAGCCGGGTGACTCCGTGCTGCGTCGGTGTAACCCCACGAGGTGCAGCCGTCCTGTGCCAACGGGCAGTCGGACCTGATGCAGGGATGACAGACGAGAAGAAATTTGGGATATTTCCCGGGAATATTAACCGTACAGAGTGGACCTATTGTTGAAGGAGCAAGACATTGAATACGAGTTTTGCTTATATTTGCTTTTATCTTTTAAGGGACAGGATTTTTTTTTAAACCCTCGTTTGTGAGACCTATCACAGTCAGCCTTTCCACGTTTACCAATCTTCTGCATTAAAATACAAATTTATTAGTTGCACACTACAAATAACTGATGATTGGTAAACACTTCCCATGTAAGGTAGAGGGCCCTGATTCAAATTAAGGTTCTCTTATGACACATGCATGATTGATTTAAGCAAGTAGGAATTTGTAAACTAGGTAAAACATTTGACCATGCTTCAACTTTATGCTTGACCTTATTGATAAAGGAGGAAGAGGGGGGTGCTCAGGGACCGGTTCATGTTAGCCGTGGCCAAGAATAAAACTCAGGTTGTTGGGTTTGTAACACTGTTCACGAAACACTGTACCACTTCTCCCACCTGGGCAAACATAAATGAGAGTAAAGCAAGAAAACACACGTGCACCGTTGGAATAAAACTGGGATCTTGACTTGTCGAACCTCCGACCACTGCCCTGCGGTAACACCGCTGTAAAAGCCTTTTAAATGTGTGCGTTTTCACCGCTCGTCCCTTCGTTCGTCCCCCTCGCCCCGCCAGTCGGAGCAGATGGCGAAGCTTGTGAAGATCCCGGGCATCATCATTGCGGCCACGGCCGTCCGCTCGAAGGCCACGCGCATCGCCATCCAGTGCCGCAGCTGCCGCAACACCATCAACAACATCCCCGTGAAGCCCGGCCTCGAGGGATATGCCATGCCTCGCAAGTGCAACTCGTGAGTGCGGCGCTCCCGTCATGTCTGCCAGCGAACTGGGGGTGCCCTGCAGTGGCCAGATGTTAACTACCTTGCCCGGTATACAGGAAGTCGTGGGTTCGATCCCGACGCTACGTCCCTTGCTTAACTTGTTCCCACCGATTTGTGGTTGCCCTTCGTGCAGTGAGCAGGCGGGGCGGCCCAGCTGTCCCATGGACCCGTACTTCATCATGCCGGATAAGTGCAAGTGCGTGGACTACCAGACCCTCAAGCTGCAGGAGGCCCCTGACGCCGTGCCGCATGGGGAGATGCCGCGACACATGCAGCTCTACTGCGACCGGTCAGCATCGCCACCTCGCTTTGCCGTCGTGCGGTGTCTTTTGTATTTTAAGAAGTTCATGAATAGCATGGTCGCTGCTACCGTGGTACAATGGGTTAGTACATTGGACTTGCAATAGCGCCGCAGTGGCGAGATGTTAACTCCCTCGCCTGGTATGCAGGAGGTCGTGGGTGCGATCCCAACCCTGCCGCCTGCATATTTGAAGTTTGCATGTTCTCCTTTATGTCACCAGAACATGTACACTTATTAAAACTTTTGTTGCATGTATATTGCTTGCGATGATGTAACATCTGGATCAGAAACATGGACACTTACAAGTGTTCAATTACAACCAAACTCATAAAAACATACGACACAAAAGCGTTCCTGTGCCTATTTACTTTCCCCCCGCCACACAGCTACCTGTGCGACCGTGTGGTGCCGGGCAATCGTGTCACGGTGATGGGCATCTACTCCATCAAGAAGGCGTTCACCAAGATGCAGGGCAAGGGCCGGGATCGCGCAGGAGCTGGAATTCGTAACCCGTACCTCCGCGTCGTCGGAATCACCGTGGACACGGACGGCGCCGGTGAGCAGCCTATCCATCGCCGCCGCTGCTGCGGTTGCTCTTGCTCTTTAACCCTTTCCTGTTCCGATGACACCATTTGGAGCCAGCTTTCGTAGAGTGTGGTTGTGTTGCAACGGTTCTCTGTTGTGAGTGCAATGTCTTTAAAAACAATGGCGCTACGCCTCTATAAATATAATTAACGATAACCACTTTGCTCGCTCCGAGATGCAGCGGTGAATGGGGCACCCCACCCTGCAACTTGCAGATGTCTCGGAACGGGAAAGGGTTTAACGTTACTGCCACTAAGGCTGCTGCTGCCATCATTGCAGCTGCTGTTGCTTGCACTGCTTCCCCTGGTGCTGCTACAAATTTTGCTGCTCTTGTCAAGACCGCTGTTGTTGCTAACACCCTGTGAACGATTATTGTCCCACCACAGGCCGCAGCATGGGCATTGCACTGAACCCACAGGAGGAGGAGGAAATTCGGCAGCTGGCTGCGTCGCCCAGCGTCTACGAGACCATCGCGCGGAGCATCGCGCCCTCCATCTACGGATTCGTGGACATCAAGAAGGCCATCGCGAGCCTGCTCATCGGGGGCTCGCGGAAGAGGTGACGTCACACCCTCGCAGCATGGCGACGGCTGGCTCAAGATGATAATTTTGTCATTGTCACAGAACAGACGACAGTGATTTTATTGTGTTGTCGAATACCGCGGTGACCCTGGGAACAGGGTGTAGCTGGCCCGTGGCAAGATAACCAGACTGCCCGATGTACAGGAGATGTAGCACAATATGTTGCAGCAATTCCTATGTGCAGTTCCAAGGCTTTACAATTCATAATAATACGAATATTACAGCTCTATGTCAGTCCACCACTGTATGAAGGCCTCTCCCCCACACCGTGCTGGTCATGGGGGTTGTTTGACCATACTTCACCATGTTGGTCAGCGCAGGTTGGTAAAGTGGAAGGACACCCAAGGTTGCTTCTGATATCACTCGCTGCTAATGTTAGCCGTGGCCAGGATTAAAGCTTTGGTTTGCAAGTTCTTAGCATGAGTGTGCTTTATCTCTACGCCATCAGTCCACGCATAGGTAGTTCTTAATTGTGCTTGCATCTCATTTGTGATGGCAATATATTGTGCTGAGTGACTGCTTCTGAAAAAAAAATTCTGTAAAACTATTTTAATAAAAAAACTGTAGTCAAATTTGAAGACTACATTACCATATGTAATCTGCCTTTTGCAAATACAGTATTTTCTCATAGCTTCATATGTATTGAAACATTTGTGTGTGCTGTGTGTATATGAATGCCGTGCGATTGGGACCCATTGCAGGCTGCCGGATGGACTCACGCGCAGGGGTGACATCAATCTGCTGCTGCTGGGTGACCCCGGCACGGCCAAGTCTCAGCTGCTGAAGTTTGTGGAGCGCTGCTCTCCAATCGGGGTGAGCGTGCGTGGAATCCCTGGCCTGCGGTGGCGTGGTTCCAAATCAAATGTGACGTTGCGCAAACCTCCCCCGTGGCTCTCAAACACCGGTTATGCGTGGTGGTCACCCCCTTGTTAAGTGCCATCCAGGCTCGTACCTGCTTAGCTTTCGAGAGCCGATGAGATCTGTTGCATTGCGTGTTATTTTTGTTGTGGGCAGCAGAAGGCAGTGCAACAAAAAATAATTGTAATATTGGACTTAGATGCTGCTTCGACTAAACTCCCCACTTTGAACCAGCACTGACGTTGCTCAGCACACAGGATTAATGAAAAGTGCTTTAACCGGACGATTAACGTGTTCTCTCGCCTGCTCCGGTGCGCCTGTGTGCGTGTGCTGCACAAAGGTTTACACGTCGGGCAAGGGCAGCAGTGCGGCGGGACTCACGGCCTCTGTGATTCGCGACCCTGCCACGCGCAACTTTATCATGGAGGGTGGCGCCATGGTGCTCGCTGATGGTGGCGTCGTGTGCATCGACGAGTTCGACAAGGTCCGCTTTGGTGTACCAGCCTACACTGCTATCTTCCATCCTGCCTGCCTGTCCACTGTCGTGAACCAGCCTACCGCTTTCTTCCATCCTTGCCTGCCTGTGTGTGTTGGCTTGCCAGCCTACTGTTTGCTCTGATTCTGCTGCCTGTTGGCACAGGCCTGCCTCTTATTCCTGTCCTGCATTCCCTTTCGCACAGACAAACACCTGCCCACTCCTCAGAAGCAGCGTGATTCACACCGCGAGCTTTGTGCTGTGAAAGTTAAAAAAAATTATGTATAGCTGGATGAATTGCAACGTTTTAGTCTCACCTCCACATTAGTTTAGTCAGGAAATGGCTTCGGTTGTTGCGTGGCTTGATTGTTTCAACGCCACCATTAAAATTTTCGGAGATCACAGCAGAGGCAAAAAGTTGAATTTGTCGAACTTTTGTTGGCTGGTTATGGTGGCATGCGTGCCAGTGACTTGCAGCATCCAGCGATTTGGGATGAGTTGGTGAGACTTTAAGCTAAAACGTCATGTCATTATTATTTTAAACATTAAAATTATATTTGTCCGTGGGAGGCATATATCGGTTGTCGACTTATTTTAATATTTTAAAAGTTACCTCAAACACATGTCATGAATGTAGCAAAATAACTTGAAACATTTAAATCGGCTCTGTGGCAAAGATGAACATGAATGCATTGGAAATTAAGAAAATCTTAGGTCTGAACTTCAACAGGAGGAAGCGGATTTTGGAGCCGAGCAGAGGGGTTGAGAGTGTTGGACTCCAGTAACATCGTACCTCTCTCCCCCCCCCCCGCCCCACCGTTTGCTGCTCAGATGCGTGAGGATGACCGTGTGGCCATCCACGAAGCCATGGAGCAGCAGACCATTTCCATCGCCAAGGTGCGCTGATGTTGTGCGGAAGGTCGTGAGTGTGATCCCGATCCTGACGCCTGTATATTTGAGGTTTGCATGTTCTCCCCGTGGTCGCGTGTATTTTTCTCCGGGTCCTCCAGTTTTTTCCTCCATCTTTAGAACCCACATGCGTTTAGAGTATTTGGCTGCTATTCATTTCCACATAAGCCACTTCGTTGAGCGATCATTTGTGGCCAGGTTTCTTTTGAAAAAGAGCACTATACAGCTTCTTGGTTCTTTCGTTAAAGTCATGTAGAAGGGAAATAATAAAATAATAAAAATCTAATCAAAATTCTCACGACATTTCGGCCACAACGCAAGCAGCCGTCCTCAGGTGAAGAACAGGGCTGTCGGAAAGACAGCGTCCGAAGCACTATACAGCTCAGTGGGCCTTACCTGGTAAAATAAATGTCGTTAGTAATCTCGTGCCTTTTGTGAAATCTCTTCTCCCACTTTGCACCAATTTCACAATCTTGTTGCTGAAATAGCCTAATGTGCATCGACACCTACCCACACTCCTCGAACTCCCAGGTGTCAACTTCTAAAAGTGTTTTGCTTTATACTCCAGTGGAATGCTTTAGTATTCGTTGTTCATTCCTTGCTTTCACATCTCCGCACCGCAAATGTATGCCTGCAGATGATTATCGTCGTTAATTTTTAAAGAGGATTGGCTCGTGAGATTCACGTTTCGGTTGCAAGGAGGTCCTGATGAGATGGCAGCAGCTCCTTCATCAGTTACACTTTTAACTTACAGTTTAAATTAAACCCTCAGACATGGCCAATTAATAAAACATGGCACAATAATGTCGTTTTGCATTTTAATCATGTAAATACATTATGAATGCAATATGTAAATATCACATACTCCATTAACATTCACAACTATTGTATAACACCGTATTAAAAGTTACAAAACATTAAATTGTGAGCTTGCTAACTCCGTGTTTGTAACTAAGTGGGAGAAAAGTGGTGGTACAGATGTAATCTTGCAATATATTTTTCATTGCAGTCATTTTACTTCTTCCACATGGTTATTTTATCTCGGGGTTTCAGAAACTCTACAAACGGCCATATTTGGTGAACCTCTAGGGGGCCCCTAGCCCAAAAGGGGTACCCAGAGTGGTGTCAAAATATACTGTGCCGATCCTAATCTATGTGTTTGCACTGCAGGTTTTCGCTGCTGTGCTCTACAGCTCTGCGGTGTTTTTCGGGTTCTAACGGCGTCCTTATTCAGGATGACGTCTGATGCTGCTTGTGCTTTGGGAGCTTCTTCGGAAGAAGCTACCTGCACAAATGCGCGTGTGTGGGGAGTGGTAGTGCAACGGTTAGCGCGTAGCGCTATGAACCCGGTGACCCGAGTTTGATTTCCGCTCGTGGTCAACACCAGTGACGATTATCTGAACCGGTCCTGGGCCTCCCCTCAGTCGACTCGTCCTCAATTGAGTACCTGGTGCGGTGTGTAAACATTGCCTCGAGGGAGACAAAGGCGTCCGGGCGTGGTGTTGGCCACCCACCCCTTCATGTGCCATGCCGGCCTTTGCTCGCTAACAGCACTTGCCCCAACAGTCTGTTTAGGCTAAACGGGGGATCTTTGTCTTTGTGTGGTGCAGGCCGGCATCACGACCACCCTAAACTCGCGCTGCTCTGTGCTGGCGGCGGCCAACTCCGTGTTTGGCCGCTGGGACGACTCGAAGGGCGAGGAGAACATCGACTTCATGCCGACGATTCTGAGCCGATTCGACATGATCTTCATCATCAAGGATGAGCACAATGAGAAGAGGGACATGGTAATAATTACCCTTTGCACCAAATACGTTTTGCGGCCTTGAACCATTGTATAAATAAATTTTGTAATAAAATAGCTCCTTATTTGGGAAAGGCCTCATGGAGTCTCCAAGTTTTCCTTAACAGGAGGATCCTACTTTGGAATGTTTGGTCAATATATTAATTGTTTTGCATGTGGGAGTCACCTGTAGTTCACCATCCGAGGTGCGCTCCTACAGAGATGTTCGCCGTCTCGCAATAAAACCCGACTTGTGCAGCATTCAGAGCTGGAAAATATTGGTTTGGAATCAAATAGGCTGATGATCGAATACGTATTTATTAGCATGTGTATTTGGAGACACGGAACAGAGGACTGCTTGTGCACGTGATGCTGCTTCATGACAATGCACAATAAATAAATATTCAGTAGCATTTTTACGTGCTATGAAGAAGGTCCATTGCCTGCAACGTCACCTGTTATACATTTCTTTTTTTTACGGCCACTCTTATTGACGAGTGCACTGGCGTAGGATGGTTTTGAGCAACCGATCCTGCATGACGTCCCTCTGCTGCCGACTCGTATCTGCAGATCCTGGCCAAGCACGTGATGAACGTCCACCTCAACGCCAAGACGCAGATGCAGGCCGTGGAGGGGGAGATCGAACTGTCCACGCTCAAGAAGTTCATCGCCTACTGCCGCTCGTGAGCGCGCGCACACACATGCACGGCACGAGAGCGACACGTTATAAAGGTGCAGCTCTGAAATTGCTCGCTTGTGACAATGGTGGTGCAAGAGCCTCCAAGACTGAGCCCGAGAGAGTTCCCCTCCTACCTAATGGAGTGTTTTGGCCCACTCTTCCACGCTGGCCAGATGTATTGGAAGCGGTGGGATTATCTACATCCCACCACACGTGACCTGCGAACCGACTAAAGTTCTGTGGGTGCACTCATTTATACTGCTGGGTGGTGGACAGAGGTGGGAGAGATATGGGAACAAAACCATCGACCCTGATTGCAAGTCCAGTGTGCTAACCGTTACACGGCGGCATCATCCCAAGAACACTTGTTTGGCGCTCTTATATTGCACAAAGCGACTTTGGCGGCCCATTGGAGGCTATGCCGAATGCGTCACTTCGGGCTAAGATGAAAGCTCCCTTTCCCATTTCATAATGCCGTGTCGATTTCCCTCGAGGCTCCCTGCGGAGGCAGCTGGTGCGTTATATCGCCTGGCGCGGGTCATCCCGTAATGCACGTACCCTCATTAAGCCAAGAGAGTGAAGAGAGAGATGCTCGCGATGATTGCGTTTTGTCCATGGCGGACGGGGGAACGCTTCGCTTAAGCTAACTTTTGTTGCCTTGGGGCCGATTTTCACGCGTGCCAGGAAATGCGGCCCTCGCATGTCGGCCGAAGCGTGCGAGAAGCTGAAGAACCGCTACGTGCTGATGCGCAGCGGAGCGCGCGAGCACGACCGTGACCGCGACCACCGCAACTCCATCCCCATCACCGTCCGGTAACGCGCACGGGTGCCTGGGCGCCTCCTGGGAGAGTAATTCCGACAGTCTTAATAAAAATTCTGATTCTGGTAGATAGTGATTAACAATTAGTCATTTTTCGATTTAAAGCTTTCGTGACTGCAGGGATTCATCTTCTTGGTTCTTTCGGTAAAGTCACGTAGAAGGGAAGTAATAAAATAATAAAAATAAAACATAATAAAACAATTCTCACGACGTTTCGGCCACAACGCAAGCAGCCGTCCTCAGGTGAAAACCAGGTCCGTCGAGGCGACAGAGTCTGAATGAAACAGCACACGGGCTTAGAGCATATATATAAGCTGGGCGCATTGACAAAGGAATTTGCATATCAACAGGAATTTAGCATATTTATGGGAAATGCAGGAATGTAATTAGTACTGCATATGCATGTGCATTATGCAGGATTAACAGCATCAAAGGGAGCTGCAGTTACTGCTGCTGCAGCAGTTACTGCTGCTGCAGCAGTTGCTGCTGCTGCTGCAGTTTCTGCTGCTGCTGCAGTTGCTGCTGCTGCTGCACTTGCTGCTGCTGCTGCTGCACTTGCTGCTGCTGCACTTGCTGCTGCTGCTGCACTTGCTGCTGCTGCTGCACTTGCTGCTGCTGCTGCACTTGCTGCTGCTGCTGCACTTGCTGCTGCTGCTGCACTTGCTGCTGCTGCTGCAGTTGCTGCCTTATCCATTTTAATATAACACTATGTATTATTCTACCCACCCTAATGTGTATCATACTGCTATATGTTTACTGTACAATTACGACACCATACATTACTCTGCACACTGCACCACTCACTGGCATGGTGCATTGTGCAGAGTAATGTATGGTGTCGTAATTGTACAGTAAACATATAGCAGTATGATACACATTAGGGTGGGTAGAATAATACATAGTGTTATATTAAAATGGATAAGGCAGCAAGTGCAGCAGCAGCAGCAACTGCAGCAGCAGCAGCAACTGCAGCAGCAGCAGAAACTGCAGCAGCAGCAGCAACTGCTGCAGCAGCAGTAACTGCAGCTCCCTTTGATGCTGTTAATCCTGCATAATGCACATGCATATGCAGTACTAATTACATTCCTGCATTTCCCATAAATATGCTAAATTCCTGTTGATATGCAAATTCCTTTGTCAATGCGCCCAGCTTATATATATGCTCTAAGCCCGTGTGCTGTTTCATTCAGACTCTGTCGCCTCGACGGACCTGGTTTTCACCTGAGGACGGCTGCTTGCGTTGTGGCCGAAACGTCGTGAGAATTGTTTTATTATGTTTTATTTTTATTATTTTATTACTTCCCTTCTACGTGACTTTACCGAAAGAACCAAGAAGAATTAGTCATTTATCGAGGAACGCCACATTTTCAGGGGGGTTCTGCTACGTTGAGTTTTTATTTTTAAGGTGTCGGAAAATCTTGAGTTGTTTATATTTACGTGGGAGGAAAACCGGAGCGCATGGAGAATATCCCCGTACAGATAGAAATGTTGGTCCGCTTGATATTTCGTCTTCTCCGGTGAGCTACGGTATGGCACCTCGACACTCACGGGGAGTTTCACAACATTTGCGTGATCCACCAACTGTAATCTAAATACAAATTACTAGTTACTTGGAGGTAATTCAGATGTCAATTTCAAATGTAATTAAATTGTTTAAATTACAATTGAATTTAATAAGTTCGAGACTGCCCATCTCTGCTGCTGGGATCCTTTGTTTCATTCTCGGTTTCAGCCGGCTGTGATTTAAACCAAGTTCTCAAGTGCAGTTAATGATCTGCATCCGATAAAGACGCAGATCATTAACAATACAACTTTATTTGATACATGGGTGTCAGACACGGGTACTCCTTGGTCGCTCCCAAATATATTTTAAATTCATTTGGCTCGAGCGAAACCATTCCACGTGACCACCCCAAATTACCTCTCTGCGTGATGACCCCCACGCCAGAGATTGCGCCGAGTAAAGTCGCGCGCGTCTTGCGGCTCTCGGCCACGTATGGATTTCGGCGAGCAGCTCCGTCGGGTCCTGGAAGTTCGGCCGCTCCCGTTTTAATCGCCACCCCCCCCCCCCCCCCCCCCCCGTGCTCGTCGCCGACGCTCGCAGGCAGCTGGAGGCCATCGTCCGCATCTCAGAGTCTCAGGCCAAGATGCGGCTGCAGCCATTTGCCACGGAGGCACACGTGGACGAGGCTCTGCGGCTCTTCCAGGTGTCCACCCTGGACGCGGCGCTGTCCGGCAGCCTGAGCGGTACGTGTGGGGCTTGTCTGCTCGCGCACCCACACCCACGCACGCCCCACGCACACCGTGCATCCTTACACACGCCCTCTCCCCATGTCTTGGCCACAGCTCAAGACGCACGTGTTAGCACGCGCACTGCGATCGGCGTGATCTCCGGCGTGATTGTTGTCAATCCACTGCTGGATGGAGGCATCCCCACACCACGTTGGTCATGGGGCTGTTCTAAGCAGCAGCATTCCCCGCTTCAGTTATTCTTCGCCCGCCGATCTTCTCAACATCCCGTTATTTCTCAATAAATTATCATCGTAATGGCGACGCGTAACGTGTTCGCTTGTCCGCCGCGCAGGCGCGGAGGGCTTCACAACGCAGGAGGACCAGGAGCTGCTGGCGCGCGTCGAGAAGCAGCTGAAGCGCCGCTTCGCCATCGGCTCCCAGGTGTCGGAGCACAGCATCGTCCAGGACTTCCTCAAGCAGGTGCTTGGTCTTTTACTCGTGAAGTTGAAATATCTTGCTGGCTCAATCGCAGGCTGCTGTACCTCAACTTGTTGTCGCGAGCCTTTAATGTTCCAAGATGTACGTGTAGCTGATGGTGAAATGTTGTGTAAATGCGTAAGAATAATTTTTCTTAGACATTGTAAAAGTGAACTCGATTTATTTGTGTTTTCAATAAGTGTTAAAGATCCATATTAGTGTTCCGAGTCACGTGATACAATTGGCTTTGTACCAGCAAAGTAAAAAGGCACAGTTCCATTATTTGTTGGCACTACATCAGCTAATGCCGGTATTTCAAACACGAGCGCGTTACGAGATACGAACAGTGATTTACTTGCACGTTATTTCAATAAATAACACTGATACTTTTCCAGGGCTTCTCCAGTCAAATACAATGTAAACATTGTGCAAATGTCGACCGTAACAATATTAAAACGTAATAATATATTCCGCAGCATTTTTCAAATAACCTATGCAGAGTAGGGTTGTGTGGATCTGGATAATGTCTTTGCTTCAATCGGCTGCTTCTAAGTGTAACTTAAAATGGATGTCCGTTTCAGTGGGATGACTGTAATTCTGCGCTTCCAGATTAATCGCAATCGCGGGGGAACTTGTCCTGCTTTTCTTTTTTCACCAGAAATACCCGGAGCATGCCATCTACAAGGTGCTGCACCTGATGCTTCGGCGTGGAGAGCTGCAGCACAGGGTGCAGCGCAAGGTCCTGTACCGTGTCAAGTGAGCCTGCATCCCTCCCCACCGCTACTCACGCGCCTGTGTCTCAGACCACGTGCCGGTCATGGAAAGCGGAGGACAAATGGTCATTGAGCTCGTGGTTAAATCCACGGGCTTGCATCACGATTATTCGATGGAAGTAGATTCTTGCGCGCGTCGAATCGTGTGCGTAGCTTATGGTTGACACGCGCATTGTATGCGATTGTTGCCAATAGCCTAATGGGACCAACAACAAAATGAACCGATATCGGGGTATGAGATCTTACGGATGGGGAAGAAAATATTCGGTGTAATCAGATCTTGAATCGAGGTAGTTTATTGAACCACGAAGAAGTGTGGTGAATCATTAAGTGCCTGCTAACCCAATTTTCCAATAATTGACAGTCTCCTGTCTCGTTAACGTACAACATGACAGATTAGTCTTCAGAAGTAAAATCCCACTCTGGGACCCATAGTGATCATGCAGCATCCCATAGCTTGCTTTGATGTGTCTTTCCAAAGTAGTACTGCATTTGTGTGTTTTTTTTTCCATTTTGTCTTGTGCTTTGTACTGCACTTGGTTTAACTCAATAAAGTGTTCATTACAGAACTCGGTTGTTTGAAGTGTTGTGGTGGTTTTTTTGCCCTACAAGCAGCCCTCGTGTCAAACCTTGTGGGTGGGGGGTCACATTTTGGTGAATGCAATTTCTGTCAGGCACCTGAATATTAACTACAATGCTTGAGCGGATACGGTATCGCTACGAATCACGTGCGGCTAGTTTAGTTTTAATTCCCATTGATGTGCACATTGCCCTGTGTACAAAGTCCCTCGGCGTTGTATTGCAGCGTGCTGGCACGCAGTGACAACGAGCGGGTTACATAGTCGTGGCACAGGGCGAGCTTGGGCACAAGCAGGGGGGTCTGAAGAACCCGCCAATGATGCCACCATCGCCACGCCTGGACGCGACGGAGCAGCGCAGGATCAGTTAACGTTCCTCTGCACGGCGTGGTTGGGCGAAGAGTTTGCTGCTCCTGGCAAGAAGCGAGACTCCTTGTCGATCCACCTGGTGGCACAAGGTGGAATCGTGAACACATACACCGAGCTATGAGGGTACAGAAAATCCAGCGCACTGTAATTTGACGTCAACATCACGTGGGCAGATATACTGCCGTTCATCACCTCCCGCCCAGCGGCATGTGGGAATGGGTGAGACTTTTCATACTGCTTTTGTATTTTCTGATTCGTCGAGTAACATAACCGACGGCCGTCATGTCGGTCATTTACTTCACGACGGCTGGACATCTCAGCTCTACGGAGGTGATATGCTTAGGTTTTTTTGGTAAGTCACGTAGGTTAAAAATAAAAATAATAATAGAAATAAAATAATAAATCACGACGTTTCGGAGGCAACACAAGTCTCCATCATCAGGTGGGACCGTCACAGGTAAATTTACTGTATCAAGTGAGGAAAAATCTAAGAGAAGCTTTTAAATACAAGTTAAGGGGGAGGGGGGGCTTATCTGAAAGTGGTAGCCAGGGAACGGAACGGTGGGGGGGGCTAAAAGGGAACAATTAGTGCACCTCAACTTGGGGTTGCGGCCGATGTTAGCTGACATACAAAATAGCAGTACTGTTAAACGCTGGGGATGTCAACACTGGGAAAAGTAGACTAGTACATGTCAAATAAGATGGTCCATGTGTAGTTAAATCCCATCTGTAAAAGATGTCATTCCTGACTTGCAATACCCTGGAGTCTATAAATTGAGTTGCAGCTGTGGCAAATGTTACATTGGGGAAACGAAACATCATGTCTCCGATCGTGTCCGCGAGCACAAGTCAGATCTGAAACACGGCAAATTGAGTCTTCCGCCGTTGCCGATCATTGCTACAACGCTGTGGGCTCTCATGATATTGTCTTTTCCGAGACCAAGGTGCTCTGCAAACCTTCTGGCTACCATCAAAGGTTTGTACACAAAGCCATCCAGATATACAAAGACAGACATAACTTCAACCGTGATGATGGGTACAAACTGAGTAATCATTGGAAATATGTTATTAACCATGTAAAAAATATTTAACTACACATTTGTACCATCTTATTTGACAGGTACTATTCTACTTTACCCAGTGTTGACATCCCTAGCTGTTTAACAGTACTGCTTTTTTGTATTTTGGATGTCAGCTAACACTGGCCGTAACCCCAAGTTGAGGTGCACCAATTGTTCCCTTTTAGCCCCCCCCCACCATTCCATTCCCTGGCTACCACATTCAGATAAGCCCCTCCCCCTTGTATTTAAGAGCTTGTCTCTTAGATTTTTCCTCACTTGATACAGTAAATTTAGCTGTGACGGTCCCACCTGATGATGGAGACTTGTGTTGCCTCCGAAAAGTCGTGATTTATTATTTTATTTCTATTTTTATTATTTATTTGTATTATTTACCTACGTGACTTTACTGAAAAAACCTAAGAGTATGAATCCTTGCAGTCACGAAAGCTTCAAATCTAGAACTACGGGGGTGAGGCGCAGGAGCCCGTCGAGCGGCTCACTGCAAGAGGATGAGCATGATGACGCCGAGCCCTCCCAGCAGGATGAAGCAGAAGCCGGGGAAGTAGGGCAGCGTGGCCGGGTAGAGCGCGCTCAGCACGGACGAGGTGATGAGAATGAACGCCGTCTCCAGGGACGCGAACGCCGAGAACACAGCTCCTGGGCGCGCCGCCGACAGTGAGACACGGATACCACCGTTGTTACCACCGTCGTTACCACCATCAACGTCGCCAAGAGAATCGTCGGAAGTAATCGTCATCGTTCCAACATGACAGCGATCACCGACGAGTACAGTTGTCATTGTCAATAAGCTATTGTCAGTCTCGCGGATTAAAAAAATTGGCAGGAGAACCCTGAACAAAGCCTTGACAATCGGTGAGGCCTTTCTGACTAAACAAGCATCATGTAATAATATGGATTAATGGTAGACCCCATGCAACTGGCAATTATTCAACGCTCAACACACGGAAGGATAATTATAATAAGCAATTACTGTAAAGCTCTCGTACCCTGTTCGGAGCTGGTGGCCAGCCTTGATGTCTGTGCCCGTATCATGGCACCAGGGATGCCTGATACACTGGCCAGCCCAGCCGCTGGAAGGAAAAACGTACAACGGGTGTGGACAATAAGTACGACGTTGTTAGAGAATATATCAGCAACAATTTTGGCTTTAATCGTTTCTTACATTTCTCTTCATTGGTATTGCACTCGTAACTTTCTGCATTGTTATGTCCCTCTGCACATCTTAAATACAGCTGAGTGAAGTTTCACTATAAAATGAGAGCTCGTAAAAATCTTAATTTGCCATTTCATTGCTTCTCATAAGGTTCATGCACAGCGAACAGTTGACTCAGAGCAAGCCAAAATAAATTAATTTCTGGGAGCATCCACACGATGTTTTCCAAGTGCATCCGAGGTCTCCTCGCACGTTATTTTACGCTCCAATATGGCAGCAAAAGCAGTTTATGTGAATCGTGCCTCATATCACTCGTACGTTTGGCACTTGCGCCATTCATATCTCGCAAGGTGACGACGAGGTCGCCCCTTTCACGACCGAGTCTAGCCTGCAGTGGCACAGTCTCTTCGTAGCAGCGGCTCACCGAGGAAGACCATCCAGGGAACGGAGGCACAGGCCATGAGGCCAAATGATATGACCCGGATCAGCATGGCCCCCTTGGCAAGAGAAAAGCCGCGAGCCAGCTTCAACAACAGCGGAAAGAGCACCAGTAGACACATACCCTGCTCGCCACACACACGCACACAGGCATCGAACCCCCAGTTATTCTGAGGTCTCATGATGTAAGCTGTCTCTGGTGTGGACCAATCAGTTTCAAAGACAATGCATCATATACTACCAGAGCATGTTTGTTGTTGCATGTTCTACACAAGTATTATGTGGTTAATGCAGACATGATTCCTTGCAAAAGGTTTCACTTTGGTGTTTTAACATTTTAACACCTGTTTTATTGTCAGAAAGGGTAAAACCCAATTTTATAATGTAGATCACTTAGTGCCTGTCGAGGCAGGCACACAGCATAGGTGACAGTGCAGTCGGTAAAGATGTAACGATCTCCCTCTCCTCCTACGTGAATGCTGATCAATGCCACTTTCCACAAGTAAAGATATATGCTGTGTTTAATACGGATGCAATGCTTTAGAAGGTCAGGGAGGTGAGACTTTGATTATTTTGCCACGTGGAGAGAAGAGACGAAGAGGATGCAATGACAAGGGCCGTGGAGATGTCAACGGTGCAGGGCAGAGGGGGACTGGGGGTGAGATGACAAAGTGAAAATGCTCATTTGACGAAAGCATCTTCATACTCTTTTATGGGGAGAAAGAATATTTTAAAAGTTGAGTCAGTGACTGAGTGAACATGTGATAAGCAGGTACCACAGCGATCCTGTGTTCACCTCCATGGCATCAGATCACATTTACAAGCAGAGCAAGTAAAATCCCATTTATCAGTGACAGCACAATAAACTGTACGTGTGCGTTTTTATTACTTAAGCTTTGCCCCTGCTTTCAGGCTTAAAATGTATTCCTGTTTTGAACCGACACCATTCTTTATAGAGCATGAAGGAACACAATGTGAGTGGCATGTTGAGGCGACTCCAAAAGTAGTTCTGTAGTGCCATGTTCAGGAGCCAAACTTGACATGACACGAATTACTGCTGGCTGGGGGAATTCCAGATAAGAGTTGCCACCTGTCTAAGATTGATCGTCCGGGTTTGACCTGGACGGTCTGGGTATTGGCATCTGTGTTCGGGTGGCAGGAATGGATTTGAACCGAGATCTGGTGGTATGGTTTTGATAGGCATAAGCTGGCTGAATGTCCAGGTTTGGTCTGTGGCAAGTGTGGTAAAAGCCATATTCCAGAGGACTGTTTTCATTTGTTTGCATGCCACTGCTGGAATAGCCCAATTGGAACGCACGCCCCAACTTACCACCAGGAATGTCCTGCCCCCGATGAAGTAGCCGTATTGCTCGTTAGTGAAGTGCAGTGGTGGGTACTGCAGGAACATCACGAGGATCTGCGAGTCGCCTGTAACAAACCACAAAGACAAAAATCTCCCACATAGCCTGAGCAGACTGTTGGGGCAAATGCTGTTAGCGAGCACCTATGAAGTCCGGTACGGCATACGAGGGGGATGGGTGGCCAGCACCACGCCCGGCCGCCTTTATCTCCCCATCGCACCAAGTTCTCGTTTGAGGCTGAGTCGACCTAGAGGAGGCCCAAGACCAGTTAAGATAAGCGTCACTGGTGTTGGCCGTGAGCAGGAATTGAACTCGGGTCACTAGGTTCGCAGCGCAGCGCGCTAACCGTGACACCAATGCTCCCCACTGCAACAAACCACTCTGACACACGCACACACGCACATGCGCAACAGCACTGCTTTATGAGGTGCATAGTTCTGAAGTACTCACGTACAGTCCTGAGCAATGACAAGATTCCTCTTACAAAGTTGATGTAGATTATTACAATCTGCAACTACGTAGTTTTCAGAGCGGGCTGATTATCCTTTTACGTGTTACGACAAAGTGTGATTCAAATGACATATCATGTTGTTGCAGTCAGCTGGATAACCGTAGCTTCTTCATCATCATCAACCATGATATACCCACTGCTGGATTTAGGCATCCCCTTTGTATGTGCGTTGAACTTCTTTCGCACCGTACGTAGCCAACCGTGCTAATCGAAGGTGCGGATACACGTGTGGGGGCACAACGGAAGGCAAGTGCTTTCGCGTTAGGAGAAGGAGGGCGCTTCGAGACGCACCGACAATGCAGGCCATGTTGAGGAGGCTCACTGCGAGCAGCAGCAACATGACGAGTCTGCCACGCTCGCCCCGCTTGCGGAAGACCACCTTCCAGGTGGTCAACCCATCCAGGCAGCTCATGGGCGGCAAAGTCGCGCGCACGCCCGTGTCCTCCGACTGCAAGGCGAGGTTACACACAAAAAAACCAACGTCGCAAGCGTGAGGCTGCTTCACGACACAGCGGAACGCGTACATCGCGAGTGCACTATTGGCGCCGTTCCTATGGCTGCAGGGTTCTCGCGAAGGAAGAGGCACGTTTTAAAAGACGCGTGCGGTATGGTCTGCAGTGGTGTCGCGATAGGGGGCGATGTTGCTGTGCGATCATCATAGGACAGAGTCAGGCTCGCCTGAATAAACCCCGGCGCTAGCTGCTCGCACCTCCTCGGAGCAGATGGGCTGGCGCTCGTCCTCGCTGCTGCTGCGCTGCTGGGCGGGCGATGAGATGCACAGCAGCGCGTAGAGCGTCGCCAGCAGGTTGCACGCGAGCTGGATGGAGAAGGCGCCGAGGAACCCCATGTGGGCGACCGCGGCCCCCTCCACCAGCCCCCCCACCGTGCCGCCCATGAAGATCATGGCCTCGAGCACGCCCATGCGGCACGGGCGTTCGTCAGGCGACGTCACCGTGGCCAGGTAACTCATCACGCTGCGTGCCGGCGAGCGAGCAAAAGAAGCGCGTGACTCGGGTTGCCACCTCGGGAGGTAGAAAACATCCGGGACATACTGTGGTAATAATCTCACAATACCGGAGGAGGGGGAGAAGTCCATTTGAAAGCGGTGTCTTGAGTGGAGTATAATTATTATTATGACGACACTGCTGACAAAACCCAGGACTTTTACTGTTCCCTGGGAAATGTATAGCTTTCCCGGGACAGCAGCTGCCTCGAAAAAATAATGATCCCAGGAAAACCAGGAGAGGTGGCAACCCTACATATTACGCAATCAGACACGAAAGTTGTCTCGTACAATAAACGGTATTGAAGTCCAAAGGGGTGATTTTTACACAGAATGCACATGCACTCGCAAAGGCGCAAAGCTGTGGGTAACATTTTGCCATAGCCTCATTAAGAATTATGCTGTCCTTTATATCACCCTCTGATTTCAGTGTAAGGGTAAAAATAAAGCTGGGTAGGACTTTAACAGAGTTTCCATAAATACACATTTAATACAGAGAACAAATTGCCAAATATTTAGGAAATACGGCAGACAATACTGAAAAAACAATGCAACATAACAGAGTAAGATGTTGTGAAATGTAATTAATAGACGTCAAAGTTATAGTGAACCTGCTGTCAAGTACTGAATGTCACGCTAGGCCATGATGGATTCTGGGCTAAGGGAAGAGCTGTGCCCACAGCCAGCCGGAGGATTTGAGGCTGACATCTACGAACCTGTCCAGTGTATGTGGCAAATATTTTAGAGGCATGAAGCCAACCTCATTGTGTCTCCCTGCTCATCTCTGTCGATGGCCTTGAGCTAGCGGTGAAAATTAGTTTTTACCACGGTAGGATTACAGACTCGATAGCAGGACTACTTAATGTCCCGACAGAGTGGTAATTATTTCACTGACCATGTCGGAAATACAGACCTGACCAGGATCTGAACATTATTCTCATTGCGCGTCAAAACGTAGCAAACTGCGTTTTTATTCTCCCTATAAATCTCATAAGAGTGTATACACACGAACACTCGATTTGCACAGGCGCGCTTTGCCATGAAGCCCAGTCGGCTGAAACGTGAATTATTTCCTTTCCTTCCCAAAAAAATATATGGTGATTAAAGTTTAATTTTGTGAACGTATGTAACGTTGGTGAAGCAGCAAAATGCGTTTGCCAGAGGCTGCTGCTCTCGTGCAATGAATAAATGATAAACAAGTCAACTTATTGCTTCATTTCAGGGATATAACGTGTTTCTTGCATGGAATACCTACCTGAGAATATTGCAGAATGCTAACAATATAAAAACGAAATTAACTAATTCAATCAGTTATATAGTTAAATTGCACAGTTTATATTTAGATTTTTCTTCTTTCGTACGGCTGATGTAGACGCAGAGCAACAACTACAATTTCACATTCAGGTGGTCAAGCCAAATCACGACTTCAGCAGCAGCAGCGGAGTCCTGTAACGCCGCGATGTCTCCTTCTTGTTTGTGGACGGGGCATTGCGTCGTTTTGCGCTGTACGGTCTGTTCTGGATGACCACAGTCGCACACTGCAGAGTTTTTAATTTTCCATTTGTGCATCAGCTATCCGCATCTGCAATGGTTTTTGCAGTGGATGCGGCTTAGGGTGGACCATGAGCTTCGTGTATATTCTGGCAGTACAACCTAAAAAAAGGGTGGAGTGGTGGCTCAGCGGTTAGCGCACTGCTCTATGAACCCAGCCACCCGAGTTCAATTTCCAGTTACGGCTAACATCAGTGGCAAGTGATACAAAGTCCTGTGCACCCCCTTCCCCAAATCGCACTGACCAGCGTGGTGAAGTATAATCAAACAAGCCCTACGACCAACAACAAATGGAGACACCTTCATCCAGCAGAGGACATACATAGGGGTGATAACAATCTGTATTTTAAAAATATCAAATGTGTAAATGACAATAAATGCCATCACGACAGAAAAATAGAATGAATTTTTATTTATTTACTAACACACAAGGGTGTCCAGCATTGCATGCAAAAAAGCCTTATTTCTCAACTGTGTGAGACCAGTGGTCTCAACAACAAAAAATGTCCACACATTCAGTTTCCTTTCAGCTGGTGGTTTGAATAAGCTTCTGTAAATGTAATGCACCGCACTGTGTGTGTGTGTTGTTAAATAATTATTACCACGACAATAAAACATATTCAAACGTGTAGTCTATTTGATGGCTTCACTATCCAATAGAGCGTTTTGTTGAATGCGTATTAAATCACAAATCTGACGGAGCGAGTGAGCTGTCCATGGTGCCGGATATTCCCAGAGGGGGCAACACACACTGATCTGGCCACGATACAAGCTGTCAAGGATCCAAATGCTCCTGCGATTGTTCGTCTGGCTTGAAATTCCACAGGGATCAGACACGTAACCTTCCAATTTTTTTTTTTACAAATGAATATTTCATGGTAATAAATATTACATACATCCATTTGATGTACAAACAGAATGTTGGGCTGGCTCTTAACAAAAAATATACACTCTTAACAGAAATTGTGGCAGTATTGTATGCATGCTTGTTGAACGTCTTTCCCACTGTACGTAGCCAACCGTGCCAATTATAGGGGCGGAAGTATTGCAAATACGTTAACACAACCATATTTACAGAGTTCACTACTTATAGATAAGCTGATAAAGTATATATACTCAGCACCTCCAATGAGCACGGTTGGCTATGTATGGTATGAAATAAATTCAACATACATAATTTAAGGCGCTTTGTCAATCCACTATTGAGTGAAGGCCTCCTACACTATATTGGCCATGGTGTTTTGTGGTTCATACTTGACTATGCTAGTCGAACTCAGTTCACCTCTCAGATGCATCCCATTCCTTGGCTGCTACTCCATCATTATTCTTGACCATCGGACATCATCCCCTTTCAGCGACGTGTCTTGCCCAAACCAAATGAAGTGAAACGCACATTTCCATGATGGAGTTTTTGTTGTGTGCAGGCATCGGTGGCCAAGCATGGACCATCAAACTGGCGACCATGTGCCTCTCTGGAGCTATGAGCCCACTGCAGACAACCCTCACCGAGCTGTCAAGCATGAGAACGCACAATCTCTGAACGTCCCGCCAAGGCGATACTTTCAGCAGCAAGCGTGTTTCCCACCTTCTTTATCTTCACCCATATATCGTCTCAAGAGTGCACTGTCGTTATCGTTTGTGGAACTTGTTGGCCTGGGTGCACAGACGACACACGCGGGAGTGTTTCTGTCCACGCCGGCCCATCTATCTACCCTTCCTACTTTTATAAACATTTTGAAAAATGTCTTTACACGTTCCTCTTTTCTGTCTCTTAACATACGTGTACGTACCATTTGAAATGCAACGATCGTGCATTTCAAATCGTACTTACGTCCCCAAAAGTGGGATGCGTGCGCAGCGTACCTTAGCAAAATGGTGACATAACCCCCCAAGGTGGAGGAGATGCAGGCGGCGGCCAACGTCCAGTAGACGGACAGCTCGGGGGAGGAGGACACCAACATCAACAAGGCGGAGGCCATCGCGGCCCCGAAGCACGGCAGGGCCATCGCGAGGCGTCTCATGCACGGAGAGCGATCCGACCAGGTCCCGAGCAGCGAGGCGGTAATCATGGCCGGGATGTTGGTGGCGAGCGACAGCAGCAGGAAGAGCGTGGAGGCGCGCGTCTGCACCACCCTGGCCCGGTCACCCTCCAGCGGCGACACGCATGCCTCCGTCGTGCCGTACGTCTCCCAACACACCTGCCGGGGCACGCGTGACATCACGGTGATGAACGTGCCGACAATAGAATTAAGGCAGCGGCCATTAGTGCTGACAGTGTCATCACACGTGGCTCCAGAATGACAACACTAACCGCAATTGCAAGTACGGCCATTCTTTGTAAACCCGCCGTGCGTGTCGTAGGCAGTGTGTGACCATACGTCGCTGAGTTGGTCAGTGCTGGTTATGACGGTGGGCGAATTGAAGTACAGTACAATAATGTATTTTTATGCACTGCTAACAATGTAGTCCTGCACTACCCTACAACAGCTGTTTTATGGTCGCCCATCAGGGCATTATCCAGACTCAACCCAGCTTAGTTTCCAATATCTGACGAGATCGGGTTAATTCTGGGTGACTTGGTAACCTTTATTGGGTATGAATTGATTGTGACTTTTTGGTGATCTATGTTACCGAGTTGGCAATTGCTGTAGCTTTTATCTTGCTGGAAAATGTGTTCTCTATTCAAGTATAATTTTGACCAATCAATTCGAAGGATAACAAAAAACCTCTGAAAAGAGTACAAGGTTGGAATAATAGTTCAACCTTAGATTCTTCCAAATGAATACCTTTAGGATGTTCTACATATTAAAAATATTTTGTTTCAGTGTGAAAGTGGAGTCATTTCTTATACTTCAATTGGAAACCCTGTTTATATTTTCATCAAACTCGTATGAAGCAAAATAAATAAGCAGTTCCATTTCATGATTGAAAATGTAATTATAAGGTATACATTTTATAAAAGGATGCTAACTTTTCATGACAATAAAAAATATATAAGTTGCATTAAACCTTTATATATATATAACTACGCTAGGGCATCTTAAAATATACATGATATATTTTTCACACATTACTGCATTCGACCACTGAACCAGAATATTCCATCCAGATGAAATCACCCAGTGAACTCTCCAGGAGCAAACACACGGATTCCCTTTAATTCAGGCCTCTGCTTTTTAATCCAATCCGATTCGTTTGGTGCACACACTTAACCGCACACGCATTGTAATGAATGCTGCTACCAGCAGGTTATGTCAACTAAAGAAATGCATTTCAAAAGAATCCAATTGCAGTGGCACAGAACAGTGCTTTTTAATGCAATTTTTCTATGAGCCAAGTTATTAAAGTTCAATTCCCGGTCACGGCTGATGCCAGTGGCAGGTCTTTATCTTGGCTGTAAATTATTAACGCTAATATTACATGAGCTGTGCATATTCTAAATTAATGAATACGCATTCATATACAACATGCAGAATACACGTTTGCTCTGTTATTCGCACAGGAATCCCCACGTGGAAGTTGCCTATAAAAGCACGATTTCCCACAATAGCAACCCACTGTAACAACCAAAATTAATTATGGGTCTTTATTAAATTACAGTTATCCCATGGTTCCGCTCACACACACACACACACACTTGCAGGCTAACTGTGAGCTCACATTCCCTGATTGCGTGCGTATCCACAGCGGGGCTTTACTGCTGACAGGGTCAGACAGTGTGAGTCATGCCAGCCCCTCCAGGGCTTACCTGTGTGTATAATCATGCATTGCGGCTGCTGCGTTACCAGCAGCAGCAGCAGCAGCAGCTACTCTGCACGCGTGTGCGAAAGGTAAAGGCGCACCCCTGCAATTTCGTGGAAGTGAACGGCATGGAACCTGCAAGCCCTTTGCATGAGAAATGCAATACGTGCCTTTTGCAGGATGATCTGCTGTGTGGCGGGGGCCTGGATGAAGAGGGCGGTCATGTAGAGGAAGAGCAGCGGCTCCACTGTGATGACCCGGGCCCATGAGGGCAGCATAGCGCCACCCACGTGTCTGCACACACACACACACCAAGGCAAAGACCCCAGTATAGCATTAAGATGATGTTGGGGCAAGTGCTGTTAGCGAGCTCCTATTATAGCCGGCATGGCACACGAGGGAGAAGATGGCCAGCACCATGCTCAGCTGCATGTGTGTCCCCAGTGTCGATGTTTGCACACAGTACTGGGATCTAATTCGCCACTGAGTCAACCTAAGGGAGACCCAGGACCGGTTCATATTATTCGTCACCAATGATCGGGTCGCCGGGTTTGTAGCGCAATGTGCTAACCACGACGCCTGCACACACACAGAGACAACTCGACAGTACCCTTCTCACTCAATGCCAGCTCACTAGGCATGCTGTAGTAATATTTGGATCACGCTAACGAATCGTCCATTAATACATTATTCACGATTCATGCAAATTGTATGCAATCGTTACCTTGAGGCTAATGGAATTAGAAAAATAGGATGCTCTAGTGTATGACAGCCAGACAATGGAAATGAGACAGCCCGAGACTAAATATTCTTCTCAGATCGAATTGTTGCCTCTAACTTTGATATTTTTCACTGGAAAATCATCAAATTATTGGAAGCGGGGGCGGGGAGATCGTTACACGGCAATTATGAGCATCATTCTCTCTCTGTCACTCCGACACATACCCACTCTATTCATTACAATCCACTCCAAAACATGCATGCGTTCAATGTACAACTGTACTAAAATGCTGAACAATTCACCCCTTATCTCAAGCGATTCGATGAATTGCCGTGAACTGTTGTCACAATCCGAGTCAAGAGTTCACGATTTTTGTGTCCTTACTTCACCATCCGTCTCGTCTCGACCGCCTTTCTCATCTGCATTGCCTCATCCTCCGTCTACTCTGCCCTGGCTGTATCGTCCTGTCTGTGCTGTCCAACGTGCACCGTCTTTTCTCACCTGTTCTGTGTGACTACAGTGGTTTGTTTCTGTCTCGTTAACAGGAATAAATGTTTCAAATTTTGCATAAACCGGAAACAAATAGATCCTTTCTCACACCATTTCGTGCACGTATCCTGCGTCTGAGAATGCATTTTAATCCGTTCGGCACAGTTGGCTACGTACGGTGCGAAAAAAGTTCAACAAACACACAAACGATGTTTATCGTGAATGCTTTAGATACCTTTTGATTGAAACACGACCGTTCAAGAGTATTTGTTTCGCCTGTGATTAATAACGTATGTCAATCGAGCAATAAGATACATTGCATGTATAGCATGAATGTAAATACTGTCATATTAATCTAATGTGTGAGTGGCGAGAACACACCCATCATCATCGTGATGCTTGTCAGCTGCACCGCGATGGTTGAGTTGCATTGCCATGGTTGCCAAAGGATCCAAATGTTGGAGCATTTGTGTTTTCAAAGATGCATACATTTTCTCTTAAATTATTTAATCCGTTTCAGATATTGCACGCCTTTATGGTGTATATATTAATTGTGCCTTGAGGCTAACGCCTGTGAATTGTGCTTATTAGACAAAACAACGCCAATACATCCTTTAGTCCCTCGTTCATGGTAAAGCTGAGCTGATGTAAATTTAATACCAGTCTTTACGTGCCTCAATATTAACCACCTGAAGACTCAGAATCCATGCAATGGCTTAGAGGTGTATTTATTACACCCTTGCCCCATGCTATTATTGCGATTCAAGGTTTTGATATTCAGGAATCGGTGACTCTGCTTATATTAACATGCAGCGAATGCAGCGACCGGCTGCAATGGTCGTGTAAATGTTTAACATGCAACATACGTGCATACATGGAAAACACACATTCCTACAATCATGATTCAGTGCATAAATGGTGAACTTGGGAATCAATATTAATCAAGTAATCGAGGCATTGTTACACCCCGAATAATAACCATACAAACATACAAGCTTCGTAACGAGAGTGAATGCACTCGAGGTTTTTTTCACGAATACAAATATGCAGATGCCATATCTTTCCTGAGCCCTATTAGCTTTCTCATGCTGGCTTAGAAGCCTCCCCACTATAGAGAGCCCCTCTCGAGGGTATTTGGCCTACTCTTCCACGCTGGCCAGACGTCTTAGAAGAGGGGACAGTACACCCACACGTCACCCCATCATACGCGACCTGCCGATCGACAGTGGTGTAGCCATGTTTCGTGCTGCCTCGTTATGGAGATGCTTGTGAACAGCAAACTTTGCTGACAATGATATCGGCCTGCGAATATTGTACGCGCAACGTCTAAAGATGCTTCTAAAGCTTCGAGACGTTATTTCTTTCATCGCTTTATCTCTCATTACATTTTGGCATCACATTATCTCTCATGACTTAATCTCATCACTTGATCTTACCACTTGATCTCAACACTTTCTCGCATCACGTTCTCTCTTATCACTTTATCTCGTCACTTTCTTCCTCTCTCTCTCTCGATGCAGTCGTGGATAACGAGGGAATACTATCCTGCTGGGTGTCAAAGGCGCGTGGGGGGAGGGGGGGGATTTAATAATCTCGCACCAATGTTCCAGTTGCCGCGCCGGGAGATCGAATTGAACCGGCAACCTCTGGATTGCAGGTCCGATGCACTAACCACTGGTACACGACAGCACCTGTGTACACAACGAATATTTAGACATTCGTACCTGTTCAAATTGGAGAACTTTCAGCCATCCCAGCACACCTCGGCAGTGCGGGCAAGCGCTGTGTATATGAAATTGGAATTCAATACGGTGTATGCGCCACCTTATACAAGGAGTAATTGTACAACGTGCACGAGATGAGGGAGGCAACAGGAAAGCACGCAAACCCCATTGTTAAGCCACAACTATACATACTCTTTGGTTCTTTCGGTAAAGTCACGTAGGTAAAAATAAAAAAAATAATTAAATCACGACGTTTCGGACGCAACACAAGCGTCCGTCATCAGGTGGGACAACCGCAGCAAGAAACATTTGGTGAAGTAGTTTCTATGGCATCCGGGGATGCCATCTGGGGATGCCACAGAAAAAAATGTTTCTTGCTGTGGTTGTCCCACCTGATGACGGCTGCTTGTGTTGCGTCCGAAACGTCGTGATTTAATTTTTTTTTTTACCTACGTGACTTTACCGAAAGAACCAAAGAGTATGGATCCTTGCAGTCACGAAAACTTCAAATCTAGAACACAACTATACACTTACACTTGTACGTATGTTTAACTTCTTTCGCACCATACGCAGTATATATGTATGTATGTTGAACTTCTTTCGCGCCGTACCTTGCCAACCGTACTAATCAGAGGTGTCGGGGAAGGACAGCAAACGAAACACGAAAAGCTGTTCTAAAGAAATGAGGTTTCAATCTCGATTTAAAAGTGCACAGCTCCAGTGCATATCGCTCCACTTGAGTAACGACTCAATAACTCTGGTCTGCTGCTGAGCATGTTGCTTGTGAGGAGAGGATGTGGAGTGGTCGTGGTGGATGGAGGGAGCTTGAGCCATGGACCTGCCCTTGTGTGGAGAACTCCACTGGAAACTTACAAGAAGCACAGGCTATAAAACACTGCAGTTCACAGTCACAATTGCACTACACCACGGCTCGCAGTGGCATCACTTACAGGCGTTTGGTTTGGCAGGGAACTTTAAACATTGCTGAGCTGTCATGCATCACATGAGCTCGCAACTTCGCAGGAAGTGGTATAAGTTTTTACGACTGTTGTTGTTTGAATCTGACATGCGTCATCGCACCTCCGATTAGCATGGTTGGCTACGTACGGTGCGAAAGGAGTTCAACACATAGTACATATATTTTTAGCTACATCCTTATAGCTAGACAAAAAAAACGTGGTAGAATGTTACAGACCAGAGAGCGATTTGAGACAATGTTATGGTACATGTGCGAATGAGGACACCTGATAGACACAGAGGCAGTCAATGGCACAAGAGAAAAGTCAGGAGCCTGGACTGGAACATGGATAGGGTCTCAGTAATGCAGACGGCCAAAGCAGGGGAATTAAAGACATTTGGGGGCAGCAGCAGAGGAGTGACCTCTCATTGAGGGAAGGTTGACGGAAGGTTTTTACAGAAGGCCTTGGTTGCTGGAGCTGAGGCCCACGGGCTCTGGTGGAGTAGCAGAGAAAACCATGAAGGGGAATAGAGCGAGGCGACGAGGGGAGAGGTTGTTTGGGTAAGATTTCATGTAGGATCATGAAACCAGTGAGAACGATCTTGTCGTTGATAGTGGACTGAATTTCTCGCGAATGGAGGGATTTGAGGATTGCGATGATGCGGGTCTCATTTACAGGTGTGGGTGAGAAAGTCTTGACGGTGGGCATTCAAGATTACTTGGAGTTTGGAGATGAGGAATCTGGGGATGCCATAGGTGGGAAGAAGACAGTTGCAGTAGTCAAGTAAAGCTGTGATGAACGCATGGATAAAGGTCTCGGCATAGGTGAAGGTCAGGCCTGGATTAAGGTTCTTGTAGGCCCGAGGCACTTCTGTTTGCAGGCCTTCGATGATAACTTTCTCCAGTTGGTACTGCTGTTACTCGCTTTTTCATCTGCTGGACAGATGTCGTTACCGTTACGTTCATTATTTAGTCTGTGTCCTCATTCGATGGGCGCGCGCGCTGTGTGCCGCAGCTAAGCAGAATTAATTTAAAATGATTGAGAGAGAAAAACAAGGCAAGCCTCAAAATCTAAGCGAAAATTACCTCAAATATTTTTTACTAGGATTATTATATCGGATGACGCAGCTTTAAAAGGATGCTGCTCATTTTCATCGATCACAAATTCAATGTTCTGACAGGACGACCGCATGGTAAGTGCCATATTGCTTTAGTTTCGTTGAAGCTTCAAGATTTATCATACAAACAGAAAAACACAGTCAACATTTTTTTCACAAGCCCTTTAGTTTTCGTAGGCCCGATTAGATAATGCAGCCCTGGTGGCGGTAGGAGGTTCTTCATACATAATAGAGGTTATTTGGGTTAGATCGCGTAAATAAATGTGTCGTTAAACCCGCCACCACCCGACACAGCCAATTAGTAAGGGTTGTCACGTGAACAGAACGTGCCAATTCGTCACTAGTACAGCACACCGGTGTGTTGGAGTGCCAGATTTGGCTGTTGCCTGATGAAGCAAGTTGTAATTACTGGCGAAACGTCGAACTCAGATTGTAAATGTTGTGGCTTGGCTCTCCAACACACCGGTGTGCTGTACTCGTGACGAATTGGCCACGTTCTGTTTACGTGACAACCCTTACTAGTTGGCTGTGTCGGGTGGTGGCGGGTTTAACGACACATTTATATATTTACGCGATCTAACCCAAAAAAACAGTATTTTAGATCTTGGTCGCGAAAGCCTACGTGCTAAACTGTTTCTTCATACTTTGGTTCTTTTCGGTTAAGTCACGTCTAAAAATAAAATAATAAATTAAAATAACATATTACGACGTTTCGATTGCAACACAAGCAATCATCATCAGGCATAAAAGAAATAGCAGCAAAAATCTAACTAGAAAACTATAGACAGACACACAAGCAGACAGACATCACAACGGCACACAGAGAGAGGACACAAATCGGCACAGAGAGAGGGGTCGTTTCTGTGACGGTTAGGTTATTTAATTTTCGTGTGTCTGTCTCCTAATTTTCAAGCTTGCGTGCCCGTTCCACATTGTCATCTTACTTGCAACAGCAGTACGTTGCCGTACACTCATTGATATGCTAATTCTCTCTGCCCCCTCCCTCTCTCCGTCCCCGCCCCCCCTCTCTATATTTAAGGGACCGTCACAGAAACGACCACTCTCTTTGTGCCGATATGTGTCCTCTCTCTGTGTGCCGTTGTGATGTCTGTCTGCTTGTATGTCTGTCTATAGTTTTCTAGTTAGATTTTTGCTGCTATTTCTTTTATGCCTGATGATGATTGCTTGTGTTGCAATCGAAACGTCGTAATATGTTATTTTAATTTATTATTTTATTTTTAGACGTGACTTAACCGAAAAGAACCAAAGAATAATTCCTGCAGTCACGAAAGCTCCTAAATTAAGATTGTTTCTTCATAGTTGAGAAACGTGGGAAGAGAATGAGGGTCACACCGATGGTGACTGCAAGGTTTCTGACACTCTTCTCCCGTTTAGTGCCAGTCTATGAGCACAACTAGAATATCTATTGAATTTCGACTTTTTGACAAAATGTTGGAATTCAGTTAAATAAAATACAGTACGTATAACTTTGGTAAAGTCGTGGCAGAATGGGTCGTGCATTGCACTTTGAACCCTCTTTAATGTTTATCCAGAGCCAAACTAAGTGGTGACTGGAATCCCAATCACTTCAACCTTCACTGATCAACGAGGTGGTGAAATATGGTCAAACAAACCCCCCGTCTGGCACGACACAGACAGACCTTCATCCAGCAGCGAATTGAGAAAGGGCTGTGACTATTGTCAGTAAACCAGTCTTAAAAAGTATCAAGTATTAAACTCTTACGAGAATGATTGCCAATATTAAACCAAGGACTACAATATTATTAATGTCGTTTATGGAAGTCTCTATCACATATCATCTAGATGCTGCTATATTAATACAGTATATTAATTATGTATACGTCCCCAGGTTTCATAGCATGAATGATGTACAGTATTCTCCAATTAGATGTCTCTCTTAAGTTTAACGTAAATTCAGGACATCCCAGTAAAAGAAAGCAAAGGTACAGCCCTGAAATGTCTTGCAAGATGCCACTGTAGCTGAACCTTCCACCATGGACATCTACCCACACAAAGTGCACCCGTAAAAGGCTGGTCCAGATCTCTTGTAACTCCCATTTAATTCTCTAAAACTCGAGTTATTATTTTTAAAAAGTAAGGTTTATATAACAACACAAGTGAATGTACAATGAGGGTGGGGAGGAGGGGGGACAAAATGTTAGTGGTCAATTCATGGGGGGGGGGGGTCACAAAACATCTGGACCACCAGCCTGTACATTGATACAGCCGGGAAGAATGAAGAATGAAGCCTCTTCTCTCGGTTTGCCGTCCTTGCCCTGCCCACACCAATCACCTCCGAATAGCCACACGGCTGGGCTACGTAGGGCACGAAAGAAGTTCAACACGTACAGTGCTTACACCACACACAGTGGCGGGCGACTTGTAAGAAATCTGCGCCGCGGTTTAAAACTTCCGCGACTTGGAGATCGCGACCCAAACCCAGGTCCGGGTTGTCCCCAGACTGCTGCTGCTGCCCAGGGCAGCGAAGTTGAACATCCATTGCTGCGTTTCCCGGCACGATGTGACGAGGCGATCGATGGCTTCCAGTACTCACCACGGCCGCAGCTCGCTACCGGGTTCGCCTTCTATCGGCAACGCGGCGGGGTTGGCTGGTTGTTGTTGCTGCTGTTGTTGTTTACACGAAAGTTGTCCCAAGTTCTACTCCAGCTAATGTCGCACAGTTGTATCGGGCTCCGCTCTCCCGAAGTCGTCTTTCCAACCCACACCGTGCGCTCCCCGCGTTCTTGAATCGCCTAAATCCCGCAGCGTGGCCGTGGTGGTGACGGTCTGACGCCTGCGCGGGGCCCTCCACACAACACGCCGGGCAGCCCGCACCACGTGTCCCCCACCACGTGTCCCCCACCACGTGTCCCCCACCACGTGTCCCCCACCACGTGTCCCCCCCTCCCTGCTAGGGCCACGTGCACACGCACACAAAGTTCACCATCAGCTCACACACAAAGTTCAGCATCAGCTCACACACAAAGTTCACCATCAGCTCACACACAAAGTTCAGCATCAGCTCACACACAAAGTTCACCATCAGTTCACACACAAAGTTCACCATCAGCTCACACACAAAGTTCACCATCAGCTCACACACAAAGTTCACCATCAGCTCACACACAAAGTTCACCATCAGCTCACACACAAAGTTCACCATCAGCTCACACACAAAGTTCACCATCAGCTCACACACAAAGTTCACCATCAGCTCACACACAAAGTTCAGCATCAGCTCACACACAAAGTTCACCATCAGCTCACACACAAAGTTCACCATCAGCTCACACACAAAGTTCAGCATCAGCTCACACACAAAGTTCACCATCAGCTCACACACAAAGTTCACCATCAGCTCGCACACAAACTTCACCATCAGCTCACACACAAAGTTCACTATCAGCACACAAAGTTCACCATCAGCTCGCACACAAAGTTCACCATCATCTCACACACAAACTTCACCATCAGCTCACACACAAAGTTCACCATCAGCTCACACACAGAGTTCACCATCAGCACACACACAAAGTTCACCATCAGCTCACACACAAAGTTCACCATCAGCTCACACACAGAGTTCACCATCAACACACACACAAAGTTCACCATCAGCTCGCACACAAAGTTCACCATCAGCTCGCACACAAAGTTCACCATCAGCTCACACACAAAGTTCACCATCAGCTCACACACAAAGTTCACCATCAGCTCGCACACAAAGTTCACCATCAGCACGCCGTGACAAAGTCAGGCGGCGAGGAGAGGGGGCAATGACCTCCCTTGAGTAAACAACACAGAGGCCCGACTGATGACGAGCTCTGTTGTTCATCAGACTGATGATGAACTATGTTGTTCATCAGACTGACGATGATGAACTATGTTGTTCATCAGTCTGACGATGAACTCTGTTGTTCATCAGACTGATTATGAACTATGTTGTTCATCAGACTGATGATGATGAACTATGTTGTTCATCAGACTGACGATGATGAACTATGTTGTTCATCAGTCTGACGATGAACTCTGTTGTTCATCAGTCTGACGATGAACTCTGTTGTTCATCAGACTGACGATGAGCTCTGTTGTTCATCAGACTGACGATGATGAACTATGTTGTTCATCAGTCTGACGATGAGCTCTGTTGTTCATCAGTCTGACGATGAACTCTGTTGTTCATCAGACTGACGATGAGCTCTGTTGTTCATCAGACTGACGATGATGAACTATGTTGTTCATCAGACTGACGATGATGAACTATGTTGTTCATCAGACTGACGATGATGAACTATGTTGTTCATCAGACTGACGATGATGAACTCTGCTGTTCATCAGACTGACGATGATGAACTATGTTGTTCATCAGACTGACGATGATGAACTATGTTGTTCATCAGACTGACGATGATGAACTCTGTTGTTCATCAGACTGACGATGATGAACTATGTTGTTCATCAGACTGACGATGATGCGATGATGAACTATGTTGTTCATCAGACTGACGATGATGAACTATGTTGTTCATCAGACTGACGATGATGAACTATGTTGTTCATCAGACTGACGATGATGAACTCTGCTGTTCATCAGACTGACGATGATGAACTATGTTGTTCATCAGACTGACGATGATGAACTCTGCTTGTTCATCAGACTGACGATGATGAACTATGTTGTTCATCAGACTGACGATGATGAACTATGTTGTTCATCAGACTGACGATGATGAACTATGTTGTTCATCAGACTGACAATGATGAACTATGTTGTTCATCAGACTGACGATGATGAACTCTGCTGTTCATCAGACTGACGATGATGAACTATGTTGTTCATCAGACTGACGATGATGAACTCTGTTGTTCATCAGACTGACGATGATGAACTATGTTGTTCATCAGACTGACGATGATGAACTATGTTGTTCATCAGACTGACGATGATGAACTCTGTTGTTCATCAGACTGACGATGATGAACTATGTTGTTCATCAGACTGACGATGATGAACTATGTTGTTCATCAGACTGACGATGATGAACTATGTTGTTCATCAGACTGACGATGATGAACTATGTTGTTCATCAGACTGACGATGATGAACTATGCTGTTCATCAGACTGACGATGATGAACTCTGCTGTTCATCAGACTGACGATGATGAACTCTGTTGTTCATCAGACTGACGATGATGAACTCTGTTGTTCATCAGACTGACGATGATTAACTATGTTGTTCATCAGACTGACGATGATGAACTATGTTGTTCATCAGACTGACGATGATGAACTATGTTGTTCATCAGACTGACGATGATGAACTATGTTGTTCATCAGACTGACGATGATGAACTCTGTTGTTCATCAGACTGACGATGATGAACTCTGTTGTTCATCAGACTGACGATGATGAACTATGTTGTTCATCAGACTGACGATGATGAACTCTGTTGTTCATCAGACTGACGATGATGAACTATGTTGTTCATCAGACTGACGATGATGAACTCTGTTGTTCATCAGACTGACGATGATGAACTCTGTTGTTCATCAGACTGACGATGAACTCTGTTGTTCATCAGACTGACGATGATGAACTATGTTGTTCATCAGACTGACGATGATGAACTATGTTGTTCATCAGACTGACGATGATGAACTCTGCTGTTCATCAGACTGACGATGATGAACTATGTTGTTCATCAGACTGACGATGATGAACTATGTTGTTCATCAGACTGACGATGATGAACTCTGCTGTTCATCAGACTGACGATGATGAACTATGTTGTTCATCAGACTGACGATGATGAACTCTGTTGTTCATCAGACTGACGATGATGAACTATGTTGTTCATCAGACTGACGATGATGAACTCTGCTGTTCATCAGACTGACGATGATGAACTATGTTGTTCATCAGACTGACGATGATGAACTATGTTGTTCATCAGACTGACGATGATGAACTATGTTGTTCATCAGACTGACGATGATGAACTATGTTGTTCATCAGACTGACAATGATGAACTATGTTGTTCATCAGACTGACGATGATGAACTATGTTGTTCATCAGACTGACGATGATGAACTATGTTGTTCATCAGACTGATGATGAACTATGTTGTTCATCAGACTGACGATGATGAACTCTGCTGTTGTTCGCCCCGCTGTGCCCTGCCCGCAAGTCACGGGGGCGCGACAAATAGAGACGCCGGCGGCGGCGACTCACGTGTTGGGACCGATTTGAAGTCGGGGCCTTGGACCATGAGACCCACGGGGTCTGTGTGTGTGGACGATTTGCGGCTGAAGTCCTTGTGCCGAGCGGTCTGCCACCGACGCCGATGATTCAAAATCTTCGTGCCGTGCCAGCCCATGCGGTGTATTATTATTAGGGGCTGTCCATAAATGACGTCACGCACTAAGGGAGGGGGGGGGTCAGACATTTGTGATGATGTATGACGTCACATCAAAATGCGCAACTTTAAATAAATATGGACAACACGTTCTACTTAATTAAATAGACTTTTTTTTTATAAATGTTTTCTCCAACAATATCAGAGTGCAGCACTACAATGACAATAGTTTAAAGTGATTTGAAGCATGTTTTATTTTCAAAATGGAAATATTGTTTGGGGGGGGGGGTCAGAGCTTTGTGACGTCATATTTGAGGGGGGGGGGGTCTGGCTTTATGTAACGCCGTGTGACGAGGGAGGGGGGGGTCAAAAATCGTCCAAAATCGCGTGACGTCATTTATGGACGGCCCCATCATGTTTTTGTCTATTTGTTTGCGTTTCTCCCTTGTTGATGGGACCTTGTAGGATTAACGTTGAGCCTTATAAGGGCACGGGGTGACCAACACGGTCTGAATTGGTCTTTAATAAGGTGGGCGCTGATAAAGGGTTCACAGATGTGGGTCTTATACCGACTATAATCACCCAGGAACGTATGTCCTTAACGCTCGTGACGTCACTCCACATCGACCAGCCCCCCTCATTAATAATCATTATAAGGTGACGTTCTCCGCATGGACCCCCCCCCCCCTCCATTCATTTTAATTATGGGGTGACGTCACTCCACATGGCGTCAACTTACAACCCTCACTACAAAGGCAGAACCCTCACGTCACGCGATCTCCGTCACGCTGTAGAGACATCGAAGTAAAAAGGACGTCATGATGAACAAGGGATTATAACCCTTTAAATGAAATCAGTCTGTGTCACCGCGCCCTTACAAACTGCACACGAATTGATGCAATGGATATCACGTCGCGGTCTGCTTATTCGCTTGCAAGTTTCAGATTTACTGGAATCCACCCGTCCTTTGACGGGCAAAAGGCGAGGATACTAAGGGTTAACACGAACGCTGTTGTTCTCCACTTGGTATTTTCTAAAAGGATAACCATCCGACTCTGTAGCCACGACTAACTCAAAAGTCTGCGTTGGGATCATCGCTCGAGTCAAATGTATTTGGCCCACTCACGAGGGTTGAAACATTTTTTTTATCAGCGTAATTTTGTGAAATGCGTGTGAGAGGCCAACAGAGATTACTTTATGTGTTTTGGCTGGATGCGTAAATCAACTTCAGTTCTGTGCAGCAAGGCCGTAGCCATGGATTGAACATTGGGGGTGGACCAAATCTTCCAAGGGGTCCCTCCCCCAGAAAAAAAAAAATCTAAATTTGAAAACTAATTTCCTGCCATTTCCTGCCTAAATATAAAAAAATTCACTAACACATGGGATGGACTTTTTTTATTTTTTACAATAATGTCTAATAGTGCTTTTCTCTTGTTTCATTGTATGTAATGACAAAGATTAGAAATTGATAAAGT